GACCATATTTTTCTTTTGCCTCTACCTTGATCTTGGAGCATTTTAAATCTAGTGCCCATTGATGAGTTTCTCTTGGGCTTGTGTCAATATCAAAAAAGTTCATTATCAAGAAAAATTGCAGCACAAGTGGATTGTATAAAAAAGGGAAATTTTAGCTAGGTGTAGTGGCACATCTGTAACCTACTTGTAATCTCAGCTACTTGGGATGCTAAGGCTAGTCTGGGCAACTTTAGCTAGGCCCCATCTCAAAATAACAAGGGCTGGGGTGTAGGTCAGTAGTAGAACACCCCTGGGTTTGATCTCTGGTGCAGAGAGGGGGAGAAAAATGTCTATGTTGCCTCTGGATCTTGTCCCTGCTCTTTTCTCTGTCTATATTGTTCTCCATGCCTTTTTCTTTTTTTTTTATGTGTGTGTGGTGTGCTGGGGATTGAACCCAGGGGCCTTGTGCATGTGAGGCAAGCACTCTACCAACTCAGCTATATCCCCAGCCTGCCACTCTCCAAGCTTCTGACAATATAATTCTGATCTTGCTTTCATGGAACAGCTCACTTCCTTTTTCCACTTAGTTATATAACCCTAGGTACTTTGTCAACATCCTACTATCTATCTGATGTCTTCAATAAGTGCTTCATCAGAGACAATTATGCCTAGGGAGCTTTTGGTTATTACTATCACTCCTCCTTATATACGTACGTACTTGAATTCATCTTTCCCTAATTAGACTGGAAACAGTGATTCATTCCCTGGAGCAGAGGTTCCCATAAATGTCTGCTGCAAAAAGGCTGCAAAAGAATCTCTTCTGAGGAGCTGGGAATGGCTGCACCCCAGAGAACCTTAGTACATGCCACTGTACATGGTAGGTATTCACATATTGTTTAGCTTACATCTCTGGACAGGTAAAGAGTATGATCAAAACATTATTACTGGGCTAGAGATATAGCTCAGTTGGCAGAGTGCCTTCCTGGCATTCACAAGGCCCTGGGTTCAATCCCCAACACCATAAAAACAAACAAACAAAAACATTATTACTACATTATGTTTATGTACTGCTTAAGCAGGGGGAGAGTATTTATTTCACTAATGAAGAGTTGCCAAGCTGTGCCTATTCATATACAAGATCTACTTCTTTTATTAACTATTGGAAATAAAGTGGCATCCTTGGTGGGTACAAGACATTTGAGGGTCTAAGGAATTTGTTTTAAAAGTTCACAGCTGTTTTAATAGCAGAGCTGGAAATCTGACTTCTTATTTAAAAGGCTCAAAGTCCATGATCTTTCTACTCACTAGAGGGCTTGTACCTGGCTTGCAAATAAGTTTCTCTTTTTCTTTTCTTTGAGATGGGTGTGTGGGGGGGTCTATGTTGCCTAGGCTGGTCAAGCGGCTCTCCCACCTCAGCCTCACATGCTGGGACTATAGGCCTGTGCCACCATTTTCTGCTTGCAAATAAATTTTTTATTTCAACAGTACAATGTTTAAAATTTTTAAAAATGAAATCTCAAATCATAGTGTGAATATGCAAGACTAGGGGTTCAATTTCAAGTGCCTACATTCCAAATTAACTATGAATATTTCTAAATTGGAAACTTTAATTAGTATCTGAATTTCTGACTGCTCTTTGGTGGAGGGAGATCTGATTAACATTGGGGCTCACATTCTTCCATGGCCCATGGCAACAATCAGATGGAGCTTTAAATGGGTATGTCCCCACCACTCCCTACTCTCATCCATGGTCTTAAACTTTATTCCTCAAGTAGTCCCTTTAGGCCTGGGTTAGTCTCTCCTGCACTCTTATCTACTATCTTGCCTCCCACTGGTCAGAAGTGTGGCAAACCCAAAGATGGCCTCTTTTTCCTCATTCTGTATAGGTCTCTGATCATAAAAGTGTGTTTATTTCTGACATTATGATTTCAATACTAAGGAAACTATTTTTATATCATAAGGAAAACTGGGATCCCTGACTCTTCAAGTTATACATTCGACCATTAAAATACACAGGAAAAATATGGCAAATCGTGTACTTGCTCCAATTCAATGGTATTTCTAAGAAAATGGTCTCAGCAAGTAATGCCACCAAGTGGTGAAAAGACTCAACACAGAATCACCACTCAGCTAGAGGCAGGAAGGCTGAAGACCATTCTCAGCTTATAAGACTATTCAGAAACTAGAAACAAAATGCTTGTTCGTCTCCATAAGCTGGTCCTTTCTTCCAAGGCTGTAATTTGAAGAGAGAGGAAGACAAACCAGTACTTTCAGAGCTCTGCTTGATTTTTATGGGCTCTTTGAATACCCATTTTCTACTTGTTTCTTTCCTTGAACAAGCTGCCATTGCGGCCGATTCAGCTTTTCATTTTATATATTTTTAATGTGTATTCCCATTTTTTAAGAATGTGAGAAGAGAGCTATTAAAATGTTTTGGTTTTAGCAGAGCAAGGGGAGTTTTTAAATTCTTTGTAAAAACAAGACTGAATCTCATGCATGGGAGTAGGAATTTACATTCACTAAGCACCCCAAGAAACTGTGCCAGGGTTGGGGATATAACTCAGTTGGTAGAGTGCTTGCATCACATGCAAAGGGCCCTGGGTTCAATCCCTCCTCCCCCCAAACAAACAAACAAACAAAAAACCCACAAACCACTGTGCCAGACATTTATATACTTCGCTTACTTCTTAGAAGCCTGAGTAATCTGATTTTACAGGTAAATAAAATTACTAGAGGGTGAAGGACTTGAAGCTCTAAATCTTCATTTGTTATGAACTCTTGCCAACTGCCTCCTTGGATACCTCCCAGGTAACCAAGCACATCCCTTGTTTCTCAGTGCCCTCTAGGAACTAGGGGTATTTCACGGCATGATACAAACAATTTCTTCTTCATCTCATCTCCTAATGAGCATGAAAACTATTGTGGGAACTCCCCCACAACCAGCTTTCTACCCCCTTCTCCCTTCAATGTCTTCTGAATAAGTTTCTAAAAGGGATGTGAACCATGTTTAAATCAAATTCAGCCTATTATTGCTCTCAGAGGTGGAGCATCCACTCTGTAAGTCAGAAAGGTATTCAAATAGGGGACTTAAAACAGGGTCACAGAGAAAAAGACTGAAGAAGTTGACTTTTCGTGTTTACTTGTGTGAGGAAAAACAGCACATGGGCATCCACGGTTTTAATTTGTTTGGATAATAGTTACAGAGAAACAGGTACACTCCATATACAATTACCAATACTTTTTTATACAGTTCATATTTCAGTACATCAACACTATTTTATTTACACTCTATTTATGTACATGTTTCTAAAGTCAGTGCATTGTCAACAAGTTTTATACAGAAATTTACAAGGTGAATGTAGTTAATAGTTAATTTAATAAATTTTCTGCTAGTTCATGAATTAAAAAAATTAATTACAACGAATATAACAAACACAGATCAAACATTAGTAGATTGTGCTACCTGCTTAAATAAAACACCAGTAAAGAAATTATTTAAAACTTCTACTTTTTTTCATGGGGCTTGTCCAGGTAGGAATGGAAAATCTTGAAACTATAAAGTATGCATTTTATCTGACTTTATTGTATCATTTAGGTCATTCCTTCCTACTTGCAATTATAGACTTATTTTTAGCCATTTAAGACAACTTTCCCAAATGCTCTGAGAAGAACTAGGTAGTTACTGGCCTCAGATATCAGAATACAAATGCTTAAATACATTGGTATTTACTGTGTGTAAACAAGGAAGGGTAATAAAATTTGACAGTAAATGAGAATCAAGGTTTAGGGTCTTAATAAATTTTTAAAAAGATCAAAAATAAGCAGTTGCATTTTCTTTGAATATATATTAAAAAAAAGAGTTTAAAAAATGCTTCCAGAAATAAATAACATGTATACTTTGTTCCAGTCTTGAGTAATCAGAGGAATAAATGAAGTCAGTAAATAAATGACTTTTGATGACTAGTGCAAAAAAAAAAAAAGATGGGGGGGGGGACAAATACTCAAAAACAAAATAAAATGGACATGCAAATAAAACAGAAGTTTACTTCCTAAACCCACCAATTTCATAAAAAATACTTATGAACTATCAATATTTGGGATGTATTATGTGTTTTGTTTTTAAATACAATATGATGGGGGGAAAATACCCCAGTCAAGTTAATTTATAGCCCTTAGAGCCATCAAAATACAAGTATGTTTGTTTGCATGTATTTTCTTTTTTTTAAAAGTGCAAAACAAAGAAACAAAGAACAAAAAACAAGCACTAATGTGAAACACCATCTAGCTCTGATGCCACTTACCTTCCTAGAAGCTCTTTGTGCAACACATGCATGGTTTGATGGTGCAATTACTGGCAACTACCCTGCAACACTCAGCAGATACACATTTTTGAGGACACTTCAAGTATCCTAAAAGTAAGGTGCCTCTATTGGGAGGGCCACTTTAGATGGATTTCCCAGGATGCTTTTTCTTTCTACTGGGTCTCCCAACAAAGACCCTGGGTAGAAGGCACGTAGTTTTAAGGGATTCTCCCTCTAAGCCTGACCACTATATGCCTCTGCCAACAGTGACTGGTTGTGTCTCAAACACAAACACAACAACAAAAACAAAAAGAAAGGGAAGAGTAGGGAAATGGTTTAAAAAATAAATTGAAAAATCTGCATCTTTGCTGTAAGAATCACTTGCACACCTATAGGATCTTGCTTTCTCCATCTTGTCAATATAATAGAGTAAAACTTCAGGAAAAAGGAGGTAGCATATCATGTCGTCCCTAGACAACACTATAATTTTTTTTTTTTTTTTTTACTTTGACTCCAAGGAAATCCTTAGTATATTATTATGACTATTGGTAAACTCTATACTCACTACAAGTTTGTTCATATCTGGACAAGCACAATTGAATTCTTATTTGGTCCCAGGTAGTTGGTGCCAAACCCTTTTGTTTACAGGCTAATGGTGGGATCTGCCTGAAAGTTCTTGAAGAGCTTGTGAGAGACTTCAAAACAAAATTATTACTACTCTTAAAGTTAACTACTATTTTAATTAGGATTTTTATTTTGTGCTTCAGGGTCACAGGATAAAATAACTACACTTAGCTTGCCTTTCAGCGATGCTTTTGCCAAATGTCAGCTACAAGGAGTCATCTCCCTCACCACCAGCCTGTCTAGCAGCCAGAGTGGTAGCTTTACTGTAACACACAGTACTTTTTGTAATCGGACTCAAAGTCTTCATCCATGCTGCTTGTGTCTGCCATCTTTTTACCATCAATCTTTGGCAGAAATTGTGCATAGTCTATCCCCTGCTGCTCATAGAAAAGAATGTAGGCAGAGTCGGTGTCAATTTCATCAGGGTGAAGTTCCTGAAGGGGTAAGAAAAGCCTTTAATAAAAAAAAGCCATCACTGTGCTGGGTCTTAATCCTTGTCAGGGAAATGATGATAACCCTCTTTAATTACTTAACCTGATCGATTCCAATTAATTTAATATGTCAACTATCTCTTATCTGCATTGAAAATGAGTACCATTATCTTCAATTTTTGTTTTGGGAAAATATTATAACCAAAGACAGGTCAAAGGAATGACCTAAAATGCCTTCAAATTTTAATAGTTCAAAATATTGGAGCTGGGGAATGTAGCTCAGTGGTAGAGTGCTTGCCTAGCATGTGCAAAGCCCTAGGTAGGTTTAATTCCCAACACTGTAAAAACAAAACAAAAGAAAATGAAAATAAAACAACCCCTCCATCCTCCAAAGATTGGAACTTTTTCTCATTAACTAATACCTCCTTTTTCCTCACTATTCACATTTTCATTCTCCACTCTGCATATCCCCTTTGGTCCCTTAATACTGACAACATTTATAAACTGATCCTAACAGAAATATCTATTTCCTATTGAGGAAAAAGTCTATTCTTTCAACAAATATTCCCCAGATTTACTACATTCTGTTTCCAACTTTCATTCAGATTGAGAATATTTACCTTACAGCTGCTGTCATTGTAACAGTACCACTTGCAGTTTGGGTTTTTGGCATAAGTGACGTAATGGCCCCCACCCAGAATTCCTGAATGGCACTAAAGAAGAGAAGAGAGTATGTCAGTAGTTACCAGTACTATAGCCAGGGCAAAGCACTAGGATCTGAGCAAAAGAAAATTGAACATTAGATGGGTAAGAGGAAATGTTTTGGAACCTTTTAATTTTTTCCTAAAACAAAATAAACAAAAAGCAGAAAACAAATGTCATAAGTAAAACAAATGTCATAAGTCTCAACTTTGTGTGGGTAAACAACTTTTTTATAATTATTTTTTTTAGAAAGCAAAACTCCTTAGAAACACATGATAATGAATAATTTGAACCTCTGACTCCACTTATATTAATTACATGACCATTTCCTGCATCATACTTTGAGCTCCTTGGAGTCTATTCAAAAGGCCAAGATTTCTTTGTTAATTTTTCTATCACCAAGCAAAAGTCTAGCAAATAAGCAGGTGGTGAAAAACTGCTTGTGATTAACAAATGAAGATAAGTGAACAAACCACTGAAAAGTGTAGACTATTCTCTGAAAACCACACAACAAATTACTTACCGAAATTGCATACAGATTATAAATAGGTTTAATATGAGTATCTTCTCTTTGGTCATCAGTGCTGTCTTCTTCACTGTGGTTTCCAAGTTGACCATTGCTGTAGCCATTGCCACATGTCTCATGCTCATAAAGGAATCCATTGGCCAAAGTGACATCGTGGTCCTGGGGGGTGACCAGTTCAGGTTGGCTACCTCCTAGTATGTGCCCTCTGCTCAAGATATCAGCCAGCTCACAGATCTGCCCAGCCCCATTCTCTTTGCTGGCATCCAAGTTTTCCTTACTACTTGACAATTTATTTTTGCTGCCAATCTGAGGCAGGCGGAGCCTCCCTTTGCTCCTTCCCAAAGTCCGTGGGCTGCTGTTAGGGCTGCTATTTTTGCTGGAGGGACAGCTGGTTCCACTTTTCCTTGATGAAGAAGGTGAACCTGTGAAAGGGATAAAAGAAAGATTCATAAATCCAAATACCACAAGGTAAGACAGATACCACATGCTAACTTTGAAGCCAGCATCCCAAATGTATACAAAAAGGTAAACATAGGGGAGTCCTGACTGGCCACTGCTGACTGGTTACTCTCTAGTTCTTATTATACAGCCAATACATTAGACAGCAATATCCTGAAAATGTTTAGTACATGAAAGGTGATTTATGTCACACTCGGTTCAAAACAATGTAATTACTAGACTAAGGAGCTTTATAAACACATTTTCCTCTCCTTTGTAAAATTAGACAAAAAATATAACTATTAATTAAGTACTTACTATTAATTAATTAAGTACTTACTAAGCACAGTACTAGGGATAAACTCTCTACTTCACATAAAAATCCTGTATAGCAGTGGGACTTAACCTTCATGGTCACAATTTCCCATCCCCACCCACTTCTTTTAGTATTTCCTATATTAGAAAGTAAAACTAAGGAATTTAAAAACATAATACACAAGCACATTCACTGTCAAAGTGACAATATATTCACATGATATACTGTCTCTGACTCCACTGTACATTTGTGAGAGAATGAATGCATAAAGTCATGTACACTTGGCCTTTCTTAACTGAAGGATCAACATCACAGATTAAAACTACTGCAGATCAAAAAACAATGCAGCATGACAACTATTTACGTAGCATTTACATTGTGTTGGTATTACAAGTAACCTGGAGATTATTTAAAGTACACTGGGAGGGGCTGGGGATGTGGCTCAAGCGGTAGCGCGCTCGCCTGGCATGCGTGTGGCCTGGGTTCGGTCCTCAGCACCACATACAAACAAAGATGTTGTGTCCGCCAAAAAATAAAAAATAAATAAAAAATAAAGTACACTGGGAGGTTATGTACAGACTATATGGAAATATATGCAAGTACTACATCATTTTATGTAAGGAACTTGAAGAATCTAGATTTTGGTATCCATGTGAGGTCCTAGAACCAAACTTACAGGGACACCAAGGGATGACTGTGTATGATAGTTAAGACTTCAACGTATCTTTTTGGAGGATATAGTTTAACATCTAACAACAATATTTCAGTTAAGACCTATAGTGTGTGCTTATACTCAAGTTTTATTATTTTTTTACCATTGTGTCATATTTGTCCCAGATCTTGATTTTTTTTTTTTTTTTTAATGTACGGTGATTGAAACCAGGGGTGCTTAACCACTGAGCCACATCCCCAGCCCTTAAAATTTTTTTTTTTTTTAATTTTTTTGGGGCTGGGGATGTGGCTCAAGCAATAGGGCACTTGCCTGGCATGCGCAGGGCCCTGGGTTCGATCCTCAGCACCACATAAAAATAAAATAAAGAAATTGTGTCCACTGAAAACTATAAAATAAATATTTAACAAAAAATTTTTTGGTACTGGGAATTAATTAAACTCAGGGGCACTTTACCACTGAATTATATCCCCAGTCCTTTTTAAGTTGTTGAGACTGGCCTTGAATCTGTACAGATGTTGATTTTTAAAAGATAATCCAGATACCCAGAGACTGTCTTAGTATTATTTTTATAAAAATAGTTTTGACCCTTGAGACCTCTTGAAAGGGTCTTAGGGACCCCTGTGGGTTTCCCAGACTATGCTTGGAGAGCTTCTACTTGAAGGGAACAAGGATGAAAATTACCATTCATGTTATCACATATTAAGCATTATATAAAGTACATCACTGTTGGTATTTCAAATCCTTACACTGTGAACTTGGTATTAGCTCCATTTTACAAATAAGAAACTAGATTTAGGGAGGATGCATCTTTTGCTAAAAGTCACACAGTTCAGGGGCTGGGGTTGTGGTTCAGTGGTAGAGTGCTTGCCTGGCACATGTAAGGCACTGGGTTCAATCCTCAGCACCACATAAAATATAAATAAATAAAATAAAATTTTTAAAAAGTAAACAAATTAAATTCACCTTAAAAAAAAAAGTCACACAGTTCAAATACAGATAAGTCTCATTTTAGATAGGTTCTTTAGGTTCTTCCCACCCCACCAAGTAGCTCCTCCAGAGTAGAAGACAGAGGGAAATATGCAACGTACACAGGGCCCAAGAAAGTCCCTCTGTCAGGTCACCCCAGGCCTCCTCACCTTTTGGGCTCCCTGTAAGGTTTGCACTGAGTGAGGATGGGCTCTTGCTCAGGAGCACATCTTCTTCCCCAGCAGAGCTCTGGGCATCTACTTTCTTCACCTCTCCTGCTGGAACCCTTGGTTCAGAGACATCATCCCCCTGGGGTGTGAGTAGTTTACGATGGCAGAGAGCTGGGTCTCTTGGTACCAAAAAAGCACTAGGGTCAAAATTTTCACGAGGAAATTTAACAATTTTTTGTGATTTTATCCATCGACCGTTTACAAACTGAAATCGTTTAAGGTGAATAATCTGGAGATGAAAAGATAGAAAACAATATATAATAACAACATTATTTTTTAAAGACCTCAAAAATATTTTTTGTTATATATATTTTTTAGTTGTAGTTGGACACAATACCTTTATTTATTTATTTTTATGCTGTGCTGAGGATCGAACCCAGCACCTCACACGGTCTAGGTGAGTGTTCTAACCACTGAGCCACAACCCCAGTTCCTTGAAAATATTTTTTATAAGTGTCTTTACTCCATAATATATTTTATGTGATGGTTATATGAGTATACACAATTATCAAAATATACCTTAATTTAAAAAAAGTCTCCCCGTTTCCCACCAACCTTGTTTCCAAGCCTTCCCCTCCCTGCTCTTGTCTTCCTTTCCCCTCATTTCCACTCCTGGAGCTAGTTAAATCAGTGCTATCAATTTCTTGTGCATCCTTCCCTGGGAAGCTATTCTGGTCTAAGGAAAGAAAAACTTACATTCATTTCACAGAATAGTAGGATGAAGACATGAGTAAGAAAATATATATAATGTCTGGTTAAAATATACTAGTATTATTAGGGGTTAGCTCAATGGTAGAGTGCTTGCCTAGCATTCATGAGGCTGTAGGTTCAATCCCCAGCACCTCAAAAAGCAAACAAAAAAAAACACCTTAGTACCTTATATATATTATTTTTTATTTTTTGGTAATGGGGATTGAATCCAGAGGTGTTTTACCAGTAAGTTATATCCCCAGCCCTTTTTATTTTTTTATTTCAAGACAGGATCTTGCTAAGTTGCTAAGGCCGGTCTCTTGAACTTGCTATCCTCCTGTTTTGCATATCAAGTTGCTGGGATTACAAATGTGTGCCATCTTGCCTGGCTTTACAGTTATATTTGATGCAACTTCCACCCGTAAGAAAAACATGTTTTCTTTTTTTTTTTAAAGCAGTACTGAGGATTAAACCCAGGGCATTCCACCACTGAGCTGCAGCCCCAGACTTTTTTTCTTTTTTCTTGGGATTAGGTTTCCCTAAGGTTGCCCAGGCTGGCCTAAAACTTGAGATTCTCCTGCCTCAGCCTCCTGAGTAGCTGGCATTATAGGTGTGTGTTACCACATCTGGCAGGAAAATGCTTTCTTAAATGAATCTGTTACTTCAAACTCTTCTGATGGACCAAAGGAAAATCTAATATATGAAAGAAGAGAGAAGAAGTAAATCAAATCTAAAAGAACACATAAGTTGGGGCTGGGGTTGTGACTCAGTGTTAGAGCACTTGCCCAGCATGTGTGAGGCACTGGGTTCGATTCTCAGCACCACGTAAAAATAAATAAATAAATAAATAAATAAATAAATAAATAAATGGATGGATTGTGTCCATCTACAACTAGAATATATAAAGAAAAGAAAAGAACACATAAGCTCCCGTGCTTGTGCACACACATTTAACTCAGCAGTGTGCCATAGCCACGTGACCAAACTCAGTGGGCAATGGAAACTCCCAGTTGGTTTACTCTCCGATAGTCCAACTAAGGGCTAGCCTAAAGCACCCCCCTCCTCTCCAGAGACCTGGAAGTGTCTTTAACCTCTTCCAAAGTTTTAACTCATTAGCTTATACCACTTGTGGCACTCCTCATACTGTGCTGAATTGCAGTTACTGGCCTATATGACTTCTCTCTCCTAGGCTGTAAGCTTTTTAGGAATAGGAACTACTAAATATTTTTAGAACAATTCACCTCTGTACTCAACATAAAGAACTTGCACAGAAAATATTTTAAACAATGCTATAGGAGAAGTCTTATTCTAAAAAATAACAAAAATTCACGTTAATGGATTTTTCCCCCTTTATATTAGACCTCTGTTCACTCAAAGATAGGGCTGTAACATACCAAGATAGGGGGAAGCCTCCAGAGATCCAGCTTTTTGGTTGCTAAGCAGTGGGTCTTACACTTGGAACAGTAGTACATCTCATTTTCCCCTAGTTCCTCCTCACTGGTGAAAGCACGGAGACAACTGTCCAGGTTGATGGGCTCAGCTTGTGCTCGCCGACTCTGCTCCACACTTTCGTGCTCATCTACAACCTGCAGGGAGAGGGATTAGGATGAATAGGGGTTGTGGTGAGGGTATTTGAAATGGTCATCCATCCAGGTGTGGTGGTACACACTAGCAATCCCCGCAAATCAGGAGGTTGAGGCAGGAGAATCTGAAGTTCAAGGCCAGCCTGGGTGACTTAACAAGACCCCTGTCTCGAAATAAAAATAATAAGGACTCAATGGAAGAGCATCCTTGGGTTAAATCTCCAGTACTGGGGAAAAAAAAAGTCACAAAGATATACATAAATACATCGCTCTTTCTGTCACTTATTCCTTTCTTACACTAGATGAGGAGAAAAAAAAAAAAATATATATATATATATATATACATAAACACACATACACACACAACCCAAAATAGAGTCTGAGTAAATACAGACATGAATTTATTTAAGAATATTACAACAATAATACCCTGGATAAAATTTCTACTTATAAGACCATTTGGGAACAATTTTTGAATGTTTCAAATTGACAAAAACGAATAAGGAATTACCTGTTTATTTTTCTTCAATTTTAGAATACTGAAATAGTTCACATGTGAATTACGATCTCCAATCTGCTCTGTTTAGTAAGCCATTTATATTTTAATCAGGAAGACAACATCATTAGTATGCTAGTACAGAGGCTAGGAGAAATTATATCACTGAAACACAGATGCTAGATCTGGATGAAGTGGAAAGACTACAGAAAAGCTCACCGTGAGAAGGCAGTATACCAGGATATAGCCCCAGAGGATACACCATGTAACAGTGATTTATCAGAATACCACATATATTCTTGCTTAGTGGTAGAGCACTTGCCTAGCATGTGCGAGGCACTGGGTTCGATTCTCAGCACCATATACAAATAAATAAAATAAAGGTCCATCAACATCTAAAAAATATTAAAACAAAACAAAACAAAAAAAGGAATACCACATTTATCATTTCCTCTCTTTCTTCTTTGGGGTACTGGGGATTGAACCCAGGTCTCATACACACTAGGCAGGCATCCTACTATTGGTCTGTACCCCTAACCCTGTGTGCCTTTTTATTTGAGATAGCAGCAACAAAAGATACAGTAAGCTTGACATGGTGGCACATGCCTGTAGTTCCAGTGAGAGACTGAGGCAGGAGGATCACAAGGACACAATCAGGAATTTAATGAGGCCCTAAGTGACTTAGCAAGACCCAGTCTCAAATTAACAAATAACATGGGCTGGGGATGTAGTTCAGTGGTAAAGTGTCTCTGGGTTTAATCCCTAGTACCACAGAAAAAAAGAAAAAGAAAAGTGGGGGGGGGGGGGAAAGGAGCTAGCTTTAAAAAAAAAAGAAAGAAAGAAAAAAAATGCATGCTGCTTTTATTAGTAAGGTTCTTAATACCTGCCCAAAACTTTGGGGTTCTGTTAATCAGTTTGCTAGGCTTTGGAGCAAGAAGGAGCTAATAAAGGGGAGAGTAAAAAGGGTAAGTATGTGAGGGTGCGTGGGATAGGGAGGTGGGAAGAAAGAAGAACTTAGAACGCAACAGTAAAAGATTTTTTTCCTTCCTCCACTCCTGACTTCTACTTGACAAGCAATTCCAGAACCATGGAGCTGAGACTCTTCTGTTTATCTATTATATATGAGAAGGTGGGAGAGGCACAGCATCAGGACTATGAAGGCTGCATGAGACTTCACACACGGGTATTTTTCTCTAAAGGCAGAGACTGGACTACAAGTATAACAAAGACTGCTTCTGTTTCTGGTAAAGGTCACATATCATTTCATTTGCTGCCCCTTCCTCCCACAGGTGGACTGGTTATCTTTACCTAAGGCAATTTCTCATAAGTTTCCATTATTGAACCTCATGAGAGGAACACTGGGCTGCTTGGATTACAAACTGGCACAGGTTAGGCCATTCTGTTTAGAATAATTTTCAGGTGAGACCTTTTCTCTTTGGAGAGGATGGGAGTCATGAGACTGTCAAATGCCCCAATAAACTATGAAGGTTGGAGTTGATCATGCAATTATGTTTTTTTTTTTTTAATATTTATTTTTTAGTTTTTGGCGGACACAACATCTTTGTTTGTATGTGGTGCTGAGAATCGAACCCGGGCCGCACGCATGCCAGGCGAGAGCGCTACCGCTTGAGCCACATCCCCAGCCCGCAATTATGGTTTTAACATTGCATCACCATCTGGGCTATAGAACTCACTTAAAAAGAGGAACTTGAAGGAAAATTCTGTTTTTAAAAAGGAAATTGGGCTTGACCTTAGTTCACTGACTTCTTTTCTGAGCACAAATTCTGTAGTAATAAGACTGTACTTCTCAGTATCTTTTGAGTTGGTCATTTAAGGGAAAAACAGACATGCTTCAAAGGAAACATGCTGTATCATGATTGTTGGCAGAAGCAGAAAAAGAGGTATATCAAATATAGTAGTGTCTCTTCTCATAGCCAGTTAAATATTATCTCAAATCTCTCTACCAGAGATGCTTTATGGCCAACCACAAATTAAGTATGCTAGTGAAGAATGTTTATTTTTATTGACTATATTTTCTGTGGAACACAAGGATATGGAGCTAGGTGGGGACTGGGAGGATAAAAGGCTAATTAAAAACATTTGTGAATTGACAATATATATTTATCAATAAGTTTTCCTTAAAGATTCCCTGTACTACTCTATGCTGAGATACTCTACTAGTTCAAACAATTTAAATTACTTATAGACATCCTCTTCAAAATGTAAAAAGGTAGGAAATCCATTATATTCTTTAAAAATTTTTTTTTTTTTTTTTTAGTTGTTGACAGACCTTTATTTTATTTATATGCAGTGCTGAGAATTGAACACAGTGCCTCACACATGCCAGGCAAGAACTCTGCCAATGAGGCCCAGTCCCAGCCCCAGCCCCAGCCCCACCTTTTATATTCTTCTTTTTTTAAAAGATATTTATTTTTTAGTTGTAGTTGGACACAACACCCCCGTTTTGCAAAGGGAGGCACTGTCAACATGTTAGCAGATTTTATTCTTTTTTTCACAAACAGTATTTTTTTCTTTTCTTTTTTTTTTTTGATAATTGAAGGAATTTTTTTTCCAGTATATGCAATTTTTTTTATACTTGAGTCTACCATGCTCTATTTAACCTTTCCTCAAATGTGGGACAAACATAAAATTGTTTCTAATTTTTTGGTATTTTGAAAAATGTCATATGTTGGACAGAGTATTCTATTTCCCTCTGATAAATAGAATAACTATTTATAGTTATTCTATAAATACTCAGAATAAGAAATATAGTGGAGGTGGGGGTATGAAAGAATGAAGGAATTTTGGATGGTGCAGAGGGGAGTGAGAGGAGGGGTGAGACAGTGGGGTGGGAAGGATGGGAGGAAGAGACAGACATTACTGCCCTATATACATGTATGATTACACTTCTGTAGTGACTCTACACCATGTACAGCCCAAGGAATGAGAAGTTGTGCTCCATTTGTGTACAATATGTCAAAATGTATTCTACTGTCACTAACTAGAAAAAATTTAAAAAAGGAAAGTATATAAAGCATATATGCAATAAACTCAATTTTGAACCACGGTATTTCCTATGTCTTTGTGACTCTCTAAAACACATACAGAAACCACATGTACGGAAAGTCCAGATTAGTCACATGTCCCTAACTCCCCAGTAATTCACGGTATCTCAATAGTTCTGTTTCCATGGTATCCCAAGTGTATCACTGAAAATGAAAGTGGGGTGAGATTAAATAAGTCATGTAGGCCCTTCTTCCTAGAAGTAGGATGTCCTCCAGAGCTTTTTAGATTTCTCAATGGGATTATTAAAAAGAGGAAGAGATTTACAGACCAAATAAATTTTTTTAATCTTTGATAGAAATGTTTTGTCAGAATAATGTCTTGTCAGATTTTGTGTTGACAAAGATTTAAGAATCTTTCCCTCTTCAAAGGAAGCATGGCTGAAGTTAATGAATTACATTGCTACAATGAGTATGGTCTGAACATCAACATCTCTTCAGTTTTTCTTTAGCTTTTAGCCCACTGATCTTTCATTTGTCAAGAAAGAGCTCCCAGGAACCTCATAGTGTGTGGGGACATATTTAGGGAACTACATCTACAGTTTCCCCAATCCTCAAAAGCATAAGAAGATATATTAAATTAACTAAAAGGAATGCTTTTAGAAATAAATTTCCAACATTCAGTTGCTATATAAATGTAAAACGCACTACAATTCTTCATGACTAGAAAGTCCTTTGAGGGCTGGGATTGTGGTTCAACAGTAGAGCGCGTGCCTAGCACGTGCGAAGCCCTGGGTTGGATCCTCAGCACTACATAGAAATAAATAAATACAATAAAGGTATTGTGTCCAACTACAACTAAAAAATAAATATATATATATTTTTTAAAAAAAGAAACTCCTTTGATTTTGCTACTTTTACTTCTCCATCAGATTTTTAACCCATTTTGTACCAATGTCCCTGATGTGGAACTCTAAACACTTATATAGCATTTGATATATAATTATATACTATAATATAAATATTTAATTATCTGGGGCTGGGGTTGTAGCTTAGTGGTAGAGTGCTTGTCTTACATATGTGGTACACTGGGTTCGATTCTCAGCACCACATATAAACAAATGAATAGGGATGGGGTTGTGACTCAGTGGTAAAGCATTTGCCTAGCATGTGTGAGGCACTGAGTTCGATTCTCAGCACTACATATAAATTAATGAAATAAAGGTCCATCAACAACTAAAATTTTTTTTAAAAGTTAAATATTTAATTATACTATCATATTAACGATACATAAGCTCTAGATTATGATTTCCAACTTATTTGAATACACCTTTGTCAATTTTATTGAAAAAGTCCCAGAATTGAAAACTTGGGACTTAATGGGTTTTAATATCTCCATCCTTCAAACAATATTTGGTTTATTAAAAAGTGCCTGGAGTACTTTGTTTATTTTTGTCATGCTGGGATTGAACCCTGGGACTCATGCATGCTAAGCAAGCACTCTACCACTGACCTAACAGTGGTAGAGAAATGTAAAGTGTGATGAACAGTCACTAATATTTACTCTCATGTATCCAGTCTTGAAATATTTCAATCCTTTTTAAAATTTTTTTGATTACTATGCCCATTAAAGATAGCACCTATTGGGGCTGGGGTTGTGGCTCAGTGGTAGAGTGCTTACATAGCATGTGTGAGGCACTGGGTTCAATCCTCAGTACCACATAAAAATAAATAAATAAAATAAAAGCACTCTATCCATCTACAACCAAAAAGCATATATATATATTAAAAAAAAAAAAAAGATAGCACCTATAATCTAAGAATACATATGAGCTAAGTTATTTTGCTTATCAAATACTACAGCTTTAGGGATATTTAACAAACGGGCAAAGAGATGTTTGTTGGTATGTCAGGGCTAGAGAATATAACTTCTTAAATACACTGAGTTTTGTTCCAGGATTTACTTGTTATTAATACTTCTGAAATCTAACACCCCAATACCGATGATATCAGAAGCTGAAAAACAGAAAGTGTAAGCAATTATGTTGACGTGCCAACTGGTTGAATGCGGATGACTTTTTCTGGTTGTTTCAAATTGTCATGATAGTTAAACTGAAAAATAACTTCCTAAATAAAAATCACATCTTATGGTATCCCTGCATACTTACTCTTTCCTGTGATGTTTGATAGCGGAGATGAAGGGCTGTGGGATCCCAATCCACAGCAATATACGCATTTCCAATGAAAGCTCTATCTTCCCCACAATCAATTTTACAGCCTCTGCAAAATCTAAAAAGGAGAAAAAGGTCCATAAAGGAAAAAATAACTATGAAGGGATCTAAATTTTCTAAATCAGAAATATTCTTCCTCCTACTTCCCTCTTGGCTTCACAATTGGTCATGGGATTCTAACTTCAGACTTGGAAAAATACAATAATATTTATTAATACTTATTAGTTCAAGGAATCATATTTATTAATTCTCAAGTCCTTGATTTTACAAAGCACCAAAGAAACAATTGTTAACATACAGGAAGCTGTGAGCATAGTGACAAATAAGCATGGGAACAGATAGAAATTCTAAATTCAGGGCTGGGGTTGTGGTTCGGTGGTAGACCGCTTACCTAGCATGCGTGAGGCACTGGGTTGGATCCTCAGCACCACATTAAAAAAAAAAAAAATCTAAACTCAGTTATTTAATAACTTATCTGCTATAACAATGGTATAACAATTTGTTAATAAAATGATATTAGGTAAAAATATACAATTTTTTTTTTTTTTTATGGTACCAGGGATTGGACCCCAGGTCACTTAATCACTAAGCCACATCCCCAGCCCTTTTTTTCATTTAGAGACAGGATCTTGTTAAGCTGCTGAGCCTGACCCCCAAATTGCAACCCTCCTGCCTCAGCTTCCCAAGCTGCTGGGATACACGCATGGGCCACTGCACCCAGCAAAAATATACAACAATGGGCTGGTGATGTGGCTCAGTGGCAGAGTGCTTGCCTCGCACATGTAAGGCACTGGGTTCGATTCTCAGTACCACATAAAACTAAATAAACAAAATAAAGATAATGTGGCCATCTATAACTAAAAAATACTTTTAAAAAAACACAAAAATTTTTAAAGTTGCAGGGAATAGTACACGACAAAGCTATGATTCCAAAGCCTATTTCAGGTTCAGTTTGCTAAGTCCATTACAGTTCTCTAAAAGTCGATTTCAATACTGTCAGGCACTTTGCCTGCTATAACAGAAATGACCAATCAATCTCCATACCTCTGTCTAAATACCCTAAGTATATCATGTTTTATTGGCTCAGAACTTCCAAACTGACAGATAGTTATTGTTTTATGTCTGTGCGGGTTTTGTTTGTTTTTATTTTGAGGTTCTGGGGATTAAACCCAGGGTACTTTACTACTGAGCTACATTCCCAGTCAGGATCTTACTAAATTGCCAAGGATAAACTTGTGATTCTTCTGCCTCACCTTCCCAGTCACTGGGATTATAGGCATGTGCACCATGCCTGACCTAACTGATTTATATTTAAGAAGCAGAAAGTTTAGGGTAAAAATAGTCAAGCATGGTGGTGTGGGCCTATAGTGCCAATACCTGGAAGACTGAGGGACTAAGGTGGGAGGATCCCTTGATACCAGGAGTTCAAGATCAGCCTAGGCAACATAGTAAGACTAAGTTTAAAAAAAAAAAAAAGTTTGAATAATGAGTGTTGATCATAAGGTGGTGTACTATAGAGTTTATAAAACCAGCTAAGATTCAAAGGCAAAATTTAGCTGTTGATCTCACAAATAAGATAGGAAGAAAGAAATTCTAAGTTTATTTCAGACTGCTTATTTGCTATTAACTTCTCAAGACTGGAAATCTTAGGAAAAAACTAAAATAATCTGAAGTTGCAATTCTATTAAAATTTTTCTTCTATAGGAGATCACTTTACCTATACCACGGGCACCAAGCACAGGAGTTCCCATCTTTCTGCACAACTCGTAGAGTGAATGGATATTGATAGCCCATACTGTCATCACTGAAATAGAAGAAGAGAACATAAACCTAAGAAGCATTTCTGGCTTGAGGTCCACTTCCTTTTCTTCTTCCCTTAAAGTGATTGTAGGAAGGGGCTTCTGCCATAGCATTATGCTCGTGCTGGTAGCTCAATGTTGCTTATTCTAATTCATCAGCTATAGCCATGTACCAGCCACAATAGGCCACATCTCTGCTTACAGAAGGCATGGATTACTAGATATCTCTAAAATTAGGTCTACGTGGCACGCAAAAACCTTACAAGATAATCTAATCATGAAATCACCAAATATCCTTCAGCCTTAATTTTATCAGAGGATTTAATTCATATTAAACTAATGTTCGATTTTTCTACTCTAAGAACACTGACATACCATTGAAGGCTATATATTTAAAGGTCTTCTTTAATCAGATTCCTTGTTTATGGTACAGGTAAGATAGGCATCCCTTTTTCTCTACGTTAACTACTTAAAGACATAAGCTGCACGTACTATTCTTTTTTTTTTTTTTAAGAGAGATTTTTTTTTTTTTTGGTATTGTGAAAACCTCCTTCTTCACTCTTCTTTTTTTATTTTTTAATTGGTTGTTCAAAACATTACAAAGCTCTTGACATATCATATTTCATACATTAGATTCAAGTTGGTTATGAACTCCCAATTTTACCCCAAATACAGATTGCAGAATCACATCGGTTACACATCCACATTTTTACATAATGCCCTATTAGTAACTGTTGTATTCTGCTACCTTTCCTATCCTCTACGAGAGAGAATTTTTAATATTTATTTTTTAGTTTTCGGCGGACACAACATCTTTGTTTGTATGTGGTGCTGAGGATCGAATCCGGGCCGCATACATGCCAGGCAAGTGCGCTACCGCTTGAGCCACATCCCCAGCCCTGCACGTACTATTCTTGGCATAGCTTCTTTTAACTGCCAATAATTTGTAAGTTATCCAAATTTTTAAAAAATCTACTAAACCTTGCCTGTACAACAAACAACAATTTATACATAATACCATAATATCAAGTTGTACATCTTAAACATATAATTTCTGGGTTGGGGGTACTGCTCAGTGATAGAGCACAAGTTTAGCAAGTGTGAGATTCTGGGTTTATTTCCTAGCTCCAAAAAAAAAAAAAAATCCCTGAAAAACAAGATGCTCCCTCCCTGTCCCCCAACTCCTATTTTTAATTTTAGTTCATAAAGCTGGGAGGAAAAAAAAAAGCAAAGCAAGGGATGTTAACCTAAAAGCAGTATACTTTTTCAGCTCATTTGGCCATTGATAGTGGCTATCACATGGCTGCTAGAAGTAATTAAACCATGATAAAGACTCAGTGTAAGGGCAAAAGTGAATAATGTGTCTTGCACAGCAACTCCCCATCTTTCTGCATAACCTGTCCAATGAATGATACTGATAGTCCTTACTGTCCAGTATTCTGTCCAAATCAACATTAAGTGAGAAAGCAAATGAAAGATAAGGAGCCAAAATGAGCAAGCAGCACTCTCACAGGGAACCCTGTATCCACTGAGCAAAAATAACTTCCCTGTTAATTTAGATCTTGAATGTTCCCCAAAGGCCTGTGTGTTGAAAACTTGGTCTTGAGCCCATGGTAGTACTGGGATAGTAGTATGTGGAATCTTTAGGAGGTGGGATAAGTTAGGTCACTGAGGGTATTAGATATTGTGTTTGAAGGGATATTGGAACCCTGGCCTCTTCATGTCTATACCTCCTCACCAAGGTGAGCAGCTTGTTTACTGCCATGATGTACTGCTTCACCAAGGGCTCAAAAGCAATGAGGCCAACTGACCCTGGGTTAAAACCTCTTAAAAACTGTGAGCCAAAATAAATCTTTCCTCTTTTTAACCTGGTTATCTCAGGTATTTGGTATAGTAATGAAAAGCTGACCAATATCCCCACCCTCTAACCATAGTTTCTAAATCTGTTTTCTGTTTCCATGAATTTGCTCATTATAGATACTTGATAAAAGTAAAATCATACAATGTTCATCCTTTTGTGTCTGGCTTACTTTACTTAGCATAATGTTTTCAAGCTTCATCTATATTGCAAAATGTGTCAGTGCTTCATTTCTATTGATGGCCATATAATATTCCCCATTGCATATATACTGCTATTGTTTATCCCTTCATCCACTGATAAGACCCTTGGATAGTTTTTAATCTTTTGGCTATTGTGACTTACTAGATCCATTTGATGGAAATCAGAGAGATTTTATCACTTTATTTATAAATATTTCAGTGTGTATTTCCAAAAGATAAACTCTTGTTATCTTTAAAATGGCTGTTAAAATCATTCTCTGTTTAAGCCACTGCAACCTCTATAGTACTCCACTAAAACAGATTTCACAAAGGTCACCAAAGATTGACATTTTATGAAATGTAGTAGGTAATTTTTAGTCCTCTTCTTACTCAATCTCTCTGATTTAAAACAACTGATCATGTCTTCCTTGAAATACTTTCTTCACTTAACTTTTGGTTAACCTGCTCTTTTCTAGGTTTTCTATACACATTACTGGCTGCTAATTCTCCTTTCTCTTTTCAGCCTCTAAATGTTGGAATGAGTCAGAAAATTAGATCTTGGGTATCTGATTGTTTAACTCTTGCTCTCTTAAATGAGTCTTGTCCCAGGGATTTAAATTTCAACTATTAAATGTTTGGTGACACCTTATATATATCTCCAGCAAAAGACATTCAAGTGAATTTCCCTCTTGGATACAATAACAGGTGTACTGAATTTAACTTGATTCTATTCTTTCATGACAAAATCTGCTCCTTCTCCAGTTTTCCTATTTTCATAAAAGGGAACACCATTCAAAAACAATTGCTCAGGCTAAAAACCTAGCCTGAACTCCTTTTTTTTTTTTTTTTTTTCACACACAATCCACATCCAATTCATTAGCAAGTCCTGGGAAAAGTCCTTACCTAGAAGTCCTTTAAATTCAACCCCCCACCTGTCACTTCAAATCTAATCTCACTTATACTAAACATTCATCAACTAAATTGCTTATTATTTGTAGTTATTCTTTAAGCCCTATCTAATAATCAAAATACCCTGTACCATAACAAAGATAAATTTTTTATTCATATTATTACAGAAATAGAACTTTCATTTGCATTATGATAGCAAGAAAATAATCTGTAATTAAACTGAGATACAAATAAGGCACCATAATGCCAATGCTATTCAAAGTCAGTGCATTTATTAATCCAATAGAATAATGGCGAGGAATAGAAGGAAAACCAAAAATGCTTATTATCCTTACTTAGATTTATGAAATTATTCCATATTAAAATGACATAGTATAGAAACTATAATCATATATTATGGCATGAGACTTTTTCAGAGTTCATGTATAGATAGGTACACTGTGACTCCCATTCTGAATTTCAAAGACAATCAAGGTAATACAAATTTATTGATAAATTCATACTCTTTACTTTTGTAATAATAGAAGACAAGTATATTACCTGAAGCATCAGCAGGAGAATGAAAGAATTATTAGAAACTGGAATATCTAAGTGACAAAAGGAAGCAGTATATCTTCTTTTATTCAAAAGATCAAACCAAATGGTTCTTTCAAGTGTGACTTAACTTGACATGGAATGAGTCCTTTATATCATAAGAATTCACATAAATTATTCTCTTAGAGTTTGGAAACTTCAAGTCTAGGTTACCCCCGAACTTACCAATCCTGAGCATGGTTACTAGCTTCCTGAGGTGGGAGAGGGCTAGCTAAACGAGATACTTGAATCCAAACTGCATCATATAGATCTTTTTTCCGGGTATGCACAGTACATGGAACAATCAGTGGCATTCCAAAGAGGCTGGGGCGATTCTTCTGAGATGACAGGAAATACAATTCTGTTCTCATCTATATGTACAAATAAGAGAATAGAGTAAAAAGACAGGACTCTGATTCTCCCAAGACTGCCAATAATAGCATTATTAGACATTTTCAACTTAATTACTACTATACTCTTCTTTTATGGAACCATCTTAAAAAAATATGCAATGGTTATTTAAAGTGGAATTACTGAAAGGTAGAGGTATTGCCAATTTCAGACTTATATCAAAGAGTTCAGTATTTAATATTTCCAAAGTACAATTTTCTCTGATAAATACTTGTCACACATACTGAGTCATATGTAAAAACTGGTAATAGTTTCATAGCTCAAGGTCTTTAAATAATTACAACTTATTCTTTCTCTCTCTAGAAAGTATGCAATAAAAACCTCCCTTCAAAATGTAATTTTCTAAGAATAAGCTATTGATAGTGATTGTTAAAGAAGCAATTCCCAAATCTTTGGGACTTCTGAAAACAAGTTATTATTATTATTTTTTTAATATTTATTTTTTTAGGTGTAGGTCGACACAACACAATGTCTTTATTTTTATGTGGTGCTGAGGATCGAACCTGGGCCCCACCCATGCTAGGCGAGCGCACTACTGCTGAGCCACAATTCCAGCCCAGTTATTAATTTATAACAATTTATCCATTCTACTAAAAGCAACAAAGTGACTTTATTTTTGTTTTTTACAGACATGACAGATTGCCAGTTCTTTTATTAGAGTTTTAAATATATGCATTAAACTTTACCTGGGAAGCATCCTTAATGTGGAAATTTTCAGATTAGGGATGCTCAACCCATATATATATATTATATATAATATAATATATAATATGTATATAATATATGGATATCTATAAAAAATTTGACTGGAAATGACTCCTTAATAAATCAGAAGTTTAGATGGATGGTGGGAGGTCAATATTATTCAAAAAGCTGCTGAGTATTTAGACATTTAATTATTTAAATAGTTTGGTCTTTATGAAGTAGTGAGAAAAGCTAAATCAATAATTTAGGGATTAGCTAGTTTCTAACTGAAAAGACCTTTTTTTATTTCAGATTCTCAAGCATTTTCTTTTGACATTACTCATTTAAGCTTTGCTAAACACAAAGTTTTTTAAGACCTTATTTCATGTGTTGATTTTGTTGTAATACTCGCAGGAACCTAGACAGTTCAGTTCAAATGTATTTTAAAATAAGAAACAGTGAAGCTGCACATCATGATGCATTCCTGTAATCATAGCTATTTGGGAGGCTATGGCAGGAGGACCACAAGTTGGAGGCCAGTCTGGGAAATTCAGCAAGACCCTGTCTCATAATAAAACCCACACAGCACATGCCTGTCATCCAGCAATTTGGAAGGCTGAAGCAAGAGGATTACAAGTTCAAAACCAGATTCAATGATTTAGCAAGACTCTGTCTCAAAATTAAAACACAGAAAGGACTAGGGGATGTGCCTCAGTGGTAAAGTACCCCGGGTTCAATCCCTAGTACCAAAAGTGAAAAACTCCAAACAATTTTCTTTTCTCTCTCTCTTTTTTAACATTTATTTTTTAGTTGTAAAAATAATACCTTTATTTTATTTATTTATTTTTATGTGGTGCTGAGGATTCAACCCAGGGCCTCACATGTGCTAGGTGAATGCTCTATTGCTGAGACACAACCCCAGCCATCTGAAGGGTAACTTATCCCAGTGCCCTAGAGCCCAAGTTTACTCAGTTCTTCCCAGGAGAATTTCTACTCCCAGTTCTACTGGGAATTTTCTTGTTTTTTCCTCACAACTTTTTCTTTCATCTGAAAAAACTCAACTCGCTTGAACTCTGCTAAGTTTTACCCTATTTATTTGATCACACTGCCGTTTTCTACTTTTCATTCTTTTTAGACTTCTCTACTTTTTTCTCAAAACTGACTCATCATTTAGTTGCTGTCAATATCCTGTTTTTCCCTTCTCCTATTTCCCAATATTACCTATGTTGCCTAGCCTATTCCTCTTCTGTTACTATCTTGCCCCTTCCCCCCAAAAAAAGGGGGAAAAATTACTTTCAAAGCAATCCAATTGGCCCTTTCAACCATGATATCAAAGGGGTATGAATGGTAGTAACGAAACAAAGAAGAAATGATAAATTCAAATTTTATTTTACTTTGTTTTGTTTTGTTTGTAGTACTAGGATGAAACCAGGGCATTACACATGCTAGGCAAGCACCCTATCACGGAACTACCTAAATTTCCAGTCCTTTTAAAACATTTTGTTGTGAAACAGGGTTTTGTTGTTGCCCAGGCTGGCCTTGAACTTGCAATCCTCCTGCCTCAGTATTCTGAGGAGCTGGGTTTACAGGCATATGCACTGTGCCAGGATCAAGTTGTATTTTAAAAAGAAGGCATGGTCATATATTGAATAAGAAGTTTTAGGAGAAAAGGAAAAAAATAGTAAGAACACTCTCAGATTTTAGACTTTAGCATGAAAGAATGGTGTTGCCATTCACCAAAATAGTGGGAAAAAGAGTTCATTTATAACAGAGAGAGAGAGAATAAAATCAATTTTAGGCATTTCCAAAAGCACTGGTTAGATTATGAAGGAAACTGGTAATAAGGACTAGTCAATGATGAAAATCTAGAGCTGACAATATATTATGGTTCAATGATTTAAAATCCTATAAACACTAAATATCACTTTGTTTTTATAATTTTTATTTTTTAAAGGAATAATTCATATTCTCTTGTGTCTAGACTATTTTCATTAACATTAGAAGATTATAGTGACATAACTAAAAATTTGTTATTTTCATTGCTGCATAGTATCCTATTGTATGAATATATATCAACTGTCTATCCTTTGTACCACTAATGAACATTTAATGCTTCCATTTTTTGTCTTTTCAGTTTGGGTTATTATTGATAATGTTGCTATGAATATTCTTGTACATATTTCCTGATGTACATACCCACTGAGTGGATATCCAGGGGTGGAAATGCTTAGCTTAAGCTAGTAAATTATTTTCCAAAGTAGCTTTATTAATTTACTTACTCATTAGAAGTAGGACTGTTCCTATTGTTCTATTATACCTACCAAGAGTTTTCAATTTTAGCTGTTTTGGTGGGTAAGCAGTGATATAAAAATAAGGTTTTATATTTTCCTGATTACTAGGGTGGCTGATCTTTTTTTTCTTTCTTTCCCAAGGCTTGCTTTTTCACTCTCTTAATGGTGTCTTTTTTTTTTTTTTAACAACTTTTAAAAAAACATTTATTTTTTAGTTGTAGGGGAACACAATACTTTTATTTTATTTTAATGTGGTGCCAAGGATGGAACCCAGTGCTTCACGCATGCTAGGCAAGTGCTCTACTTCTGAACCACAATCCCAGGCTTCTTAATGGTGTCTTTTGATGGAACTAATATTCTCCATTTTAATGAAGTCCAATTTATCAATCCTTTTCTTTATGATTAATATTTTCTGTGTCCTATTTACTATTTAAGAAGTCATTCCCTATACCAACATTATGAATATATTCACTTTTATCATCTTCCAAGGGGCATTTCTTTTTGTTTTCAGAATTAGTTTTATAGTCCTCCTATATTTAGTAGGTAAAGAAATTTCATATGGACATCCAATTGGCCCAAGCACCATTTACTGAGAAAAATATCTTTCTCTCACTGCTCTGCAATGCCACCTTTGTTGTAAATCAAGTTCTCATACATGTGTGAACCTGTTTTTGAGTTCTCCATTTTATTTTATTGATTTGTCTTTTTTCACACCAACATCACATTGTTAAGTACCAAATTTAAAAAATAAATCTTGGTATCTGCTGTTCAATTCTCCATGCTTGATGTCTTGAGGGCTGGGGTGCTCAGCGGTAGAGCACTCACCTTGTACATGGGAGACCCTGGGTTCGATCCTCAGCACCATATAAAAATATATGAATAAAATATATTGTGTCCAACTACAACTAAAAAAAAAAAAAAGTGTCTTGACTACTAGGTACAATGGTGCCAGCCTGTAATCCTAGCAGCTCAGGAAGAATGCAAGTTCAAAGCCAGCCTCAGCAATTTAGAAAGGCCCTAAGCAAATTAGCAAGAACCTGCTTCAAAATAAAAACTAAAATGGGCTGGGGATGTGGCTCAATGATTAAGGGCCTCTTGGTTCAATCTCTGGTCGCCATCCCACCCCATCAAAAAAATAAAAAAATAAATAAAATGTCTAGGCTACTCTTGGTACTCTGTATTTCCATGTGACAATCAGCTTATTAAGTCACACATAAGTATTCATATATACAGCTGGGATTATAGGTGTGTGCCATCACACTCCACAGAAATATTTTTAAAATAGTGCCTTATGATCCATGAACACTAGTTTTTACTTCAAATATTTAAGTTCTTTAATATATATTAATATTTTATTGTTTTCTATTATAGATGCCTTGTATATCATTTATAAAACTTTTCCTAGATACTTAATTAATTTTTGGTACTCAACTTTTATATGATAAAAAAATATCTGGAGAGGATAAATGGTAGTCCCTCCAAAAATATATTCATGCTCTAAACCCTGGAATGAGTAACTTCAACCTCATTTGGTAAAAGAGTTTTTGCAGATGTACTTAAGTTGAGGAGCTCAAGATGAGGTCATCTTACATTATCTCAATAGATCCTAAATCCAATGACAAGTATCCTTAAAAGAAAGGAAGAGAGCACAGGAAAAGGCCATGTGAAGAAGAAGAAATTGCAGTTATACAGCCAGCCATAAACTACAGAATATCTGGAGCCAGACGTTAAAAGAGGCAAAATAACATCCTTTCCTGGAGCCTCTGGAAGGAGCAAGGCTATTGATTCCTTGATTTTGTATTTCTTGCATGTAGACTGTGAAAACTTCTATTATAGTAAGTCACCAATTCTGTGGTAATTTGTTACAGAAGTCCTAGGAAATTAATATAGTACCTTTTCTTTTTAAAAAAATATTTCAACCCCAGCCCTCCTTTATTTTTATAAAAGTAGACTGCAAAAGTCCAAAGAGCTCGAGGCTGGGGTTGTGGTTCAGTGGTAGAGCACTCGCCTAGCATGCATGAGGCACTGGGCTCGATCCTCAGCACCACAAAAATGTAAAATAAAGAAAATAAATATTAAACAAGAAAAAAGAAAAAAAAAAGTCAAAAGAGCTCAATTGGCTATCTAGTGGCAGAGAAAGAACTAAAACACAGGTTTTTCAATTCTCAGTCCAGTGCCCTAACTACCTCTTTTTTTTTTTTAAGAATTTAAACTTTAACTTTTTGTTTGTTTGTTTTTTATGTGGTGCTGAGGATCAAATCTAATGTCTCACCAGCGTTAGGCAAGTGCTCTACCACCACACTACATCCCCAGCTCCCCTGCTTTTTTAAATTGAGACCGTGACTTGCTAAGTTGCTGCCTTGAACTTGTGCTCCTTCTGACTCAGCCTCTTGAACTGCCCGGATTCAACCTTTTATCTACTGATCAGTTTTCAACTCTTTTTTTTTTTTTTTTACATCGAAGAGTTAGCCTTTAATGAAGAAATTAGATTATCAAGGAAGGCATTATGAAAAACTTATCAAAGAATATTCTTATGGGCTGGGGATGTGGCTCAAGCGATAGCGCGCTCGCCTGGCATGCACGGGGCGCTGGGTTCGATCCTCAGCACCACATAAAAAAAATAAAATAACAAAAAGATGTTGTGTCCACCGAAAACCAAAAAATAAATATTAAAAAATTCTCTCTCTTAAAAAAAAAAAAAAAAAAGAATATTCTTGTGTTAAAAAAAAAAAAACATGCAAAACAATATTGACAAGACTTTCTCCAAAGGCATTCACATTTAAATGGCAAAGAAGATGTACATGCCTATGAAGATGCGAACACACAGGAGACCCAAATTTTAAAAGAAAGTAGTACTCTGATACATTGGCTCTCCTAGTGCCTCTTAATATACAAGAGAGGAGTATCACTGCATACACTGACCATAACATGTGATACTAAATTCTGACTCTGATTATTCACATTAGTATATACATCATACAGAAAATGTATTTAATGAAGATGCTGTAAAGACAGAAAATGGTTGTTTCACAAATGACACGGACAACATCAACAGTAAGTTGCTCAACATTTAACTAACCATTTTTCGGTGGACTGCAATGATGTATCCCGTAAAGGGGTTGTCAGGAAGAGATGGCATATGGCCATTCACCATTCCATTGGTAAAGTTCTTCTCAGTTACACATGGCACAACAGTGTTTGGCATTCCATTTGGGATGAATATTGGTCGAGCCAGGTCCCCATTGGTAGTTAGAGCGAACATTCCATTTGTAGATGGGGAAGAGGAGAAATCTGTAAATTCAAAGATATGTACAGCATCATCAGCTTATGGTACCTTCATCTTTGCTCTTTTCTTAAGTATTCTGAAGACCTGGACCATTGATAGTGTAATAAGGATTCTAGGTTTATTGGAAGATTTAATTTCAGATTTTACTTTTGTAACTCACACTATGATTAAATGGCAAAACAAGAATAACTGTTGGAAACCTGTTAAGTAGAATTCTTGCAGAAATCTATATGAACATCATGTTGTTGCATACAAACAATTCTGCCACTTGTTTTCTTTTTCTTCTCCTCTAAAATTCTCCATCTGGCCTCTAGACAGATGTTGATTTTAAAATTTAAATCTAAATCAAATTACAAATACATTCCCTTAGTCTCATTAGCCACATTTCAAGTGCTCAACAGTTCATGTGAATGGTAAATACCATATAGGAGGGAAAAGATCATAGAAAGTTTCCATTATTAAAGTTCTACTGGATGGTGATGTTCTAAATAAAAAGCAACATTATGCTAGGCAGGGTAACAAACACCTGTAATCCCAGCAATGTGGAAGGCTGAGGCAGGAGCATTATAAATTAAAGTCCAGCTTTACTCACTAGTGAGAACCTAGGCAACTTAGTGAGACCCTGTCTCAAAATAAAAAATAAAAAGGACTGGGAATGTAGCTCAGTGGTTAAGATCATCTGGGTTAAATCCCTAGTAGCACAAAAAAAGTAAAGCAACATTAAATCATCTACCAACTCATCATCAGTAGTATCTACTATATGCCAGTGAGAGGAGCCTAATACCTATGAAGACTTTTATAGGTGGAGTATTAAACTAATTATAAGCAGTATAAAGAAGGACAAGGCATATTAATGGCCAAAAAACTCACTGACCCATATTGAATCACATTTAATAACTGGATTGATTTATTTTTCGCTAAATTTATTGTTTATGTTTTCTGGTAATATGTTGCTCTTATACCAACGGTTGCCTTGTTAGTATTAGGTAAAGAGTTAAAAGAGATCTGAATGCCAATGGTATACGAGCTAGTAACTACCTACCTAACTTAGTCACTTGGGTTTTAAGAATTTATGGATTGTTATTTATAAAAGAAATTTGAGTCAAATGATCATTACAGTTTCTTTGGGCTCAAAAATTCCTTTGCTCTAAGTAGAAGAAGATCAAAAGAAAGAGAGGAGGGATGGGAAAAGAGAGGAAAGGCAGAATAAATCTAACAAAATCATATTATGGGCATATATAAATATACTACAGGGAATTTCACCTATAGATGTGTATAGAAAGCACCAAGTAAGGATGGATAAATGGATGAGCAAGGGGAGAATCTGTGGAGTGGAGGGGTAATAGAGAGAAGGAAGGGGAAGAATGGGAAATGACATGAAATTGGATCAAATCCCATGTATGTATGATTTTTTAAAAACTATTTACTTTTTAGTTATAGGTGGGCACAATATCTTTATTTTATTATTATTTTTATGTGGTGCTGAGGATCGAACCCAGTGCCTCATGCATACTAGGCGAGCACTCTACCACCCAGCCCCATGTATGTATGATTTTGTTGGGATGAATCAACTACTATGTATAACTACAGTGATTTAATAAAAAGACATTAAAACCCCTTTTGCTCTAATATTCTTAGCATAAAAAAATACAAAAAAAGATGACAACTCTTAAACCAGTATTCAAAGGTGAGATCATGAGAAGGAGCTCTAGTTTTATCTTACCTGTCTGTACTGGACTAGAAGCTGAAACTGGAGATACAGGGATGGGAATTTCAAATGCACATAAAAATCCACTCACTGAGAGTCGTACTTTTTGGTTGTCCTGAGGAAAGTTCTACAGGGGAAAAAAAGAAAAAGTAAAGCAAGAGGGAGAAGGAAGAGACGTTTCAGGTAAAATGGAAAAATTATCTCTTATCTACTTGAAGAGAATGTCTTAGGAGTTTCAGTGGTAAAACAAATAAGGGAACCAAATAAATTTTCTCCATAACTAAAAGATGTATACTTGATAAAATAACTGAAAACTCACCTCATCAAAGAAAATCATTATCCCTTTTCAGAAAGAGAAAAGTATGCTGTGTATAACTGACTTCCTAAATCTTGTCTTTTTGTTTCAAGAATAAACACCCAAAACCCTCAGAGAGACCTTGTTTTTTAAGTTACATATGAAGAAAATGTCAGTGAGGTAGGGTTTTGTTGAGAAACCTCAAGGACAACTATAATGAACTCTTATTACCATAGAAGCTCAATATAGGGTAGACAATATATTAGATGATTTCCCAAAGTGGAATCTAGGAAACATGATTGTGTCAATTTGTCTTTACTTTCTAATTTCTAAGCATTTTGAAAGGCAAAACATGTCGTTTTCCCTTAGTATCTTTAGGTAACTGGTTCTAGGATCTACTGCAGATGTTAAAATCAGAAGATACAAGTTCCTTATATAAAATGGAGTAGTGTCTGCATATAAGTTATGCATACCTTTTAATATACTTTAAATAATCTTTAGATTATTTTTAATATTTAATACAATATAACAATTATGTAAATAGTTGTTATACTGTATTTAGGGACTAATGACAAGGAAAAAAGTCTGTATATGGTTAGTTTAAATGTGATTGTTTTTCATCCATGGTGGGTTGAGTCAGAGGATGCAGAACCCTCAGACATAGGACTGTTTATTCATAAATATATAATCATAAATACACAAAATAACCTGGGAAGAATTCCATTAACAGTGGTAATATAGAAGAGCTGTTGGGTGTAGTTGTAACATTTGCAGGGGAGAGCCTATATTATAATGACACAGCTAGATTAATTCATACTGATAGCCTTATATATTTTCCTTCTTTAAAAACACCACTATTGGGGCTGGGGTTGTGGCTCAGTGGTAGAGCGCTTGCCTAGCCCATGTGAGGCACTGGGTTCAATCCTCAGCACCACACATAAATAAATAAAGGTACTGTCTCCATCTACAACTAAAAAAAAAATAAAATAAAAACACCACCATCACGGGCTGGGGTTGTGGCTCAGCAGTAGAGCGCTCGTCTAGCACGTGCGAGGCCCTGGGTTCGATCCTCAGCACCACATAAAAATAAATAAACAAAATAAAGATTAAAAAAACCCAAAAACCAAACAAACAAAACCCACCACCATCAGGGGCTGGGGTTATGCTCAGCTATAGAGCACTTGCCTTGCACGTGCAAGGCCCTGGGTTTGATCCTCAGCACTACATAAAAATAAATAAGTAAATAAATAAAATCAAGTTAAAAATAAAAACAACAACAACAACAAAACTACCACCATCAGCAACTTGGGAGGCAGAGGCAAGGAGGATCGCAATTTCAGGGCCCTACGTAACTCTGTCTCAAAATAAAAAATAAAAAAGAGCTGGGGATATGGCTCAGTAGTTAAGTGCCCCTGGGTTCACTCTCCAGTACCAAAAATAAAACAAACAACTCCCCCGCCCAAATTGTATTTTTCCTGTTCTGTTTTTGTTATATTTTAGTATCTCGCATGGCCATTTAACAATTAACTGATAATAATGGAGAAAACTAAACTTTGATGGATAGAATCAAAGATTTCCTAGAAAGAGTAGCTAATATTACCTTTATGTTGGAACCATGTACTTCTGCAAGAAGGATTTGTTCTGATTTTAGTCCACAGAGATCACTCAGCTGTTTTTTTAAACCTGTGTACTTTTCATCCATATTTAGTCTTAGTCCATATCGTATAGGGGTAGTACCATCCAACTTAATTACTAGTAAAGAGAAAAGAACTTTTATTTGTAAAATCCAAGTTACTCTCAAAGTCTTATACACTGTCAGCAGATATATCTGACTTGCAAATAGCAAATAACTCAGTCTAGAATTGTATTTTATATGTAAATACTAAAGTAGTACTTAAGAATAATATTGGGAAAACTAAGATTTTTAAATGTTCATCTGATACAATTATGAGCAGCTCTGTAATAGTTCAAAGATTCTGGCTCAGCTGTAGAGCACTTGCCTTGCACGTGCAAGGCCCTGGGTTTATCCTCAGCACCACATAAAAATAAATAAGTAAATAAATAAAATCAAGTTAAAAATAAAAACAACATCAACAACAACAAAACCACCACCATCAGCAACTTGTTTTGAAACAAAACAATCAATATAGGCCCAGGTGCCACATCTTTCAAATCCCAAATCAGCCTGAATGCAGATTACTAGGTTTTAACATGCTTTTAATCTTTATGAGAACTCACTACAAGCAAATAACTATAATTAGAAATTTAGGCGGCATGTATAAGATAGAAGAAAATGGAGTCAAATAATATTTCAGATCTTTGTGACCCACCTGTTATTTCTAAATGCATATAGCTGTCCATTGGTAGTGGCAAAGACAAAAAATTGAAAGGGTCAAATCGGACACTTATATGCCCACATGTCTTGCATTTGACTTGGGATCTTAGCTGCCCATGGAATAAATCTACAACAATTGATCTATTTCTTCTCAGATGGTTGTCCCAGGCCTAGCAAGAAAAGATACAAATCTTTGTTTTTCCTCCCAAAATTCAAAAGATAAGACTTCTACATAAATTCAAAAATACTGGCTAAATATATTGCATTTAAATGCAAAGAACATAAAACTTTGCTTTATTTAAAATATAAAAGCTATCTGCCTACAAATTTATAAATTCAGATATGTGATTTAAAATATATTATCTACTGAGGGAATAGAGAATAGAGTATGATTTTTTCTGAATAGTGTGTAAAATAATAAATTCAGGGGCTGGGGTTAAAGTTCAACATTTGCCTATTATGTGTGAGGTCCTGGGTTCACTCCCAGCATCATAAGTGTGTAAGTTAAGTAAGTAAGTAAATAAATTCATATGAAAAATCTTAATTTTTATTTGTTCTTACCATGTTAACAATGGGGAGTATTAGAGTTCTTTGTTCGTGAGAAGCAGATAAGAGACAGCTATCAGTCACTGTATACATTATTTTAGCAATTATTGGAACTCTTCCACTGGATAATTATTCCTATCCCACCGCATAAAGGTCATAATGTGAAATAGCAATATATTTCTAATTTCATTAAATGTGCTTTTGTTTCAGTATTATTAAGAGTTAAGCAGATAAAACAAATTCTTTTATTCTCAGTAAAATTATGGTTACAGAACATTTTAGTTTGCATTTAAGTGGTGTCACACGTATTTGTGGCCAGAACATTTAATCTATTGCTTATATTAGAAACTCAAAATGGACAAACCTCTGCAGCTACTTCCCAGTCTGGTCGTCCATCACTGTCTTTCAGTTCCACATATGGCTTCTCATGGACTCGGTTGAGATCCTCATGAAGACCATCCAAAAGAAAAGCCAGAAGTTCTTGGGAGTCTTGTTGCTGGAACCCATTAAACCTGGGAGCATATTTTGCTATGGTCCACTATAAATACGAGGAGTAACACTCATTATTTCCTACCCCATAAAATTTGGAATGAACATGTCCTAAAATTCAATCAGAGACATCATAAAAAGTAAAGCACAGTATTTAGTATGCCTATATTTCAGCAAGTATTTTTACTTGTTCTTTTTATATATGACAGTAGAATCTATTTTGACATATTTATTCAAGCATGTGTTATTCTAATTAGGATCCAAGTCTTATGGATGTACATGAGATGTTGAGATTTACTGTGGTGTATTCATATATGTACACAGAAAAGTTATCTCAGTTTCATTCCGCTGTCTTTCCTATTCCCATTCCTTCTCTCTTCCCTTCATTTCCCTTAGTCTAATCCACTGAACTTCTATTCTCCTTCCCTCCCCCTTGTTACGGGTTAGCATTCACATATCAGAGAGAACATTCAACCTTTGTTTTGGGGGGATTGGCTTATTTCACTTAGGGTGATAGTCTCCAGATCATTCATTTACTAGTAGCAGAAGTCATAAATTCATTCCTTTTTATGGCCGAGTTTTTTGAGGGATCTTCATACTGCTTTCAAGAGTGGAGCAACTATATTTTAGAAAATCATTTAATTTTACTGTTCTTTATTTCAAATGACCACACATACAAAAAAAAAGAGAAGCATTTTGGACAATTCTGTGTTCAGAATCACACTGGCAAACTGAGTTCTATTTTTTTGTTGGTTCTTTTTAGTTATATATGACAGTCAAATCTATTTGGATATATTTATATAAGCATGAAATAGATTTTATTCTAATTAGGACCCCAGTCTTGTGGATGTACAAGATGGTGAGATTCACTGTGGTGGGCAAACTGAATTCTTTTTTTTTTTTAGAGAATTTTTTTCAATATTTATTATTTATTTTTTAGTTATTGGCGGACACATCGTCTTTATTTGTATGTGGTGCTGGGGATCGAACCTGGGCCAGGCGAGCGCGCTACCGCTTGAGCCACATCCCCAGCCCCCAAACTGAATTCTTAAGGCCCACAGATGTTATTTAATACAGAAATGGTAAAGCAGCATTGTTCAAAAGAAGACACCCTAGATTATGTAAGATTCATTTCACAGTAACCTTTTCTGGCCTATAGCCTAACTTTTATTATTAGAGGCAAAAAAACATAGTATTTAAGGGTTAAAACTTTCATACTTGCAAGCATGGGCAAATTACTTAATCACTTTGGGTTTTAGTTTCCTGGACAATAAAATGGGGATTAAGACACAGCACTATAGGATTACTTAGAGAATTAAATGAGATAATACACATAAATTAAAATAGTACCCAGCAAATGGTAAGCAGTCAAAATTTAGCTATTATGATTATTAATTTTTAACTTCAAAAACCTTTTGACTTAAATTTTAAATTAACATTTCCAAATTCATTAAAATCCACTAAATATATACTAACATAAAACTTGTATCCATTAATTTCATTATTTTATTCTACTTTTTTGTTCCACAGATAAAACTAATTAACTTAGTAGTGCTGAAAATGTAACCGAGGTTAATCTTGCAGTTAGAATACTGCTAATAAAGGATTATCAAAAAACGCTTACTATTCATACAAAGAAGATATTTGATAAATCAGAAAAATGAACAACATCTCAAATTTAGACTGTGCCTTTGGTTTTTTTCTTCTAGCCAGTAGATACACAGCAGTATTTTGCATGCATCTGAACAAATAAAAGTACTGGACATCTGGTTTATGCTGAGTAAGTGATCTAAAAACACTGATTAAAATAAAAAAAAACATACAAAACATGTAAAGAAATATGATTATTTAAAATCACTGTTTAGGAATTAAATACTTTGATATTATTTTAACATATTTACCCGAAGCTTTAAGGGGGCAACATTCTTCTGAGTTCCACTCCAAAGTTCTTGTACTAAATCACCATAGCATTTAGCCATATGCCCCTTCATACCAATGGGATTTGTCCTAGAAATTTTGAAGAAAATTTGTAACAAAGGTTCTCATTAAGTCACAACACACAGGCACAGAAATGTCTAGCACATCACATCAAAAATATCTTATTTTTTGAAACAAGAGAAGTATCCCTTTGCCCCAATTTTATACTGAATAGGGCAATAAGAAAAGATTTTTCTCTTCTAGCATAAAAAAAGAGAAGATTGAAGGTGGGTGAGGTGGCATGCACTTGTAATCCTAGTGATTTAGGAGCAACTCAACAAAATATAAAAAAGAGCTGTGGATGTGGCTCAGTGGTTAAATGTCCCTGGATTCAATCCCTGGTGCAAAAAAAAAAAAAAAAAGGAATCCAATGCCATAAAAACAAGCTTGGTATTGGCTGAACAAAGAAAGAGAAGATCGAGGTAATAGTGGAGTCATATAAAAAATCATAGATTACCTGTTGAGTTCATAAAGATGTCTCCCTGAGATAAAATACTGTGTCAGTGGCTGTGTGTTACTAACACACTGAATGCTTGAATTCATGAAGCAAGTATTTCCCAGGTTACTCAGACCTGTGGCTCCCTTTTCTGTGGGAACTGGAACAAACAATATGAGAACCAAAGTCCTTTTAGTAATATGTTGTAGAACAAAGTTACTTATATTCAATGTAATATTTTTTGATAACTTTTAAAATCAGTTAAACAGTATTAATCTTTCTTTAGCAGGTCTTTCAAATGCTACAGCTTATAAGTTTTTTGAGAATGGCTTTGGCAATCATGATCTGTGGTCATGTATAATCCCAAAATAGCAATTTTTCTTTTTGAGAACTCAATTCACCAAGTATGTCTTTAAAAATATATAAATTATTTAACTGTGGGTTATTTTCTAAAAGAAATTTAGAAAATAGTTTGATGTTGGGTTTTCCCAACAAGAATAAAAAAGAATAAATTTAAAATCATCTCTTTAAAAACAACACACTAGAGACTTACCCTTGTGTCGATCAATTTTACTACTGTTTGCTATAAAGGACATTTCCTCAGGCCAACTCATATCTTTGTTTCGAACTGAAAGACAGATAGGAATGTGTTAATTGCTTCTGCTAAAAAAAAAAAAGTTCTTATTTCTGTATCAGAAACTTCAAAAAGCAACAACAACAACAAAAAAAAATAAGTAATTTTAAGTTAACTGGCCCTGAAACCACTCCTTCTCTTTATATTGGTGAGTTTAAAGTCACTTGATAGAATCATTAAGCTACTATACCTCAATTATCTTCATGAATTAAAATTATACTCAACTATCTAGGGAAGTAATTAAAGCTCAGATACAATGGAATTTCTTATATGTAAAACTCAGAATTGTGATATTTCTTCCTTAAATTCTTTTTTTAAATATTTATTTATTTTTTTAGTTACAGGTGGACACAATATCTTTATATTTATGTGGTACTGAGGATCGAACCCAATGCCTCATGCATGCTAGGCAAGCACTCTATCTTTGAGCCACAACCCCAGCCCCTTTTCCTTACATTCTAACAATAGTTAGTGTAAACCATTCATTTAATATAAACATAATTAACAATGTTTCCATGAAACTTCATGGAAAAAAGACACATGAAATTTTCAATAACATATACATGCCAACATGTAAATTTATGTGTGAATACACAAGTAGCTCTGTTGGTGAGCAGCCAGTATTGATGATTAATGAAAGCCTATGCTACTACCAGAAATTTGGTCGGCTTACTTAAATTCAAAAAGGCAGTCTAAAAATCTTAAAGACACTGTGTCAATGTGCAATTGAATTTACCTGTTTCTACCCACTTTTTCCATTCCATGTCAGCCTATGATTATAGATAATTTTTATAGGTAATTTTTCTTTTAAAGTAATCTAAATAGTACTGTAAGAGTACATAAGAGTCCATGTTTTGATAAAACATATATGTTTTATCAAAAAGAACATAATGAGACAGGTGCCATGGTACACGCCTATAATCCCAGTGACTAGGGAGGCAGAGGCAGGAGGATTGCAAGTTCAAAGTTGGCCTGAGCAACTTAGTGAGGCATTTAGCAACTCAACTCAGGGAGACTGTGTCTCTGAAGAAAATATAAAAACAGGCTGGGGATGTGGCTCAGTGATTAAGCAACCCTGGTTCAATCCTTGGTACCCCCCACTCTGCCCAGAACATAATGATTAAGTAATAGTTGTCTCAGAAAAATTATAAAATGGATTTTAGTAACTCCTTAAAGTCCTCTTCTATAAATCTAATATATAGATGCACACATCTATCTTATACCTTCAATTACTAGGTGCTGTTCATCCTGGATTTTCAAATATTCCAATCTATGATCCTCATCATCCAGAAGAGTAAGGTAATTCTGTATAAGGCAGACGAAATGTTTCTGTTAATTTGATTAGTGAACTTGAAACAAATGTACAAATAAAAATGAATGCCAAAAACATCCTTGCATTTATATAATTTATGTTATGAAAACTTAGCATATTATAATTGTTCAGAAATATTTATAATTTAGGTGGCAAAATGAGGGAAAGACAAATTGGCTTTCCTTCATTTTAGAAACATTCTTTATATCCTTAAAACAAAATTACATGTAATTTTGGAGTGATCAGGAAAAGATCCATCTAATGTCACAATGAAGTTCATTGAAACCGGTTTTTTGAAGAGCTTGGAGAAAAAAAAAATGTCTTTAGTACCTAGTATGAAATTTCGTAAATGTACTGAATGAAACTAGACTACTTACTAGGAATTGAAAATGTAAAGTCAAAAGTCATGCAGTAGGATTATACATTTTTGTTTAAGCTTACACTGTCTAAAGTGCTTACAGAATTATTTCCTATAATTCTCATGACTATCTTGAGGGAGATACTATTATTTATTTGCTTCGCTGTAGCAAAAACTAAGACAGAGAATTAAGAAACTTGCCCTTAGTTACACAACTAAAATGAGGCAGTCAGAATTTAATTCCTGGTAGTATGACACTGCCTTTCAATGGTGACCAAAAGAGGATACAAAAGTTCACCAGGGACTGGAGAACTGGTTGAAACTACACTGACTAACCAATTTCACAGTATAATCTATATTGAATATATAAGGATTAAAAAGCATTGCCTATGAGGAGAATGGAAGATAGGAGTCAGAGGATGGGAAGACAAAATTATACACTTTGGATTGTTTCAAATTTTTAACATGTATATGACCTACTTCAAAACCAAATCCAATATGAAATCTATTTAGTATGAACTAACAGTCATGTTCATGCTTTTATGGATCATGACAAAAAATGATGATTATGACAAATATCTTCATGTGTGAAAATAATAATTTAAAAGTAGAAATTTTCACTGAGATACTAGATATGACTTCTGGCATAATTACTACACAAAAACTCATACTCATGAAATGATGATTTAACATTCAATCAGACTCTATGGCAATGACAATGAGAAGCCTCTTACCTCACTATTATATAGCCACAGGCGCATATCTTCCTCTTTAATGCGAAGCCTTTGAGATAGATACTCATGAATTTCCTTGATGGTCTGCATTCTACTAAAACAGCCTGTATAGGCTAACACCCGCTTTAAAGGTGCATTCGGAGAAGGTACATTTCCTATGGTTATAGTAATCACAATAAGGAAAAGGCAGATAAAAAACAAAACAAGAAAAAATTGAGAAGGAAGCAAGTGCACCCCTCTCAGCAATAGGAATCACACTGTTTTAGGAAATCATGATGAGAAATGAGAATTATAGGTTTAATAATTTTATAAATGAAGAGTACCACAAAGCTTTAAAATTAAGACCCAAGTCTCAACTTAAAAAAAAAAAAAAAAAGAGAATAATAAAAGCTCAGAGGCCCAAATAACTGATGACATTTGAATCTCAAGAGTGGAACATGCTGGCCAACAATTGGCATTGGTATTTGGCTGTCTCTTTGGTGTTGGATCACATCCAAGAGCAACATAAAATAATACTCAGTGTAAGAGTTGGGGAGATCAAATAGCACTGGATTTCAATTCCAGGCAGATAGTTGGATTCCCTTCATCTACATTCTTAAACTAATTCCATCTAATTCTATTACTCTTAGCCATTAAATGGACAAAATACTTGGCACATTGGTACAGTTAACAGAAATTTTTACTTAAGATTCTAAATAGGTAGAGATTCTAAATGGCCAAACAATTTTAAAATTCGGCCAAGAAGTTTCCCATGACAAAATATATAAATAAATAGTTCTATTGAAAAGGATGGGAAATATATAGGCTATTGCCCAAAAAGATAATACCAAAATGACCTTGATTTTCTGAAGGACTCAAGGTGGAAATAAAAGTGGCAACATAGCTGTCCCTCAGAATCTTCAGGGGACTAGTCTGAGAAGCTCCACCATTAGGATACCAAAATCCATGGATGCTCAAGTCTCTTATATGCATAGGCCTTGAATATAACCTATGTACACCTGCCCATATACTTTCTAGATTATTTATAATACCGAATACAATATAAATGCTATGTAAATCATTGTTATATTATTCAGTGAACAGTGACAAGAAAAGTTGTTCATAATTCAGTACAGAAATAATTTTAAATCTTTTGAAACTGCAGATGAGAAATCTGTGGGTATGGAGACTATACAGGGGGAAAGAAGTGCAGCGTGAAGCAAGATTATATCAAGTCTCACTACATACTTCAAAAGAGGAGGGGGATGAAATGAGGCGAGTATGAAAATCAAAGATAGCTTGTTAAAAAAAAAAAACTTGCTAAATCCTGATTAACTATATAACCAAAATTCAAGAGAAAGCTGTAGTTTAAAATGGTTATCTTTGTCAATGGCAGGCTATATTTTATAAAACGACCCCCCAAAAACATATCAATATAATCTGTCTAGGGCACAAGTATACATTCCAGGTTGCTGCTGTCCACCTGTTCAGTAGTGACTTTTTTCCTTGCAATAAATGTGCTTTTTAATGAGCTCTCCCCAACCCTACCTCAGGATGGGGGATTAAACTCAGGATCTTCTGAATGCTAGGCAAACACTCTACTGCTGAGCTATACCTCCAACCCTTTTTATTATTTTATTTTGTGGCAGGTTCTCACTAAATTGCCCGGGCTGGCCTCAAACTTGTGTTCCTTCTGCCTCAGCCTCCCGAGCTGCTGGGATTACAGGCATGCGCCACCGCGCCCAGCTTAGTGTGAGTCTTCATCTACTAAACAAATAGAAAAATATTAGTATCAACTGCTTCTTTTAAACCTTCCAGGAAAATTCACTCACCTAAAATAGTCTGAAAACCCATCTAAGGAATAATGATTTCTATAGTCTTGTCTACACAGAAGGCTACATTTAAGTCATTATAATTATAACTATGGGAAATTTGTATACCTGCTACTTCAAATGGAATAAAAGAGCCTAAAAAACAGCTGTAATAAATGGTATTAAAGAAGGATGAACATCATTTTATGGCAGAACAAAACTTAATCATGATCAATTTTTAAATGTATAGCAAAGCAAATCTTTTACTATCAGCAAGCAAAGGACAATCTATAAGAGAAAATAAAAGTGCAAATTTCTCCAATTATACATGAGAGGATTAGTTATAAGATTACAGCAAGAAAGCATATTTTTATAAAATTAAAAATGATTAATGATTGATTTCACAACTAATTAGTAATGAATAAAATTTCAAATTAAGAATAAATTTGGAGCACCAGAACTACACAGTTCTAGGATTCAGAAGCATAGGCAAAAGTATAGTGTCCAAGTCAATCGTCCTAAGCCACAATAAGAAAATTTGTGTTCTGGACGGATTTATAGCATAGCTCAATTCCCAGGCAGTCACTTATTCTACATAATTTTGTGCTTTTGAGTAGCACCAACAAATCTAGGGGAATTTATAGAAGCAGCAAAAATCTAGGATCAGCACAAGTATTACAAATACTTACTAAATGCGCAACAACACATCTTGCCTCTGTTATCTTTCAAAGAGAATCAAAAAAGACATATGCTATGGGTGCCATGGAAGAATGTTTCCGAGTAATTCCCTTTCTCTGTTCCTTGATTTTGATGTTTTCCCCCACAACAAAGTTTGTTTAGCAGAGGCCACTGTTTTGCTATAATTCTTAACAAAAAATATGTAAGAGTCTTTCTAAGTTATCTGTATATAACCTTTTAGGAGGACATAAAATTGTTTAAATTCAAAGGAACCTAGTACTCACAAAGGGGTGGTGGCTTAGTACTTCTTGCAAACTACACAATCTGACATTATTAACACAAAGTCTAAGACTTTGCTAATGGTTGAACTCATTATTTATTGCTGAAGAATAATTTCACTTATATGTAAGCAAAAAGCTGAACAAGTATTTTTTTAAAATATATTTTATAGTTGTAGATGGACAGAATGCCTTTATTTTATTTGTTTATGTGGTGCTGAGGATTGAACCCAGTGCCTCATGTATGCTAGGCAAGCACTCTGCCACTGAGCTACAGCCTCAGCCCTCAACAAGTATTGTATATCAATAAAATTTAACTTTCTAAATCAAAGGAGAACTTTTTGTGTATTATATTTCATTTTGATGACTTGGTGGGGTTTTTTTTGGGGGGGGAACTTGACATTTTTCAAAGCAAATGTATAATGTTCATTTTCAAAAATATGTTTGTTCTGCATAATTTGTCTCTTATAAAGCATTCTTAGTTTAACATGCGAAACACATCATGTTTTGCCAAAAACAGATCAAAAAAAAAAAAAAAAATCATTGCCAAAAGAATTACTCTTATAAATTTGAGTGGAGCTGAAAAGACCAGTCAATAAGTGGTACACTATAACTTAAATCTAGCAACAATTTATAATGGTTTATCTCAAAGAAAAAAAATATAAAATCTATTCATTATTTTCATAAACTTACAACTAAAAAAGGAAAAGAACTCTTCCTAGTTTGCTGTTGAGACTTTGCTTTAGCTCTAACCAGTATTGCGCGTGACCATAGATCTAAGCCCTACAAGTAATTCACTGATTCTATATGAAAATGGATGGGAATGTGAATTAGTACAGTGGCAGACTTGGAGCAACTTGGTTTTCATTTTTTATTTATTTTCAAGAAATGTGTAGTATTCTTGCTGCATTCTTACGTTACCTCTCGGTAAATGCTGAGGAAACATTCTCAGGCTCATCATACCCATATTCACCCAGATGTTAGACTGCTGTGTTCGAGTGGCAGGCTGCTGTCTCAAGAAGAGAAGATAGCGAGGAAATAATTCCAATTCTGGGATGTCTGTCTTGCTATTTCTGATCACCTATTTTAAATGATAAAAAGTGATCATTCTAAAAGAGTAAACCAAATTTGCCATTTAATCTCAGAGATTTATTCTTTCTTTGTAAAAATTACTTATTTATTTTTTGGTAGTGGGGATTTAACCCAGAAATGCTTTGCCACTGAGCTATATCCCTAGCCCTTTTATGTTATTTTTTATTTTGAGACAGAGTCTCAACTAAGTTGCTTATGGGCCTGATAAGTTCCTGGGGGTGGTTTCAAACTTGCAATCCTCCTTGAGATTTATCTTTTTTGGTACTGGAATTAAACTCAGGGGCACATCCCCAACCCTTTTTACTTTATATTTTGAGAAAGGTCTTGCTAAGTAGCTTAGAGCCTCAATAAATTGCTGAGGCTGGCCTTGAACTTGCAATTCTGCCTCAGCCTTCTGAGTTGCTGGGATTACAAACATCATGTCACCATGGTGAGATTTATTTTTAAACTAAAATATTTAATAAGTTTGTTATCTATATTTCAATAAATTACCGAAATTCATGTATTTAAATTACATAAGGTTGAATATTCTTAGGCTCCAGATCATAAAATCAACTCCTTGAGGGTACTTTCTTTTCTTTCATTTAAAAAGCAAGTAATGAACCAAGGCCCAGTGGTGCATGCCTGTAATCCCAGCTACTTGGCAGGCTGAGGCAGGAGGATTGCAAATTTGAAGCTGGCCTTAGAAACTTAGGGAGATCCTGTCTCAAAATGAAAAAAGACTGGGGATATAGTTTAGGGGTATAGCGTCTCTGGGTTTGATCTCCAATACCAATAAACAAACAAACAAACAAATAAATTCAAGTAACAACAAAATTAAGGGAGAAGGATCCTTTAAATATTAACTATGATTATACTACACTCACACTATAACTTTTTCCTTTTACCCATTTCACGTGTTGTATACAAATGAGTGATATTTTAAAGACAAATTCATAGAATTGGAGTTACAAGTAAAAAGATTACATAAGTTTACATGCCATTACCTATATAGCCCTGTTGCCACCCAAAGTTTAGCAATCTACACTATTTCCAGTAATGTCTTTGAGTATGTAACTCTTACAAATTCTTATCCTTGAGCAACATTTTAAAAATCCCCATTTTGTTAATACATAGAAACAGTATTATACATTTGCTTAAAATTTTATTTCTTATGTTAAATAGTATATTATTTTTCCATATAAAAATTTACTATGTTTTTTAATTATGTTCTGCTTGTGTAACTGATCCATTCACATATTTTTTTTGCCTATGATTAAAACACCAAAATTGAGGTTTCACATTGTTGAAACAGTATTTTTAAACAGATCCTTCCAAATAACCTGCTCCTCCGCTAACAGACACAGGTAAACATTAATATCAAAATATGTTTTTATGAGTATTAAGATTAGCATGTTTTCAGTTTTGTGTTCTAACAGGATAATATGGTTAACACTCAAACTCTCCGTGTGTGTGTGTGTGTGTAGTATTGGAAGCTGAATCCATGGATGCATTACTACTGCACTACATTCCCATTGATGGACCTTTTCTTTTTCAGACAGGGTCTCAGTAAGTTGCCCAGGTTGGCCTCAAATTTGTGTTCCTCTTGCCTCAGTCTCCTGAGTAGCTGGCATTATCAGCACGTGTCACTGCACGAGTAATATTCAGATTCTTTAAAACAGAAAATCCTACAGACTCTTTAACAGTCTCAGGTGGTCAGGCTTTACTTTATTTCCCTTTGCACTAGTAATCAATGTCTCAAACCTTTAGGATTATTTCTCAAAAGTACTCCACATGTTTTAAAATCACAGAGTGTGTTCTGTATGTAATTTGAAAAATTATCTTTGGGAGCTTCTGAATTCCTATATAAGCAGTAAGCAGTAATAAGAGTTTTTGTTGGCAGCCTTGTGGAGATAGCTAGTTTGAGACTGGGGAATGCTGAGCCGCACATTTGCCCTGTGCTGCCCAGATTAGTGAACAATATAGTCAGGAAGGCCAAAGGTGACCCCAAGAAACCAAAGGGAAAGATGTATGCTTATGTTTTTTTTTTTTTTTTCTGTGCAGATTTGCAGAGGAGAGCATAAGAGAAGTCCCTGTCAATTGTACAGAATTTTACAAGAAGTGCTCTGAGAAATGGAAGACAATGTCTGGAAAACATAAATTTAAAGAAATGGCAAAGGCAGATAAAGTATGCTATCATCGGGAAATGAAGAGTTATGGACCAGCTAAGGGAAGCAAAGAGAAAAAGGACCCTAATGCCCTCAAAGACCATCATCTGATTCTTACACCCCAAGATCAAATCTACAAATCCTGGTATCTCCATTGGAGACATGGCAAAAAAGCAGGGTGAAATGTAGAATAACTCAAGTGACAGCAAAAAGTAGCCATACATCACTAAGGCTGCAAAGCTGAAGGAGAAATACGAGAAGGATGTTGCTGACTATAAGTCTAAAGCAAAGTTTGATGGTGCAAAGGGTCCTGCTAAAGTTGGCTGGAAAAGGGTGGAAGAGGAAGATGAAGAAGAGGAGGATGAAGAGGAAGAAGAACAGGAAGAAGAGAAAGAGGAAGAAGGGGATGAGAAAAATGAGTAAAAAACTTTATCCATCTCTTTGTGAATACCTTAGAGTAGAGGAACACTGTGATTGACATATCTTACGTGAGATGTGTCTGTTTCTTTCATTAGGTTCAAATATAGAATTTGATCAGGATCATATTGTAGTCTCTCAATGTGCTCCAGAAATTGTCAGTGGTTTACATGAGGTGGCCCTGGGTTTACAGAGCACCCTAAAACTGTATCAAAATTGTACATATTTCCAAACTTTTTTTATAAGCTTCTTAAAAATAATTTTTTAGACATTGATGGACCTTTATTTTATTCATTTATTTAAATGTGGTGCTGAGGATTGAACCCAGTGCCTCACACATGCTAGGCAATTGCTGAACCACTGAGCCACAACTGCAGCCCCATTTTTTAAAATAAAAAGGCACATTTGTGTTCTTCTTACTTTGTGTACTTTGTTGTTGGTGTGACAAGGCAATCGAAGATGTTTCTGGCATTTCTTTTTTAATTTGTAAGATAGTATTAACTATATAGTTATTGGTTAGAAATTCTCAATTATTAACTTTGCATCTCTCTAGTCTGTAAAAAGAATGAAACAGTGGCTGGGGTTGTGGCTCATCAATAGAGCACTCGTCTCTTACGTGTGAGACCCTGGGCTTGACCCGCAGCACCACATAAAAATAAATAAACAAAATAAAAATATTGTGCCCATGTATAACTAAAAAAAATTTTTTTTAAAAAAAGAACAAAACAATCAAGACAAACTATTGATGTTCCTTGCTTGGCGTTGAAGCCTTCCCTATAGGGTAAGATGCCTTTTGGAGGGCTGTAGTTTGGTGTAAACTGTGAAGCTGGACCTGTTGACATTGCAGTGGGCATCCATTTAGCTTTAAGTTGTCTTGTTTTTGTATATAGTGATATACCATTTTGCTGCCTTTATTAGTTTTGGAAAAAGGGGGATCAGCTGGCATGAGAAGCGATTGAAATTTTTTAAGTTAAATTCAGTAGATTTTAAACTTTGTTTTCAAGCAAACTGTAGAACTCTTCATTGTCAGCAAAGAGCCACTGCATCAATGAAATTTAAAGAATCTCCTGTATTTAAATATAATTTGCAACGTTATGTTATTTTTTGTATGTTTAGAATGCTGAAATGTTTTTGAAGTTAAATAAACAGTATTACATCTCAAAATAAATAAATAAAAATTTTAAAAAAGAACCTTCTCTGACATTCTCCTCTAAGACCACTGGAAGAAATAAAACTTGTCCATCTTTCCTAGACAGGCACTGACAACTGAAAAGCCAATCATAATTTCCTATGATCTCAGTTTAAATACACTGTTCAGAATAATAACTATAGTTTTATGACTACATAAAAATATCTCTGATAGAAGCTTAACTGATAATAAAGTAGGTTTTATAATACATATCTTTTCCCCCTGAAGATTAATAAGAGGTTTTGGAAGCAAATTATAATTTTAACAGATTCTCATATACAAATGCACACACATATCCACACACATTCACTTATATTTTAGTTGTTTTCTATAAACTTGTTCAAACTTGAATGTCTCACAACAAATGAGATGCAATATAATTAATTTATCTAAAAACTAGTTTAGATGATCTTTACAGAAGATGTTAATCTGTCAAAACAAATTGTGCCTGTCTTTTTTGGTAACAGGGATTGAACTCAGGAGCGCTTAACTGAGCCATATCCTCAGGCCCTCCCCCGGCTTTTTTTTTTGTATTTTCTTTAGAGACATGGCGTTGGTGAGTTGCTAAGGCTGGCTTTGAACTCATGATCCTCCTGTCTGAGTCTCCCCAGCTGTAGGGATTACAGGCAAGTTCTACTGTGCCCGGCAAATTGTGCCTTTTTAAAAAAATATATTTATTTTTTGTAGTTATACATAATTTCTTCCTCCCTCCCTCCCTCCCTCCGTGTCTCTCTCTCTCTTTCTTTCTTTCACTGAGGATAGAACCCAGTGCCTTGCACATGCGAGGCGAGCACTCTATCACTGAGCCATAACCCTAGCCCCAAATTGTGCCTACCTTTTGATATAGCAATTCTATTTATAGGCATTTACTTTAAAGAAATCATCACACATGATTAGAAAGAGAATGTTCAACAATTTAAAAGTAGAGGTAAACAAAATGTTCATTAGTAGGTGAGTGGCTAATAAATTGTGATTTATCCACATAGGATATGTGTACACATATAATGTATATAAAGGAATACTATGAAATTACTAAAAATGATGGCATAGACCTAAATTTATTAACCTACACACATATCCACAGTATATATGCTAGATTAAAAACAGGGTATCATATGCCCTTCAATAGATGAATGGATAAAAAAACTGTGGTATATACACACAATGGAATATTACTCAGCAATAAGAGAGAATAAATCATGGCATTTACAGGTAAATGGATGGAATTAGAGAATATTATGCAAAGTGAAGTTGGCCAATCCCAAAAAACCAAAGGCTGAATGTTTACTGTGATAAGTGAGTGGATGCTGATTCATAATGGGGGAGTGGGTGTGGGATAAGTAGAAGAACTTTGGATGGGGCAAAGGGGCAGGGGACAGGAGATATGGGGGTAGTAAAGCTGGTGGAATGAGACAGACATCATTACCCTAGGTATATATATGATTGCATGAATGGTGTGACCCTACTTTGGGTACAACCAGAGAAGTCAAAAATTGTGTTCCATTTATACAATGAATCAAAGAGCATTTTGCTGTCATGTATACTTATTTAAACAAACAAATTTTAAGAATAGGGTATCATAACCCATCAGTTATAGTATGATTATATTTCATAAAATTATTCATTTATGAATATGGATAGGCACAGAAAAATAACTGATTTTGATTTTTGAAGTACTGGGGATTGAACCCAGGGCCTTGTGCATGCTAGGCAAATGTTCTACCACTGAGTTATATCCCCAGTTCAGAGAGATAACTGAAAGATGCACACCAAAATGTTAATAGTTGTTCCAGGTAGCAAGATGTAAAATGATTTTTATTTTTTTAATATATTGCTTAAATTGTTATTGACATGTGTAATAAAATAGTTACTTTTTAAAAAGTGGTATGATTTATAAAGGTAAAAACACTTTTTAAAAAATTTCTTCCTTTGGGGCTGGGGTTATGACTCAGTGGTATAGCTCTCGCCTCACATGTGTGAGGCCCTGGGTTCAATCCTCAACACCACATATAAATAAATAAAATAAAGGTATTGTGTACAACTACAAAAAAAATTCTTCTTTTTAGATACACATGACAGTAGAGTGTATTTTGACATTTTATACATACATGGAGTATAATTTATTCTAATTAGGTTTCGATCCTTGTAGTTGTACATGGAGTTTCACTGCTCGTGAATGAACATAGGAAACATTAACATAGGAAAGTTACAACCAGTTCTTTCTACTGTCTTTCCTATTCCTGTCTTCCCTCCCTTCCCTTCATTCTCCTTTGTCTAATGTGTGTTTGTATCTGCATATCAGAGAGAACATTTGATCTTTGGTTTTTTGGGATTGGTTTATTTCACTTATTATCAGAGTATCCAGATTCATCCATTTACAAGCAAAAGTCATTTGTTTTTATGGCTACACAATATTCCATTGTTGTATACACATTTTCTGTACTCATTCATCTATTGAAGGCACCTAGGTTGGCTCCATAGCTGAGCTATTGTGAACTGAGGTGCTATAAACATTGATGTGGCCACACTACTGTAGTATGCAGATTTTAAGTCCTTTGGGTATATACCAAGGAGTGGGATAACTGGGTCAAAGGGAGAAAACACTTATTTGGAACCTCATATTTTAAATGTTTTTGAAGCAAACATTCCTGGAATCAGGCAAATTTACCATAACTAGAGATTAAAAAAAAAAAAAAATCCTAAGCCAGTAAATAGATCTTTAGTTTATTTAAACTGTAGCTTAAAGTAATATATATCTGGCATCAATGTAAAAAAAATGCTCTTTTGTGAGGCTCTGAAAATACCTGTTTAAAAATAATAATAATAATGATAATGCTGATAGTAGCTATAGTCAACATTTATTGACTACTATGAATGAAATGATATGCAAACCATACACATGATTTAATCCATAAAACAACTCTTGATGGGCTGGGGTTGTGACTCAGTGGTATAGCACTTGCCTGGCATGTGTGAGGGCATTGGGTTCAATCTTCAGGTCCACATAAAAATAAATAAATAAATAAAATTGTGTCCATCTACAACTTAAAAAAAAAAAAAAAAACAACTCTAATGAGGTAGGTAAAATTATTCATATTTTACAGATAAGAAAACTTAAGATTTAGAAAATTTGAATATGATGTATCACAATAAACAATGAAGTTTCAAGAAATGAGATTAACTCAAGAATTGTTTCGTGCTCCCTCTGCAAACAGATAAAAAAGAATTATCTATCAAACCTGATCTGAATACAGTAGTGTTTTTTTTTTTTTGAGGTGCTGGGGATTGAACCCACGGCCTTGTGCATGTGAGGCAAGCAAACTACCTACTGAGCTATATCCCCAGCCTACAGCAGTGTTTTGTAGCTCACAAATACAAACCCTAAATTCTTCATAGCCATTAAATATAATTTTTATCAAATATAATCATTATTACCTCAAAATCACTTTGAAAAGCTTTAATGAATACTTTTACTCTTTATGGAAGTTAAGTTACCATGTCTCAGCTAAACAAAACTTGAACACCATAAAAGAGTGTTTCTTTTCTTTTTTTTTAAATTTTTTTTTTTTTAATTTACCATCTTGACCATATTTTTAATCTTTATTTTTATGTGGTGCTGAGAATTGAACCCAGTGCCTCACACATGCCAGGCGAGCGTGCTACCACTTGAGCCACATCCCCAGCCCCAAAAGAGTGTTTCTTATATACTAAAATAAATTTTATTATAAGGTATTTTTACTTCATTGACAATATAAACAGTATAGTTCAGGGGAATGAGTCTTGCTGTTTACTGTATAACAAATGATGCTATATAAGTAATTTACTACTATTTTACTGTTACATACTCCAACTCCTTTATTTTATTTCATCTAAATGACTCATCCTAATGATTGCAACAATTAGAATTCACTGGCTTTGAATTCTTTTTAAAAATATTTCTAGTTGTAGATGGACAAAATGTCTTTATTTTATTCATTTATTTTTACACGATGCTGAAGATCTATCCCAGAGCCTCACACATACTAGGCAAGCACACTACTGCTGGAAGCCATCTGTGAAATTACATGAGTATCTTCTCTCGGCATGGAAGCCAGGGAGAAATAGGCCCTGGCATTGGGAACTTTCTGTGGCTCTCCCATGGCAATTGATTGCCCAATGCATGTGACCTCTCCCTCCGCTCTGCTAGGAAGGTTCCTCATAGTAGCTCCTTAGATGGGTATAACCCCTTAGGTACTAAACAGCTCACCTTTAACCTTTTTTGGAAAATAATTTTCTATGGAAGGCCTTTGATGTCTTCAATATAAACAAAGCAGGCGCAGGCGCCATCTTTGCCAGAAGCTCAATCCCTGTGATCAGCTTGCCTGTCCTGCCCCCGGCTTCTGAAACTACTTTCTGTGTTCAGTGGTTTTCTCTGTTTTATTTCTCAGCCAGCCCATTCCAACCGAGGGAAACCCCATTTCCACTAGCCCCTGCCCCGGAAGAGGGCAGGATACTATCACTGAGCTACAACCCTAGCCTGGCTTTTGAATTATGATCTTTTATATGCTCCCCCTTCAAAAGATAAACCAAAAAAATCCAACCAAATTTATAAAGATACCTAATTGGTATCTTTGTAATAGTAATTTCAGAAATAACTTTTATACCACTCATTACATTTACTGAACTTTTTGAACCTGGTGTTCTGTCTTCCTTCACCCCTGGCCTAAGGTCTTAGGTGATTTCTCCATTTATCTGAATGATTCATTTAACAGCTTACCCTCATAATTCCTTAACTTTACTTAGTCAGTGACTATTCTTGGTACTCCATGTTAGCCACTCAATTCCATTAGCATATCAATATATGCTGGCATCTAATAAGTGTTTACTACATACTGAATGAATAGATATGGATGTGAAGGAATCTAAAAGTATTTAATTAATTTCAGCAGGTTCTGAATATTCTGCTACAATAGGGTAGGAACTAATTTTGGATTCATATAGAGAAGTAATAAAAAAACCCACTTTTGTAACTACTTATGTAAGACATTATTAGCTACACTTACTGGTCTAGGTAGAGCCAGGTTTGCTCCATACCAATGATAAAGTGCTCTCCATACAGGTTCTGGAACCATTTCATAATCTCTTCCATGGATTAGCTGTGGAGTTCGTTTTAATCGGCCTCCTTCTAGTGTTAATGATGTAGCCTTAGAAAGAATGAAATGTGAAGGAATAAAATTTAAGTGTCGATTTTTAATAGTAAGAAGTCTGTTGTGCATTAACAAAACTTAGGAGAACAAACTCATATGTCGCTGCCCAGCTCATGTTGTGGGAAAACACAATTTTCAGAGAGATTTTTATTTTTTGGTTTTCAAATAAGGTATTTAAGAATGGAAACTTCCATATATACATGAAACACCATTTTCACAGCTTTCCTAAGAATAACAACAGTATTTACAAGGAAAACTATTTCAAAGCAAGTATTAAGACAATTCTCACAGAAATATACTATGCTAAGAGATTTCCATCTACAACAGGTTAGTTAAAATGAGCCACACATTTTGCTATGTGCCAAAACCTCTAAAATGAAACCTACTGGCAACTTGAAAGAGAATAATTTTAAGGTTAGAAGAAAACTTACATACCTTTACTGGTTCTTGAGTTACTAGTGGCTGGTTATCAATAGCTCCTGGTTTCTGAGGATTAAGGTGCAACAGAATATTCCCATTGGCTCCTAGCAAACACTGGTTGTTATTGTCAGAAGTGTTATGTTGTCGAGCAAAGCACATATCTGTCCCTGGTGTTGTAGAATACAGAAAGCCTATATGAGAAAAAAGGATGGAGTCTCTTTATTTTTAGCTACTATACATAAATAGGCTTGAATATATGAATGCAAATGTCCATATATTGAGCTAATGCTATTATTTTGTTGGCACAACAGTATGATTTGGATAAATCTGTATGAGACAGGAAACACACACACACACACACACTTTTTTTTTTTGGTATCAGGGACTGAACCTAGGGTTGCTCTACCATTGAGCTACACCTCCAGACTTTTTTATTTAGAAGTCTTGTAAAAGGAAGTCAGTGTATGCATCAATATATTGGCGTTTCTTCTATCATGTTTTCTAGATCCTATGTTTTCTTCTAGCAGTTACAAAGTTTCTGGTCTAATTCCTATTATCTTTGATTTACTCTGAGTTGACTTTTGTGCAGGGTGAAATAGAAGGATGTAGTTTCATTCTTCTGCATATGGGATGGATTTGTTTATAGCCTTTACAATTTCTTTGTCAATCAGTTAGTTCCTCTATCCCTAATTTCTCCAGCACAATTAAAATGAATGGGTGATAGATTCTGTTAAATGCTTTTTCTGTGTCTATTGAGATGGTCATGTGATTCTTGTCTTAAAGCTATTAATGTAGTGAACTGCATTTATTAATTTGTGTATGCTGAACCAATCTTGCATCCCTGAGATGAAACCCATTTGATCATGGTATACTAAATTCTCAATGTGTTTTTGAGTGTGATATTTGCCAGTATTTTATTAAGGAATTTTGCATCTATGTACATGAGGAATATGGTCTGAAGTTTTATTTCCTTGATGTATCTTTGTCTGATTTTGGGATCAGGGTAATATTGGCTTCATAGAATGAAATTGGCAGTGCTCCCTCCCTTTCTATTTCATGCAATAATTTTAGAAGAATTTGCTTCAGTTCCTCTTTAAAGGTCTGGAAGGAACTTGGCCAAGAATCCATCTGGTCCTGGGTTTTTCTTTTAAATATTTTTATTGTTGTTGTAGATGGACACAATATCTTTATTTTATTGATTTATTTTTATGTTGTGCTGAGGAACAAACCCAGTGCCTCACACATTCTAGGCAAGTACTCCAACACTGTGCTACAACTCCAGCCCCCTGGGCTTTTCTTTGTTGAAAGACTTTTAATTGCTACTTTGATCTTACTGCCTGATATTGGTCTGTTTAAGTTTTCTACATCTTTATGATTCAATTTGGTCAGGTCATTTCTGTCTAGCAATTTGTTAGTATCTTTGAGATTTTCCAGTTTATTGGAGTAAAAACTTTCAAAAATAGTTTCTAATGACCTTCTGGATTTCAGAAGGATCTGTGGTGATATCTCCTTTTTCATCTTTAATTTTGCTGGTTTGGATCTTCCTTTGGTTAGTTTGGCTAAGCATTCATAAATTCTGTTTATCTTTTCAAAGAACCAACTCTTTGTTGCACTAATCCTTTGCATTTTTTAATTTTCAATTTCACTAATTTTGGCTCTGATCTAATTATTAATTATTGTAGAACTTAATTATTAATATTATAAATATACATTTTTTCTCTCTTCTACTGATTTTAGAGTGAGTTCTTTTTCTAGGGCCTTGCGGTATAACATTTATTTGAGATTATTTGGGAACTCAATGCTATAATTTTTTTTCTCTTAGCACTACCTTGATATTGTCTCAGAGATTTTGATATGTTACATCTCTTTTCTTGTACTGTTTCCAAGAACTTTTTAAATTTCTCCTTTGATTTCTTCTATGATCCATTCTATATTCAAAAGTATATCATTTAATCAAGATGTTAAAAAAGGTTTTGTTCTTATTGATTTCTAATTTCATTCCATTATGATCTGATAGGATGTAAGAAATTATTATTATTTATTGTTATTTGCAAAGACTTGCTTTGTGTCCTTAAATATGATTTATTTTAGACAAAGTTCTATGTGCTACTGAGAAGAAAGTGAATTCAGTCACAGAAATAAAATATTCTAGAGATGCCTGTTAGATTCATTTAATTAATAGTATTTTTTTAGTTCTGAACAATCTTCACTTAGTTAGCTCTGGACAACCTATCTAACGGTGAGGGAGGTATGTTGAAATCACCCAGTATTACTTTAACGTGGCTACTTCGTTCTTAAAAATTGAGAAGGGTTTGTAATATGTACATAGGTGTACTGACATTTGGAGCATTAATATTTATAATCATATCTTGTTTTGAGATAATTGCCTTAATCAGTATAAAGTGACATTTTTTTGTCTCTTCTGATTAATTTTGGCTTTAAAGTCTACTTTGTCTGATATGAGAAAGCTAGCCCTGCTTGCTTTCTGTCTCCATTTGCATAGCATATTTTTCCCCATCCTTTCACCTTTAGCCTGTGAATGTGTTTGTTCATAAGGTCGCTTGTAAACACCATATGGTAGGGTCTTGTTTTTTTGATCCATTCTGCCAATCTATGTCTTTTGATTGGAAAGTTTAGACCATTTACATTCATTCTGTGTTGTTATAGAGACTATTTTTATTTCCTGACCTTTTTTTTTTTTTTAATTTTTAGTTGTAGATGGATACAATGCTTTTATTTTTTATGTGGTGCTATCAGATACAGTGTGCTAGGCAAGCACTCTACCCATGAGCTACAACGCAAGCCCTATTTCTTGACATTTTATTTTTAATACTTCATTTACCCTGATTTTCATTTAACTGACTATATAATTCTAGTGAGAGTCATCCCTGTGTTGGCTCTTAATGAAATACTTCAACTAATATGTTTTATGGTGCAGGCTCTGTGGTTAAAAATTCTTTTTAGTTTCTGCTTATCATGAAAGATTTTAATTTCTTTGTCAATCACGAAGGATAGTTTTGTTAGATATAATATCCTTGGTTGGCACCTGTTTTCTTTTAAGGCTTGGTGTACATTATTCCAAGTCCTCCTGGTTTTTAGGGTCTAGGTTGAGAAATCAGTTGAAATTCTTTTTTTTTTTTTTTTTAAAGAGAGAGGGGAGAGAGAGAATTTTAATATTTTTTTGTTTTCGGCAGACACAACATCTTTGTTTGTACGTGGTGCTGAGGATCAAACCAGGGCCGCACGCATGCCAGACAGGCGCACTACCGCTTGAGCCACATCCCCAGCCCTCTCTTTTTTTTTTTTAATATTTATTTTTTTTTAGTTGTAGCTGGACACATTAAACTTGTTTTATTCATTTTTATGTAGTGCTGAAGATTGAACCCAGGGCCCTGCATGTGCTAGGCAAGCGCTCTACCGCTGAGCCATAATCCCAGCCCAAGAATTCAGTTGAAATTCTAATTGACTTACTTCTAAATGAGAGCTGCCAGTTTTCTCTTGCAGTTTTGAGAATTCTATTCACATTCTGTATATGAGGCATTTTAATTATAATGTGTTTTGGAGAGGATTTTTTTGATCTTGCCTATTTGGAGTTCTAAATGTGTCTTATATTTGGATTTCTATATTGTTCCCAAGATTTGGAAAATTTTCTCATATTATTTCATTGAAAGGTTGTACATTCCTTCACTTTTGATATCCCAAATTTCTTGAATCTTTTGGTCATATTTTTTTTATTTTTATTTATTTATTTTTTAATTTTTTATTGTTGGTTGTTCAAAACATTACATAGTTCTTGATATATCATATTTCACACTTTGATTCAAGTGGGTTATGAACTCCCATTTTTACCCCATATACAGATTGCAGAATCACATCCGTTACACATCCATTGATTTACATATTGCCATACTAGTGTCTGTTGTATTCTGCTGCCTTTCCTATCCTCTACTATCCCCTCTCCCCTCCCCTCCCCTCTTCTCTCTCTACCCCCTCTACTGTCATTCATTTCTCCCCCTTGTATTATTTTTCCCTTTCCCCTCACTTCCTTTTGTATGTAATTTTGTATAACCCTGAGGGTCTCCTTCCATTTCCATGCAATTTCCCTTCTCTCTCCCTTTCCCTCTCACCTCTCATCCCTGTTTAATGTTAATGGTCATAGTTTCTTAATATCTTTTCTTCATTGTTGACTTTATTTTCAAGGTTACATAGTTTGTTTTCAAGGCCTAAGAATCCGTCTTCAAAGTACTTTCGTTGATTAGTGATACTTTCATTTGAATTTTTAACTTGATTTAATGAGTTTTTTATTTCAGGATTTCTTTTTAGTTCTTTTTCTGAAGGTTTATTGAAATGATCTTTCATTTCTTATATTTTTTCTTTTTTTATATTACATATGTATTTTTTATGTAAAACTATTGTATTTTTGATTAATTTTTAATTTTATTAGTTTTTATTTGTTCCATATTCATTGGTGCATTATAATTGTACATAATGGTGGTCCTGTATTTTCTAAGTTCATTCCTTCCATGTTCTTTCAGCTCACTGAACTTTTAAACTATAAACTTTCTAAATTCTTTTTCTGACATTTCCTTCATCATAGTGTCAATGGGATCAGGTGTTGAAGTGTTGTGGGCTCTTTGTGGTTGTTTGTTCCCTTGCTTTTTCATACTGTTTGGATGTATACGAATCTGGTAGAATGATTACCATGTCTACTTTTATGAAGTGACTGTATGGTGAGCTTCTTTTTCTTAAGTGCCCTGAGTTTGGTGAATACCCAGGTATTGATACTTTCACTCAACATGTGTCCTCTACTATTCCCAATATCAGCACCACTTTGAGAGAAGGCACTACTCTGTATTAACTATAATCACTTTAAGCAAAGAGCCATCTACAAATCAACCTTAGGAAAAATAAAAACTTGTTGAAAATGTTTTCCACAGTTCCTCTATTATGGGTGTAAAATTGAAGTAATGTTCTGGAATATGCTGAAAAGTTAGTTATTAAAGACAGTAAGATTACTATTACATTACTTAGGGGGCTGAAAGGGAAGGAGAGAAAAACTGGGCAAAGGAGGACAAAAAAAAAAAAAAAAAACAAGAAGGGATTGAATTCAAGGATCCTTTACCACCAAGCTAAATCTCCAGTCCTTTTATTTTGAGACATAGGGTCTCACTAAATTGCTTAGGGACTCATTAAGTTCCTGGTATTATAGGTACACTAGCCACTGTGCCCAGCCCAAATCTAAATTTATTGACAAAATAAATTTAAAAGCAATATGGAAAGATATTGCTTGATTAATGAAAACTGAAAATATTTTCACATTAAGAGATTAATAAGTATAATACAGAAAAATTTTTATTTGGAAAACTATTAATAGGTTCAAGAATCTTATAATAGAACCCAGTGGTGTGTAAACACTGAATTACATCCCCAGTCCCCCACTTTTTCTTTAAAATTTTCAGACAGGGTCTCATTAAGTTATCCAATTTGGCTTTAACTTATGGTCCTTCCTCTGCCTATTGAGTCACTGAGATTATAGGCATCAGCCACTGCACCAAGCTATAACTACCCATTTTATTCAAAACTTATTTTTGTGAATGGAACCCTAATACCCAGTACTCCACTTACCATACCATTTGCCAAAGTAGGCTTGGTTAAGAACTAACCATGGGAATCAAGTCATATTTACCACTGCCAGCAGTTTCCGAGGCTTCAGATGCAGTAGAAATATTGTCTGAAAATTTCTCTTCTGTGGTATTCACATAACTGAGGTTGCCTCCAATTTTATCTTCACCTTGCTCCACAGAATGTAGTGCTGTTCCGAAGGAAAATTTCCCTCCATTCAGAACAGATGATGGCTCAATTACAACAGGGTTGGCATCCTAATGTCATGAAGTCAAGAGATAAAAAAGCAAAATTTAATCATCTAATAACTACATGTCCTTCAAAAAACAAATCTCAGAAAAAAAAATGAATTACACAATCATCTATTATTTCCTATTCTTTTGGGAGGGTTGAAAGTCATTCTAAAATATTTGAATATGTACTAAATTTTAATCTCTTTAAGAGGGAAGGATGAGTGTGTATATTATCAATTCATCCATTTATAATATATTTTTATATATAGTTGGCAAAAAAGAATGTTAAAGACTGAAGGACTCCACCACATACCTAACTGATTTTATTCTGTTGGATACTTTTTATTTTCCCTGCACAGGGAATTGAAGCTAACATCTCATATATGCTAGGCAAATTACCACTGAACTATATTCCCTGCTATGCTATATGATACTATGCTATTATTTTATGACATGGCCCAGATAAATTGTCCAGGTTGATTTCAAATTTGTAATCCTCCTGTTCCAGCTTTACAAGTAGTTGGAATTACAGGTATGTCCCACCATGTAAGAAGTTCATTCATTTTTATTATTAAAGATTATAAGATCACTGTAGAATAAAATAAAAATAAATATCCTATGTACTCAGATTCCATAATTTAACAATAACTACAGTTGACTATTTTTTTTTTTTTTTTTTTTTTGTACCAGGGATTGAACTCAGGGGCTCTCACCAACTGAGCCACACCCCCAGCCATATTTTGTATTTTATTTAGAGACAAGTTCTCAATAAATTGCTTGGCGTCTGTCTTTTGCTGAGGCTGGCTTTGAACTCGAGATCCTTCTGCCTCAGCATCTTGTGTCACTGGGATTATAGGTGAGCGCCATTTAGTTGACATTTTGATGTGGGTTTTTTTTTTTTTTTTTTGGTTTTGTTTATTACATTTTATTTTTTGGTACCAGGGATTAAACCTAAGGATGCTTAACCATTGAGCCACATCCCAGCCCCTTTTTGAGACAGGGTCTCACTAATTTGCTTATTAGGCCCTTGCTAAGTTGTTGAGACCAGCTCTGAACTTGCGATTCTTCTGCTTCAGTCCTCTGTGCTGGCTGAGATTACAGGTGTGTGCCTCCATGCCTGGCATGTTTTCTCTATTTCTTTTCTTATTCTATTTACTTATTTTTGTGATACTGGTGACTGAGCCCAAAGCCCCATACATACTAAGCAAGTGCTTCAACTCTGAGCTATATCACCAGCCCTTTTTATTTTATTTTTCAGATAAGATCTTACTATGTTGCTCCTGCCTTAGCCTCCTGGGTATCTGGGATTACAAGCGATGTGCCACCAAACTCAGTTGTTTTTCTTTATATCTTATGACTAAAAAATATATATTTGGGGCTGGGGTTGTGGCTCAGTGGTAGAGCACTCGCCTAGCACCTGTGAGGTGCTGGGTTCAGCACCACATAAAAATAAATGAATGAAATAAAGGTATTGTGTTCAACTAAAAAAAATATTTAAAAAAATGTGTTTGTAGAAGATGAGTGAAGTACTACTTGAGTTATAAAATTTCTTCAGAGCTGACTGCTAAAAGATCCAAAGATTGATAGTATTTATCTGGCTTACAGATTAATGAGGAAAAAACAGCTAAAAAATGTTGAGCAATGTTTCTCTAATAATATTGGCTAAAATTAGAGAAGTCATAATTGCTATAAAAGAAACAAAAACATGAACTCTGCTATTATTTATATGCTAGGACTTGGAGTTTTGTCTTTTAAATTTGATATTTACATAGTAATCTTTTCTTTTTTGCAGCACTGGGAATCAAACCCTGAGTCTTGCACATACTAAGCAAGTGCTGTACCTTTGAGCTACATTCCTAGCCCTATTGTACAGTTTTATCTACTATAGCTCATGTCAAGAGTTTACTGAATGCCACTGAATTCTTTTGTACATGCTACTGTCTATCTTCTCAGGTGCCTATGGGATTCTGATGTACTGGTTAATCCTTTTAGTCTTTCTTTCAGCTTCTACACTTCTTGACTTCTAGTGAAATAGCTAACTTTATCCATTCAACTAATCCTATCATTATTTTCCTTAAAATAAAAAAACGATCAAATCAATCATGGTTATACACTGTAGAATCTTCAAGAAACATTGCCTCTTTTTTTTTTTTTAAAGGTATTGTGTCCATCTACAATTTATTTATTTATTTATTTATTTTTTTAAAGATAGAGTGAGAGAGGGAGGGACAGAGAGAATTTTTAATATTTATTTTTTAGTTTTCGGCGGACACAACATCTTTGTTTGTATGTGGTGCTGAGGATCGAACCCGGGCTGCACGCATGCCAGGCGAGCGCGCTACCGCTTGAGCCACATCCCCAGCCCCACATTGCCTCTTTTTGACGGAATTGTATGTTTCTGGCTTCTTAGGGATTTTATTTTTTTAAATTAAACATCAACAACAGATTTCATTTTGTTTTTATTGACTTCTAGATCTGAAATTATCTGATATTATCCTAGAAGTCTATGCTTTCAGAAGATAGCTTTCCAGATAAATAAAAGATTCACATATGGTGAGACATTTCCTTGCTTTGAGTCATTGATCCTCAAAGAGTTAAGGGATACTTTACTGTAACAATTCTATTTTGAGAATTTTATAATTACCTCTGAGTTGTATAAAAAGTTTATGTGTTCCAAAATATTAGTCAGATTTCATCTTTTTTTCCTATTCATGATACTCCTTCACATATAAACAATAAATGTTAATGATCTTTTTCTAACTACTACATATAAATTAATGCTATTTTATTCTCTGGTCTTTAATTATCCTCAAGAAATAGAAGAAGCAGCACAACATGCCTGTAACGCCAGTGAGAGGCTAATGCATGAGGATTTCAAGTTGTGGGCCAGCCTGGGCAACAAAGCAAGACTGGTTTCAGAGGTATAGTACATGGCTGGCTGACTCCATTGCTCTGGGTCCAAGGTGAGGCAGAACATCATGGCAGAAGGGCACGCCAGAGGAAAGCAGTTCATGAGGTGGCAACGAAGAAGCAGAGAAAGCTTAATGATCTTAAATTACTATATTATGTTAATTTTACATTTCAGTATTCTGAAATGCTGGTTTTGGAAAAATTAGGATATATGGGGTAATGGAAAAAGTACTAAGATATACTGAGCTCCACATCTAAATGGGTAAGAAAGTAATTGATTAATATAGCTTTTTATTATAAAACCTAAAGAGAGCCCAGAAGCTTCATTTGGAAACTGAGAGAAGAGAGGCACTTTAAAGTACATTCTAGTTTTAAAGTTCAGTAAAACTCAACAGTAATATCTGTACATAAATAGTAATAGCTACTCTCTGATAGGTCTCAAAACGACACTCATATATACTATAATGATAACAATTTCAACATTTCTCTTCACTTAAGTTTTTACTTATAAGAAAAAATCTTGGCTCTATAATTGGTAAGATCTCAGGAGCAAAGATACAATTATATATTCAAGTGAATGAATCATAGTCAACCTGAGTTAAACCATACCAAGAAAGGATGCCTTAATTTCCTGCTTCCTTGGTCTGTGATTTTTTTCATTTTGGCATTACACATGTAAAACATATTGTCTGCCCTCACAGAAAATTTGTAACTCACATAAGCAAGTATGTCATTCTGTAAAGAGAAAATATAACTAAAGCTAATTGATAACTTAGGTAGACATATGATGCCCAGAGTAAACGCAAGTTTGTTTTTTTTAAATATTTTTTTAGTTGTAGATGGACACAATAACTTTTTATTTATTTATTTTTATGTGGTGCTGAGGATCAAACCCAGTGCCTCACAACTGCGAGGCAGGCACTCCACCACTGAGCTCCACCTCTAGCCACTAAAGTCAAGTTTTTGACATGTTAAAAACTCTTAATTTTGTTTTAAAGAAGGCAATTTGTCAATGTTGCTATGTGTGGAAAAACAAAATTTAAATCACAAACTAATTACTACAGCTGCTGCTACAACTACTGCTACTTACTACTACCACTACTGACTCTAAAGTTACTTAGGGAAGTGTTTCACATATATTAACTTATTTAATTGACATAACATCCTCATTAATATAGGTTTACTATCATTATTTCATTTATCTATTGATTGACTGATTGATTATTGGGGGTGCCAGGGATAGAACTCAGGGGCACTCGGCCATTGAGGCACATCCACAGCCTTATTTTATATTTATTTAGAGACAGAGTCTCACTGGGTTGCTTAGTTCCTTGAGGTTGCTGAGGCTGGCTTTGAACTCACGATCCTTCTGCCTCAGCCTCCCAAGCTGCTGGGATGGATAACAGGTGTGTGCCAGTGTGCCCCGCAGTTTATTATTAACCCCACTCTTCATATGTGGAAATTGAAATAAAGGACAAATTATTTGTTGAAGGTCATATGGAAAGGTACAGGGACAGAACTCCAATACAGAGTGTTCACATTCACAACAATTATCTTACACTTTCTCATAACAGCTAATACTTATTCAGTACTTACTATGTATTGTTTTATTTCTAAAAAATGTTACATGAATTTTAGGAAATTATTTTTTATTTAGTAAAGAATATTTTCCTAATATATATCTTCAGAAAGAATTGCTACTACAAAGGAGACCCAATCATCGACTACCTTAATTTTGTCTCTCTCTGGCCTGTTCTTTTCTGAGTAATTTTTTTTTACTGACTTTTAAAAACTTTGTTCTGAGTAATTCTTTACCTCAGTCTACCTTCAATTGCAGGATTCTAGATCTCAGAGATAAACATCTTGTGACAGAAATTGAAATTGCCTGCTGAGCATCATCAATTTTTTTGGCCCTGACAAGATTCTGCACAACCAGACCCAGGATAGTAATAAACCAGACTACAGCCTGACCAAGATTTCTGGCTCTGAAAACACCCTCAACTCTTACCTTTTCTGTTACCTATTAAATCCTAAAGCTATTATTGACACCATGAAGACAGTACTTAGATCTGTCTCCTAAGTGTGGCCATACTTGAGAATAAATTTCTTTCCTGCTTTACCATTAATTTTTCAATTTGGTTTTTTGAGGTCAGGAGCCAAGCCTGGTCCATTCATACCCCTCTGCACCCCAGAGCCATGCCTTTGGTCAGGACTCTACAGTAATATCACTCTACGTATTAGTAAGCTGTCAATGTCCCTGCCTCCTCCTTCTCCATATTAAGTGGTACTTTCTGCTCAGGTGTCTCATAACAGTTGGCTTTTAAGTAGATTAAAAAATCTGCATTTGATAGACCCAAGACAAAATACAGAACATCAGAGTGGGTAAAGGAATAGATTCTCCCTTGTAAATCTTTCCCTTACTATACCTCCCCTAGTTCCTTAAATGCACAATAAGGTATAAACTAGGTTCATGTTCTTAGCAGTGTACTTCTGCTTATAAGGGACGGACATGCATATAAGACCCAAACCTCTATTATATTCCTACACAAAATAAAAAGTAATAAATCTGATATAAAATTAGGTTTGTGTCTATATGTGGTAAAATATTAATAACTAGTCATTTTAGGGCCAAACTAAGAATATAAAGACCAAAAAGTGTGTCAAAATAGACTGATGATGTACTCCAATGTTTTTGTTTACTATCTGTACTCAACATTACCCACCTACAAGATCCCTAAATCACCTGCCTACTTTTATTCCTTCAGAGATACCCAAGGTCATGTTTGTTAATTAATATTTTATATTTGAAAACATACTATAACTGTGTGCTGTGGCTCATGCCTATAATCCCAGTAATTTGGGAGGATGAGGCAGGAGGATGCCAAGTTTGAGGACAGTCTCAGCAACTTAGTGAGATACTGCCCCCAAACAAATACATAAAATAAAAAGGGATAGGGATGTAATTCAGTGGTAAAGTGCCTCTGGGTTCAACTCCAAGTACAAAAAAAAAAAAAAAGAGAGAGAGAGGAAGAAAACATACTATAATACTTGGCAAAATGGAAAAAGAATGAATTAGAATGATAGAGTAGATAATGTAAAAAGTCTCTTTAATTACCAATAGTCTGAGAATGAGCAGTGACAGAAAAGAATATAGGAAAAAATATGAATCAAGTTGTTATAATTTTGGTAACAACTTGGTAAATAACAATAAGCAATCTACCAACTGGTTCTCCACAAATGGAGACATTCAATTCCTGGCATTACTCTTTTTAGTTTTCTAATTCGGGGGGGGGGGGGGGGGGAGTCTATCTTGAATAAGACTCTAGAAGCTGGGTAGAGTTGCATATACCTGTAATCCCAGCTACTCAGGAAACTGAGGCAGAAGAATTGCAAGTTCAAAGCACGCCTGGGCAATTTAGTAAGACCCTGCCTCAAAAAAAAAAAAAAGACTCTGGTAGAGTTTAGATTTCTAATGTTATTTCTGAAATGAAATTTCGTGAATAAGATATTAACAATTCTTACCCAAGTGTCTTCAACTTTTCAATGGAAAAGATTAACTAATGAAGAATAGTATACATGATATAGGTTTTCACATTAGTCCTTAAGTTAAATTCCAGATCTTCTACCCTAACAAGATATTCACCTTACTTTGTATCTCAGGACCAAGTTCCTCACAGGTAAAGTATCATCTTCCTCATAGGGATGTTTTGAGAATTAGATGAAATGTGAGATGCATGACATATACAGGCATCCCTATGTTCAATGTTATGTTGTTTACAAGGTTGTTGCAAGGGAAGAAATTTGTGTGGAAGTTTATGTGTAGAGCCCAGCCCATAGCAAACACAGAAGATATATAAATACTCATTTCCTTTCCCTTCAAACCTTTATGTTGAAATATTATATTACTGGCCAGTAATCACAGAAAGTCTGATGTAGCTGAAAATCTTATGAAAAGGGTAGATAAACAGGAATCTAACTCACGTATTTGACATATTCTTTCCACTGCTGCCACCACTGCATGGAGATGATAAACCAATTGTGTCCTGGCTGCAGACCATACCTGCTTTCTCGTTCTAACCATCCTCTGTACATACAAAAGAAATTCAGTACATCAAATGAAGTTGTGTGAAACTGAGAACAATGCCCACAACTTATCAGAATAAATTTTTAAAAAGAAAAACATGAAACAAATGTACCCTAGAGAGTGCCACAATTTCTATTACTGAAATACTGGTTCCACTGATAAGCTAATTTCAATAATCATAGGCCACCACTGAACTTCACCTAAAGAATTAATTTACAATAACATAAAATTTATCTGTTTCAAATATACAACTAAGTGATTTTAGTAACATAATTACAAATGTATGTAACCATTGTTTTCCTCTGGCACTGGAGATTGAACCTAGGGGCACTTTATTACTGAGCCACATGCCCAGCCCTTTTAAAAATTTTATCTTGAGATGGTCTAAGCCACCCAGGCTGACCTCAAACTTGTAGCGGGGACTTCTAGCATGTGCCACTATACCCTGTCAACTGGTCTTTTTTCTGAGACCAGGGATTAAACCCAGGGGGCTTAACCACTGAGTCACACCCCCAGTCCTTTTCTGTTTTTATTTTGAAACAGGGTCTTGCACAGCTGTTGAGGTCGGCTTTGAACTTGCCATCCCTCCTATCTCAGTCTTAGAGTATCAGGGATTACAGGCATGGGTCACCACACCAGCCAACCCATGGTCTTCTAAAATCTAGCCTTTTACTTAGCATCATGTTTTGGAGGTTCATCTATGTTGTAGTTTTGTTATTAAGTACTATTCCATTGTATACATACACCACATTTAGTGATAGGTGGTGGTTAGCACCTACAGTCCCAGCTACTGGGAAGCTGAGGCAGGAGGATCATTGAAGCTCAGAAGTTCAAGGCCAGCTTAGGCAACACAGCATGACTCCAACTCTCAAATAATGACATGCCATATTTTGTCTATCTACCCAATAGCTGGTGAACGTATGAAACTAGTTAACCAATTTCCAACAACATTCCTGTTAGCAATATTATCTATATTCTAATTTCTCTACACCATTGAGAACATTTGTTATACACAGTCTTTTCTATTATAAATTTTCAAGTAGGTATGAATTATGATTTTTAAAGAAGTATCTATGTTGGAGGTAAAAAAATCACATAACATGAAATTAATTATTTTAAAGTATATGATTCAGTGATATTTAACACAATGCAATGTTGTTCAACCATAATCTTTATTAAGTATTAAAAGATTTTCATAGACTCCAATTTAACACTCATCCCCATGACCTACTTTCCCCAGCTCTCAACACCTATCAATCTGCCTTCTGTACCTATGAGTTTACCTTTTTTAGATATTTTACATAAATGGAATAACACAATTTGTGACCTCTTAGTCTGCCTTCTTTTACTTAGAAGGTTTGTGAGGTTTATCCATGCTGTAGCATGTAACAGTATTTCATTACTAAATAATAATCCATTGTGTGTGGGGGTGTGTACACACACACATATACACATATACATAATTTCTTATTTCTCCATTCATCCACTGATTGTCATAGAGAGTGTTTTCACCTTTTTCGCTACTGTGAATAGTGATGCTATCCTATATACATTATATACAAGTATTTGTCTGAGCACCTATTTTTCAAATCTTTTGGGTATAAACCTATAGGTCGAATTTATATAGTTAAAAGCAGAATTACTGTGTTACATGCCAATTCTGTGTTGAGGAACCAAGAAAGTGTTTTCCACAGTGGTCATACAATTTCACCTTTCCACCAGCATGAGGGTTCCAATTACTCTACATCCTTCTTATCAAAACTTTCATTTTAAAAGTTATAACCATCTTACTGGGTAAGAAATAGAATTTTATTGTGATTTCATTGTGCATTTCCATAATGACTAATTACATTGTACATCTTTTCATATGCTTGATAAATATTTGCACATCTCTGATAGAGAAATGTGTATTTAAATCCATTTTTATGTCTCCAATTTTTAGCTGGGCTGTTTGTTGTTTTGTTGAATCACAGGAGTTCTTTATATCTTTTGTTTACTATACTCATATATGTTCTTAAAATACTGTCTCTCATTCTGTAGGTTGTCTTTTTAGTAATTAGATAATATCTTTTGATGTATAAATGTTGATGTCAAATTTATAGTTTTCTTTGGTTGCTCATATTTGAGTTAAAACCTAAAAACTTTTGTAAAAATCCAAATCATTTTGTTAGCTATAGAGTTCATATAGCTCCCCTCCCCACCCCCCCAGCTCTTTAAGAAAAATACTGTTCCTCTCAATTGTGGATCCCATACTTTCTGATGAGAAAAAATATGTTAATCATGTTGAGAATCTCTCATGTGATAAGCAGATTCTCTCCTGCTGCTTTTAAAATTCTCTCCTGACAATTTCATTATAAAGTGTCTCAGTGTGGAACTTGAGTTTATCTTTCATGAGGTCCAGTGAGATTTTTCAATGTGTAGGTTGATGTCTTTTTATCAATTTGGGAAGTTTTCAGTAGTTATTTCTTCAAATATTATGCCCCTTTCTCTTTTCTCTCCTTGTGAAATTCTTTGTTGATACTGTAATAGTGAGGTTTTTGTATGTTAAGTCCAACATTTGGGACCACTTCTGAGATAGTTTCTATTAACTGTATAAGGGACATACTTCCCTGTTTCATTTCATGTCTCATGATTTTCTGTTGTTCACCTAGACACATTTGATAATGTATGTTACCAACTCTGAATTTTTATATCTCTGGTTTGGTTGACTTCCTGGACCAATAATCTATAGAAATATATATACAAACACACTCATGTGATCCTCATGCCTCAGCTTCCCACATATACCACCATATACTGCCCCAAATGAATTTCTTTTAAGTAAAAATGGAGGCAAAACCCAAAGAAAACTCAAAACATCCCAAATAAAATAAACTATTTTGGAACTAATGATTTTATTTATTGGTATTGGGGATTGAACCCAGGAGTGCTTTACCACTAAGCCACATCTCCAGTCCTTTTTATTTCTGAGACAGGGTCTAAGTTGCTTAAGTCCTAAGTTTCTGAGGCTGGCCTTGAACTTGTGATCCTCTTGTCATAGCCTCCCAAGTTGCTGGAATTACAGGTGCATGATATTGTACCCCTTAGAAACTCTGAATTTCAAATTTTGATTTATTGAAAAATAAAATAAAGAATACAAAAAGTAGTACATTATTAGTGTTTTAATGAAAGGGGTCCCAACTTGATTTTGCCATGTCTGGGGTAATTTTGGGTTAAGTTCCTCACTTCTTTGAATCTTGGTTTCCTCTTTTACCAAATGAGATGACACTAATTTCATGCATTTATTCTGATGGCTGGATAATGAAAATGGAAGTATTTGATGACGAATACATTTCTATAAAAACTTGAGTATATTATTATTTTTAAAGAATAGGAATAAGTAGTTGCAAAATCAACCAAAAAATACAGCTGTATAGCATTCTTTCTTTGATATAACACACATATTTTACCATAAATAATTTATCCCACAAAAATCCTTAGGTAAAGGCATATAGACTTTACTAATATAATATTTATATATGTAAATTTTATATACACATTTTATAAAATTATATTAAAGAAGGCCTTTTATAGATGCATCATCAAAATAAGAAATAAAATAGTATTCCAGAATATTTCAATTTTTGTAAAAATTTTACAAATATAATGGTGGACATATATGTAAGTAGCTATGTGAGTATAAAAAACATCAACACTTGTTATCTAAAAACACAGAGGTCAGGTGCACTTTTTTTTTTTTTTTATTAACTCTATTTTCTTCATGTTCCCACATGAATTGTTTTTCTATCAAAGAAAAATGACTATGTATTATAAGATGTCTTTTTAAACTGAAAAATGTTGGGTATGCAATTCAATTTTAATGTAAAAAAATTTTTTTTTCTTTTTTAGTGCTGGGGATTGAATCTGAATCCTCATATATGCTAGGAAGCACTCTATCACTAAGCTACAACCCCAGGCCCAGTGACATTTTAATGTTAAAGAGAATTTGATTTCTAAATTAATCTATTCCTTTAGTTAGAAAGGTACTTTATGTTTTACAGGTTTGAATCTTCAATTATATAATGAAAAAAATACACAGATATTACAAATTTACCTAATAATTTGTCCTTCTTCTTCTGGAGTTGCTGGTCGTAATCCCAGAACTATATGACAAACCTATGAGGGAAAATGGTAATTAAGACTTCATTGGTGCAAATGACTAGGCTGTGCAATATTTCACATTTTCTGCATGAAATCTACTTTCTAGCAATAATTGTGGTGTTTTAAAAAAGAATTTTTTAAAAATATTTATTTTTTAGTTGTACACAATGTCTTTATTTTGTTTATTTACTTTTATGTGGTGCTGAGAATCAAACCCAGGGCCTTGCACGTGCTAGGTGAGTGGTCTACCGCTGAGCCACAATCCCAGCCCAAGAATTTTTTCTTTTTTTAAATGGAGATTAACTTCCAGTCTCTAAGAGGGGAGGAAATGGAAGGGAAGGAACAAAAGAAAAGGGAAGGAGAAAGGAAAGTGGAAATAGAAAAGGAACAAATAAGTACTTCTCAGAATATTTTATTAATAGTATCCCTCTCCATGCAGGGATTGAACTCAGGTTCTCACTCATGACAGGCAAACTCTCTACCACTGAGGTAGACCACTATCCCTAATATTACATTTTTAAATATAATGCTCTTAGAGGGTATATTTTCATTGCTGTAAAGTATACCATTGGATGCTTATGCCACAGTTTATTTATCCAACTACTATTGATATATATGTAGGTCATTTTCTGTTTTAGGCTATAACACAAGGCATGTAAGAATGACATATAAGACTATATGTCTTGGGCTGAGGCTCTAGCTCAGTGGTAAAACGCTTGCCTTGCATGCATGAGGCACTGAGTTCTATCCTTAGCACTAAATAAATAAAGATATTGTGTATTCATTTACAACTAAAAATATGCATAAAAATATTTTTTTAAAAAAGACTCTATGTCTTTTGGTGCTTAGTGAAAAACTGTAGATTTATACCAGGGTATATGTGATTGCTGGGTCACAGGGTATGCATATGCTCCAAGATTCATCAGTATTGTCAAACAATTTCCAAAGTAATTATAACAATTTATATTCCCATTAGTTCTGTGTGAGAACTATACTTACTTGTTACTCAACAATAATAATTCATATCACTAACAATTTAATCATTCTGGTGGGTATCTTATAGAATTCCAATCATGGTTTTAATATATATTTCCACAGGAACTAAAAAGGTTATCCTTTTTTCATAAAAGTATCAGGTATTTTGATATTCTTTTTTATACCTATGCACAGTACCTGTTTTGGATTTGTTTGGTTTTTTATTATTTTGCAGATTTTTTATGTTGGGATTCTGTATTTTTCTAATATTTGTTGTTTGCCCTATATTGAGTTGTTAATTGGATATAGGTATTGCAAGTATCTTCTTACATTCTGTGCTTATCTTTTCATTCTCTTAATAGTACCTTTCGTGCTGGGTTTGTGGCTCAGTGGTAGAGCATTTGCCTAGCACGTGTGAGGCACTGGGTTCAATTTTCAGCACTACATATAAATAAAAAAAAACAAACAAATCAAAGTCCACTGACAACTAAAAAATATTTTAAAAAAATAGTATCTCTCTTTCTCTTTTTAAATGGCATCTCTTGATAAAAAACAAGTTAATCATTTTACTAAAGTAGAACTTACCAATCTTTTCCTTTATTGTTAGTACTTTTTATGTGCCTTTGATACCTCAAAATTTTTGAGAACTTTCAGTGAGCATTCATGTTCTACCTTACCATCTTCCAGTGGTATACAGGATAATGTAGTTCTCTTTTCATAATATATGGTTATGCAGTCTACATGTGATAATACTAGCTATTATATGATGGAAAAGAACAGAACTAGGGTACTACTACCTTCTGTACCTATTATTTACCTTAAACATACCTGGAAGAGGAGATTCAAAAATTCATTGGCAAGAACATTTTTCACACTCCAGATCTGATAGTCTTCCAGAGTAAGATGGCCCATCTGAAAGATATCCAAAAAGATATCATGTTAAGAATATCCTTATTTTTTATAGCATTTGAATAAACATAGTTTATTAAACTTATACTGGTCATCTTTCTAAAAGCAAAACAGTAATTTAGAGTAGATGCTATGTGTTCATCTGAAAAGCAGGCCAGCTAGTATAAATTTACAAGTAATAAAACTTATACAAATTCCATTTGCAGTCAATGGTCAAAGTGCTTATTATGGATAATCTTTTTTCAATAAGACTTGAAAAGTAACTTTAGAAATTTGTGCTTCAAGGACTATGAAAAACCATAGGAAAGCCTAAGTGGGCAAAATGGAATGTTTATTAATTTTGAAACAAAGAAAAAACAGATTTTTGGCTTATGCTTTATCATCCTAACAATATTCTAAGATCTTCTTAGAAACATAAGGCAACACTAACAGGCTTAAGAGATTTTTTAAAAACTTAATATATGTCTAGAATGAGTATCTAATTACACTTCTCCAAAATAAAACTGAACATATTACTTTCTTAAGTACAGCAAAGTAACATTTTTGTCATGTCAAGTATACTAAAAATTACACAAACCTAGAAGCCAATACATATATTTTTCTCATCAAGCCAAAATATAATCAAATGCATATATGTCATGTGTCCAACCACTGCCTAAAACCCTGAATAATGTGTTTAGCTTTTGCTATTTAGTGATATTGATCTATTTTCTTTGCATTACATAATATCATGATACATAAGATTTTAAATCACCCTTATAATTATAGGTTTTCATGACTCAACTTCTATTTAGATATATTAACAATCTAAATGTTAGCTAAAAACAAACCAGAAAAAAAATTTCTTCCTCTTCATTTTCCTAACTTTCCCACAATGGCAAGGGTAAATTAGTATAAGTTCATTCTTATATATTTGCCTAGATGCAATCCATTGGAAAATTTTATGATTTGTGGGAATGCAAATGTTATATTTAGTGAATTTCACACACACAATACTACATTGCATTCTCAAAATTATAGATAGCTAAATCCAAACAGATGTTCTAGTAACATTTACCCTGTCCATCTGTCTATCAACAGAGTCTTGCTAAGTTGTTGATGCTGGCCTTGAATTTGCAATTCGTTTTGCCTCAGTCTCTTGAGTCACTGGGATTACAGATGCTTAACACTCCTTTTATGACCCAAATATACTGATGGTAGTAAGTTAATAAAGAAAATACACTCACACATTTTTAAAAGAGCTTTTGTTCAAAAAGTGAGAAGCAGTGAAAAGGGGTAGGCAAACCATAAGGTCATGCCTAACAGTGAATCATAAAATCTTTCTTTTCTTGATCACTTTTTAAAAATTGTACTGTTTACTCTTTTTTTTAAAGAAGCATTTTCTTTTCTTTTTAAATTTTTTTTGTAGGTGTAGATGAACAGCATGTCTTTGCTTATTTTTTTATGCAGTGTTAAGGATTGAACCCAGTGCCTCACATATGCTAGACAAGTGCTCTGCCGCTGAGCTACATCCCCAGCCCTCTGTTTTCTCTTAATTAAGAGAAAGGACTTTAAAGACTTTATTTTTCAAATACAGTACAAGAAGCTGAAAAACATCTGGATCTGATGTACATAATGTAATAAATAATAAAAAAGATCGCTGACTTAGAAGCCTATGTACCTATGTACTACAACCCCAGCTCCAATACCTATATATTTATAAAATTCTCAGAAAAAAAGGTGTTATAAATTGCACCTTTATTAAAGCATTTTTTAAAATTTTTTATTTTTAGTTGTCAATGGACCTTTATTTATTTTATGTGGTGCTGAAAATCGAATCCAGTGCCTCACACATGCTAGACAAGTGCTCTACCACTGAGCCACAACCCTAGCCAAGCATTTCTAATAAAACTTTTCCAGGTTTCTATTTTTATACATATCAAATATAAGTGGATATCTTCATTTTTAACAGAAGAGATAAAAGAAGGGGGAAGACTGTCTAAATCACCAAATAAAGCTCAAGCCCTGAAAAACTCACTTCTACTATTTGTTTCTATTGGGTATCAGTAAGGCTACGGTAATTCCTTCTGATTATTATTTTTTTTAAAAAAATATTATTTAATAATATTACTGTGACCTATATTCTACCAGTCTCCTATTTGGTACATGTCATTTTGTGAGTACAAAGACTCATAAACTTAACTCAAATGTGTCTCACATAAGTACATTATTTTCAACTTCAGAGGGGCATGTATATACATCATAGTAAGACAAGCTGTAGCAGTAAACAAGTTTTTTTTTTTCTTATCAAAATAATTCAAGGATTTATCTTTATAAAATACATGTATTCTGATTACTATTTAAGGGCTCAAGAAAGACCCTTACACAATAATAGAAAAAAAATTATTATTATTATTATTATTATTTTTTTTTTTTTAAAGAATACATGCTCTGGGGCTGAGGTTGTGGCTTGCATGTGAGAGACCCTAGGTTCGATCCTCAGCACCACATAAAAATAAATAAACAAAATAAAGATATTGTGTCCATGTAAAACTAAAAAATAAAAATAAAAAAAAGAATACATGCTCCATCCAGATTTAAGATAAAAAATATTCCCATCATCTTGGATATCCTTATGGTTCATACAGTTAGTTCAAATATGTCTAAAATCACCAACTTCTATCACTGTTTGTTTTGTTTCTGATCTTTTTTTTTTAATAGTTTTTTAGTTGTAGTTGGACACTTTACCTTTATTTTATTTATTTATTTATTTTATTTTTTTAAGAGAGAGGGGGAGAGAGAGAGAGAGAGAGAGAGAGAGAGAGGATTTTAATATTTATTTTTTAGTTCTCGGCAGACACAACATCTTTGTTTTGTATGTGGTGCTGAGGATCGAACCTGGGCCGCACACATGCCAGGCGAGCGCGCTACCGCTTGAGCCACATCCCCAGCCCCTTATTTATTTATTTTTATGTAGTGCTGAGGATCAAACCCAGGACCTAGCACATGTTAGGTGATCACTCTACTGCTGAGCCACAACCCCAGTCCCTGTTTCTGATCTTAATATGAATGGGATTGTACAGTATATATTGTATGATACTACTTGGCTTTTTTTTTGTCAAATATCATGTTAGCCAAATCATATCTTATTAAAATAGAAGAAACAAAGATGATACAACCACAGATGTAAAAGAATGTGTCTACTTAATTCTTACGTTAGTCATCCTAGAGTTGTTTAAAGATGGAATGGACTAATTTAGAGATAATGTGGAGGTATTTTAACTATACATGGTACGAATGATGCAGAAGGATTAACAGAATATAGAAACAAGCTACACATCTTCATTTATAAAAAGATATTAGTCATAGCTAGACTCACCTTTGTGGTGTCATGTGCATTCAATATGCCTTCTACAATATCGGAGAGATTCATGTGTAATTCCTTTAAAAACAGCAACCCAAAAGAGTAATTAGAAAAGAGTAAGTGGATATAATTTTTATTTTATTATTCAGTAAAGCTTATACTGTATGTTTCTCAAGTATTTTTTAAAAACTATAAATAGGTTCTCATATTGTTTTTAAAATTAAGACAATTTTCTTGTTATTCATTATTACTTTATAAAATTAGTTCAGTTTATTACATTTTTCTAAGCCAATTTTCTAAGCCAAACTCTCTTCCCAATTTTAAATCTTTAGGCTATGAATATTTTGAGCAGAATTATAAAGCAATTAAAAAAGCATTAGCAAATTCTTTTCTCTTTCTCAAATCATTCAATCCATTTTACTGTTGGAAGCTTATACTCAATAAGATATAAACAATCAGAACTTACAGGGATATCATCAGTTCGGTTGTCCTTCCAGACCTCTAAAAGTGCAACTACCATGTCTCTCAGTTCAACCCTGGAGAGAACTCCATCACGGTCAACATCAAATACCTTGAAACAAACTAATGACAAGAAACTCTTACAGAGGGAGTTTATTTTCATATTAAGAAGTCTTTACCTTTTATTAGAAGCTGCAATTGTATAATTAATTTTTCAATGAGTATATTCTGGAATAGTTCTCATCGGTGATAGACTATATATCACATTTTTTGGAACTTGCAGAACTTCCTGCACAGAATTTGTCAATCTATTGGCAGTGCTGGTGATTGAAACCAGGGCATTGAGCATGTTATGCAAGTACTCTACCACTGGGCTATGTTCCCAACCTCCCTAAGTTAATTTCTATTACTTGAAATTGATTATTGCAAAAAGGATGGGACTAGGCATGACAGTGCATGCCTGTAATTCCTGCAACCCCAGAGGCTGAGGAAGAAGGACAGCAAGTTTGACATCAGTCTGGGCAACTTTATCAAGACCCTGCCTCAAAAAGAGTAGGCAGGGGCTGGGGTTGTAGCTCAGTGGTAGAGTATTTGCCTAGTACATGTGAGGGACGGGGTCCGATTCTCAGCACCACATAGTAAGTACATTAAGAAAGTAAGTAAATAAATAAATAAATACATAAAATAAAGGTATTGTGTCCACCTGCAACTTTGAAAAAGAAAAAAGAAAAGAAATACATAGGCAGGTACTGGGAATATGGCTCAATGGTAATCCATCCCAGGGTTCAAGCCCTAGTATCATAAAAAGGATAATTGCACAGTTGTTTCACAGATGTTTGAAATATCTCAATTACATTGAGAATCAGTAACAACAAGCTGGTGTAAACATAACTTGTTTTTTCACTTTATCTCCCCCAATGTAACTAATCTATATTATTTTTGTTAAGAACAGTTAACTTTTTAAAGAAGTTCAAATGCAGTATGCTAAGAAATTGAAAATCAGCCCTTTGCTAATTAACTCCAAGTGAATTATTATAGTTGGTCAATTTCCATTGAAACATCAGCAAAATAGAAACATTAAAACTTTACAAAAACTCTTTTTTTTTTAATATTTATTTTTTAGGTGTAGATGGACACAACACAATGCCTTTATTTCTATGTGGTGCTGAGGATCGAACCCGGGTTCCGCCCATGCTAGGCGAGCACTCTAACGCTAAGCCACAATCCCAATCCCAGCCCCTTTACAAAAACTTTTAAAGATGTAATCAACCTCACATGAGAAGCAGATTTCAGCCTCCTTATTTAGCATTAAATTTTAATGAGAACAATGTATCACATAGCAGGTTTGGAATAATGGTCTATCAATAGGGAACAAAAAATAAATTTGAATTTTATAAATTACCTATTTCATAAATCCCTAAAATAGAGTAATTATGGTATTAAATCAACTAAGTACATCATAAGTAAATTACTAAAGATAAAAATATCAAGTAAAACTTCCCAAATAGGCAAATCTGTGAAGTTCTATTTTAGAAAGAGAGAAATATCATCCTAGGAAATATATTTGATTTAAATTCCGATTAAATGTAAATTGTTGCATTTTTTTCATGTATGGTTAAGATTTAATAATGCAATATATTTATGCTTATAAATTATGCTACAACATTTTAGGTGTTTAAAAGGCCATTTTAATACTTAATAAAATTATATTCTGATCATAAATTTCATTTTTCAAATAAAATATTAATGTATGCATGTGACAGAAAATGAATTACTCTTCAAATTATGCAAGACACACAATTCTCAATATAAACTAACAAAAAATATTTCTTAAATGCATAAACTGTCATTTATCGTGAATTACAAATGCTTCAGGAAAATGAACCCATTATTAATAGCAAATATCCCTAACTACGCATTAGTAAAACAGACAATTGCTTCTTCAGACTGACCTTAGTAAAACTCCAGAATGAGATTAATATTAGACACATTTGAGAGTCAATGGAAACTCAAGCCTTAATCCATGGATAATCTTACACAGAAGAAAGCTGATTTTCTCTCTACATAGTTTGCAATTTTTCTCATACTGTTTATCATACTTACATTTTTGTCTTTCAGCTAGGGGCCCCCTGCAACAGGCTGATAACCCACAGGATATCTCTTTAAAATCTATGTGATTGTCACGATTTTCATCAAAAGCATTAAACAAACCTAGAAAACAGAAAAAGACACTATAAATCCCAGCCAACAAACTTTCTAATGTTAACACTGGCATGTTTGTAAAAGGAGGAATGACTTTCCCATGGACTGAAATTTTAAAAAAAAGAAAAAAGTATATCTTTTTCTCTTGGTATAATTATAACTGAAACTTATGATCCTAGCAGAAAACATATTATAATCTTTTATTATTTGGTTAGGTCTTTCTGTATCTTTTTCTTATCAATTCTTCTAAAAACTTAAAAATGTCTACATTTTTTAAAGTTGGCAAATAAAAATTAAGAACTAACACAAGGCAGAAATTATAACAATTATATTTAGAAAAGTTTAACTGTTCAGTAAGCAAATATTTAAAGACACACCATCATATCTTCAATAAACTCCCATAAAGCTCTTTTATGAAACAAAGGGATTTACACCATACTACAAGAAACAAATTCTCTACACATCAACTTCTTTGTACCAATCTTTCACACATGGATGTTTTAAATTTCAGAAATGAAAAGGAACTTATAAAGTTGAATCTTATGCTTTTAATTTTTTTGTAAAAATATAAATGGAATGATTTTTTGTTCAAATGAAATGATATATCAATCTATAATTCTAAAAAGGTAAAAATACAACTGACTGCTGAAGTAGCTGGAAACCTAGGGCATTATCTGCTCTGGCTCCCCTAATGAGTACTTCTGATGTATCTGAGATATCTGAAAAATAATGTATCTGAGATATCTGAAAAATACAGATCATATATTTCAAGAAACTAATCCAATATCGTCCATATAAAGATAAAAAAACTGAAATGCAGCAGGAGTTAAGTGATTTACCAAAAGTGCTAACTTTAAAATCTTCAAAACCAGGTTAGGGGTAAAGCTCAGTGGTAGAGTACTTGCCTAGCATGTGCACAGCCCTGGGGTTTGATACCCAACACTGCAAAAACAAACAAAAAACCAAAAACAACCAAAAGAAAACAAAAAACCAAAAAAAACTTCAAACCAGAAGCAGAACCCAAGTACTCAGATTCCAATGATGATTTTTATGATGTCATTCACATGTATTCTTTTTTTTTTTTTTAAGTCATAGCAATAATTTAGAGATACACTGAACCTGAGATGGTCTAGTTTTGTAGTTTCCTTCTTCTTTTTGATGGTACAGGGGACTGAACCTAGGGCCTTGCATATGCTAAAGAAGCACTCTACCACTGAGCTGCATCCTAGCCCTAGTCTAGTAGTTTTTCTTTTTCCCCTGGAGCGGGGTGGGGGGGGGGGGGGGGGGGGGGGTGGGAGGTTTGGGGATTCAGCAGTGAAAGTTTATCTGAAAGAAAAAAAGTGGAAGCACCTTAGAGGAATAGGTGGCACCTATTCAGTGGCCACCACCATCCCTTACTAGAAGACAATTTCATAACCACTGACTTGGTCAAACTCACTTTATGTTTGAGGACATTCAGGTATAGACAGCTAAGCTGATTATATAAGGCAAAACAGAAAATGAAGCTCAAAACTACTAGACTATACTATCTCCAAGAAACTTGACAACCTACAAGAATATAACATTTTAGAGTTAGAAATAAGAAATGGGTTCAGGAATATTTATTTACCAATGAACATCTGTATAATATGGAATAATTCCTACCTTCACTTAGAGATGGACGAATAGGTGGAGAAACCAATGGGCCAAAGGTTTCTAAATCAAATCGTCCAGTCCGTGATTGAGCCTTCAGCAACCAATAGCGTTTCTCAAGATCAATGATGTCTGATTCTTCCACTGAATCAAATTGAACAACATTATAAAAGATCAGAATGCTCTTCTTGGCAATTTGCTCATCCTGGTTATATACCTTTTAATTTCCCAATTACTAAAAATAATTATGATTAAAAGAAAACAATAAAATTTATTATATCTAAAATGACAGGAGGACTGCAGATATAACTCAGTGGTAGAGCATTTGACGTGCATGTGCAAGACCTTGGGTTCAATTCCAGTACCACAACAAAACAAAATCAAGCAACTAAAGTCTTAGGAAAATTAAATCATCATAATAATAAGTTCCCCATTCAGTATGCTTCTTAAATCCAACACAACATGTAAAATATTATACGACTAAGTCTTTTTTTTTTTTTTTTGGATGTCTCACACTTTTTAATCTGTTTTCATTTTCATTAATTTTCAACCTGTACCTTAGATTTAAAGTTTCAATGTTTATCTTTTCTCCTGTAAAACTATAAACATCGTAACAGGAGGACCCATGTCTACTCATCTTGTCAATACGCTGACTGACTTATATATTCAATACTTGTTGAACAAAGGGAAAAATATATATATATATATAGTATATGATAGCAAAAGTAACAAAGTCAGTAAATGACAGGAGGTGGAGGAGGTTTCACAAAATCATGAAAGCATGAACATGAATATCTATCTCCCTTCACTCATCAAAAGACATGTTAAAAATCCAGATCAGCTCAACCAGGGTTACAACTTATGTGTTTTTTCCCTTCCAAAAAATTAAAAGTAAAATTTAGAAAACATGTTTAAGATATTAATTGTCAACTAATCATGGCAGTGAACGTGATCCTATTAAAATGTTAATGTGGGAAATGTTCTTTTATGGCCAGATTTGCTCTCCTGACATAAACTAGAAAACTGTACAAAATAAATAACCACTATTTCTAGAAATTAAAGAATAAACAGTGCAGGACTATAATTCCTCATAAAGTGAGAGTTTCTACTACCCTGGCTTTTGATCTGTAGTCACTTTCTAGACTTTAACAAGGGATGAAAAACCAAATAGATTTCATATAGTTCAGTTGAGAATATTCAGGGAGTTTGAGATAGCTGGCACTTGAAGGGTTTAAGTACTAGTGAGGAAAGAGTTATGTAAAGAAACAGCACAGAAAATCTTCACAGGTGTCTTGCTGAATTTTGGCAGAACACTATCCTGTATATTCACAGAGTGAAACTCATTGAGGCTGGGCTAGAACAAATCCTGAGAAATTGTAAGCTGAAAAATTCTCAGAGCTCATAGAGGGCTAGGAGACACCACATAATGTTATAATGTCTAGCACTGAAAGAAAACAGAAAAGAAGTAGAAAAATGTGACCCAAATTCAGGATAAAAATTAGTCAATAGAAAAAAATATAAGAAATAACAGATGGTGAAATTAACAGACAAGACAGGGCTTCAAAATATCTATTAGAAATATCTCAAGAATTAAAAAAAACATGGATATACTGAAGAAAAAAGACACTAAAGATGAAAAAACATTTAAAAATTTTAAAATATTCACTAGAGAACTTACTAGCAGATTAGAAACTAGAGAGGAGAGATCAGTGAACTTGAACACTGGTCAATAGAAACTATTCAAATAGAAGCGTAAAGAGAAAAAGGCTAAAAAAATTGTTAGAACTTTAGTGACTAATAAGTCAATATCAAACACGTGTGCAACTGGGGTCTCAGAAAATACATGAAATAATAATAGTGAAAAATCTTCTAAGTTTGATAAAACATGATGAGCATGTCTGTAATCTCAGTGACTCAGAAGCTGAGGCAGGAGTATTGCAAGTTCAAGGCCAGCCTGGGCAATGAAGCAAGACCCTGTCTCAAAATAAAAAAAAGGATTGGGGATATAGCTCAGTAATAGAGTACTCCTGCATTCAATGCCCAGTATCAAACAAGAAATCAATTTGGTAAAAAAAGATCCCCCAGATCCAAGTACACCAATCAAATTGCTGAAAAAGAGAAAATACTGGGGCTAGGGATGTACCTCAGTGGAGAGTACTTGCCTAGCACACACTGGCCCTGGGCTTGCTTGCCAGCAAAGCAGAAAGAGAAGGAGGGAGGGGCAGTGAGAAATCTTAAAGGCACCAAGATAGGAGGAAAATATATTACATAACAAAAACTGGAGAATTAATTTCTCTTTAAAAATAAGGGAATCAGGGCTGGGGGTGTGGCTCAGTGGCAGAGTGCTTGCCTCACACATGTGAGGCACTGGGTTCGATCCTCAGCATCACATAAATAAATAAACAAAATAAAGATATTGTGTCCATGTATAACCCCCCCCCCCAAAAAAAAAAAAGTTGAAAAAAGGAGGAGGAATCAGGGGCTGGGGTTGTGGCTCAGTGACAGAGTACTTGCCTAGCATGTGTGATAAACTGGATTTGATCCTCAGCACCACATAAAAAATATAGATAATAAAAAAATAAAGTTATTGTGTCCATCTACAACTAAAATCTATTCTTTTTAAAAGATTGATGTGATTTTTTTTTTATACCTTTATTTTATTTATTTATTTTTATGTGGTGCTGAGGATCAAACCCCAGCGCCTCACACATGCTAGGTGAGCGCTCTACCAGTGAGCCCTAAAAAATATTTTTTAAAAATAGAAGGAACTGGGCTGGGGTTGTGGCTCAGCGGTAGAGCGTTCGCCTTGCACGTGTGGAACCCTGGGTTCGATCTTCAGCACCACATAAAAATAAATAAGTGAAATAAAGGTACTGTGTCCAACTACAACTAAAAAATAAATTAAAATAAAAGAAGGAACTAAGATAAAAGGCAATAAAACAGGAAAGAATTTTGCTTTCCAAGGACAAACAAATGGTGTTAAAAGTGACAGTTCAACCTAGAACTAGTGGGCAATTTAGTCACAATGTAGACATTTCAAAGATTAGCAACAGTCTTCAGAGGCAGAAGAGAGGACTCAGAGCTGGATACAAGTCTGTGTGCTTGACTAGGTCTGTTCATGCACGATAGTAGAGGATGGGATACACACATTTAAAATTGTGAAAAGCTGATTAAAATTAATTATATTTAGAGTTTTGGTCTGTCTCTTCCAAGTGTCTTAAATAACGGCAAAATGAACAGGAATAGGTTATTACAAGAAAAATCCAAAATACCATGGATCAGGGAGAAGACAAGAAAGAACGTAATAAACTGAACTAACCTATTTCAAACTTTGTCTATCTCTAATACAAAGGATTTTTAAAAAAAGATTTTTTAAAAGATGGGCACAATATCTTTATTTATTTTATTTATTTTTATGTGGTACTGAGGATCGAACCCAATGCCTTACATTGTGAGGCAAGTGCTCTACCACTGAGCTATAACCCAGCCCCTCTAATACAAAGGATTTTAAAGATTAACTTATCAAGAATCCTGTTGATACTTAGCAAAATTTTTTAAAATGAAATTTAATCTTAGTATTTAAATGCCAAGTAATTATAGAAAAATGTAAACATCCTGATTTAAAAAATTAAATCCACTAAACCATAAAAACTTGAATTCTGAACTTAAATTGTAAATCAGTTTTTTTCTTTTTTAAAAGAGAGTGAGAGAATTTTTAATATTTATTTTTTAGTTTTCGGCGGACACAACATCTTTGCTGTATGTGGTGCTGAGGATTGAACCTGGGCCGCACGCATGCCAGGCGAGCGCGCTACCGCTTGAGCCACATCCCCAGCCCATAAATCAGTTTCTTAAACAAAGGTTAACTGGGCTTGGTGGCTCATGTTGTAAACATAGTAACTGGAAAGCCTGAGATTGGAGGATTCCAAGTTTGAGGACAGCCTCAACAATTTAGCAAGGTCCTAAGCAACTTAGTGAGAAACTATCTCAAAATTTAAAAAATAAAATAAAAGTGTTGGGGATGTAGCTCAGTGGTAAAGAGCCCCTGGGCTCAGTTCCTGGTACAGCAATAATAAATTAAATAAATAGATAGATAGATAGATAGATAGATAAAATGAAAAGACAAGGGAACTGAAAACTATTTGAATCAAGTTCAGTGCCTATTATTACCAGAATTTATCATTCACAACTTCTGATAACTATAAAATAAAAATTGGAGAAAGTAATTAGTGTGTAATTAGTAATAAGATTATAAGTCATGCAAAGGAATAGATACAAATATCACTTGACTCCCAAAGTTCTCTACTCAGTGAACATATATTTGTTTATACTTGGTACTGGGAGAAGGGAATAATAATGATGATGATGATGATAATAATAATAATAATAATAATAATATAGACTCTGCCTGAAAGGATCCTATGATTTAGGAGAGATGATATATGAATGGACAGAATGCTACAAATCCTTTTACTACAGGAAGAAGGTGATAAGTCATTGAAGGGTATAAGTAAGTAGGAAAATTCAGAGAAAGGAGAGATGATATCTGATAGGAAGGCAAGAAAAGTTTTCATGAAAAAGAAATGTTGGCAGAAGGGGGGTATATCAGTAAAGTCTTCCAGGATGACTGGAATTTAATAGGTAGAAGCTAAGGGAAAGGAATTCCAGTGCTAGGAAGAAGCAAAAGCAGACTGTAATCAGGCTTTTGAAACTACCAGAAAGAACAACAGAAATTAAAAATTAGGATTCTGTAGTGAACTGAACAGTCTCACCAAAATTCACGACCACTACAATTCCAGAATGTGACCTTACTTAGAAATAGGAACTTTGCATATGGAATAAGTTAAGGAACTTAAAGTGAAATCCTGCATTTAGGTACCACTCTAAATCCAATGATTAGAGGAAAGGACAGAGAAACACCCCAAGGTGGCCATGTGAAAGAGAGAATGAAGGGATGCTGCCACAAGCCAAGGAATGCTTATAGTCACCAAAAACTGGAAAGGGCACAGCTGGATTCTTCTTTTGAAGGGAACACAGTCCAGTTAATACCTTGACTTTCACCTATAGATTGTGAGAGAATAAATGTCTCCTGTTTTAGTTTATGAATTGTGGTAATTTGTTGTAGCATCACAAGTAACCAAACGTAGCTTAAAGATAATAATATGTCAAGGGCTGATTACTATGCTTCAGTATTTCATTTTATTATATAATGGGTGGGGGAGAGCACTGACAAAAAATTTTTTTTTCAAAAGCATATTCTAATATTACCAGGAAATTACAGTAAGAGATAAACAGAAAACAATGAAACGCCATTACTTACAATGTGTGACTCCAGCCAGAGTTTGGTAGAAAGTGGGAGTATCACTATCATCAGTGAGGGTAACATATACACCTCCAGACAGTAGCCAACGAGAGAAGGTAAAAGCATCTTTGTTTAGAAGAAGCCAATTTCTAAACTTTTCATAGTTTACCTTTTCACCCTAAAATTAAAACAATAAAAATAAATTCAGTCAAATTTTAGGGTATCTTACTTAAAACCTACACAGCCTAAACTTTGCAATTAGTTGACACTGTATCTACAAAGGAAGAATTACATAAATAATGCTACAAGGTGCCTACTCTTGGAAATCAAACTATTTTTAAAAATAACTGTACTTTGGGCTGGGGTTGTGGCTCAGTGGTAGAGTGCTTGCCTAGCATGTGTGAGGCCATTCTTTTCTTCTTCTTCTTTTTTTAAATAGCTGTGGATAGACAGAATGCCTTTATTTTATTTGTTAATTTTTATATGGTGCTGAAGATCGAACCCATGCCTCACGCATGCTAGGCAAGTGCTTTGCCTCTGAGCTACAGCCCCAGCATAAAAATCTATGTGCTAAGTGCAAATTATTTCATCAATTCATTGATGTAGTCATTGTCAATAATAAGCCACATTTTATTTGCTAAGGTATATCCTGAAATCAGTAGGCTATATTTCTTTCAATGTTTAATAAATGCAATTTTTCACTTGCCTTATCCCCCCTCTTTAGCACTTTGAAATTTGTCTTAATTAGCATATTTTAATTAAATCTGTATGGAATTTAAACTCTTTTAAGTTTCATTTGCAAATTAAAAAACAACTATCCAGGAATTCTCCTGGAGTAGACAACCAGGATCCCAGAAGGCAAGTATTCACAAGCCAACCTGAGTACAAAAAGAAGCAAGCTGATCTCCATTTCTTAGCTTCCTTTCCAAATATTTGTATTCCTGAATCTCTAGAGGAAAAAACAATGCAAACAGGCTGAAAAGGAGCATCATATAGGTGCCAAGTCAATCCCTTAGCTTGAACAAGAGCTCCTAAGTTTAGTGAAGGCTTGATATTTCTAAGAGAAAAAGGAAAAAACTCACAAGGAAATACAAAGAGAAAGACATTTAGGAGCCTAGCAGGTCTAATCCTAATACAAATATTAAAGGATAGAAATAAATAATAACCTAAAAATGAGTTATGATAGAAACACTGTTCAGTAGCATCCTAAGTAAATACAGCAATATGTTTAGACTATTAGTTTCAGGACATTTAATGTCAGTGCAATACAGTCAATCAAGTTAACACTGACAGTTCTGATTTTCTGAAGGGAAAACTACAGCATTCAGAGTTGCTGCAGGGACACAAGAGGACACTGCCAACATGTTGAGAGATCCATATTTTTAATTACTCCACAGCTGTCTGGAAAGAAGCTTAGCAGTATAAATTTTAAAAGCTGATGCATATTTTTATAGCTAAAATTCTGACACTGCATAAGTCTTAAATAAACTAGCATTCTTCAATTATAAGTAGCAGTTTTTTTCTTAATGGTTATGATATTGTGAAATATATATTTGGTCTTCTCCGTTTTTCTTCTGCCATTTACCAGAAATGACAATTAAACCAACAGACTCCTAAAATTTCAAAAAATGATATCAGATATAAATTTCCACTTTAAAAATCAACAACCAAGGGACTGGAGTTGTGGCTCAGTGGTAGAGAGCACTTGCCTAGCATGTGTGAGGCATTGTGTTCGATCCTCAGCTCCACACAAAAATAAATAAAGGTATTATGTTCACCTACAACTAAAAAAAAAAAAAAAAAATCAACACCCCCCAAAAAAAATCAGTAAAAAATAAACAATACAACTCTAAAAGGAATTTCCTTTATAACTTCATCTGTCAAGGCCAATAATAAAGCATAAAACAAAGCTGAGACTCCTGACACTTAATTTAGAGGCTAGGTCCTTCTTTTAGCAATAGTGCTTCTCTTCATAGATTTTTTGTTTTGTTTTGTTTTTTAACTTAAAGAATAAAAAAACAACACAACAGGGGCTGAGGTTGTTGCTCAGTGGTAGAGTGCTCGCCTACCATGCGCAGGACCCTGGGTTCAATCCTCAGCACCACATTAAAAAAATATATATATATATATTTTTTTGTAGAAGGTACAAATAAATTTATTCTAATATAAACTGGATATGAAAAATATGCTATTTTGGACATCAAGAGTCTGGATGCAATCATCAGACAAACTATTAAGAAACTAGACCAGGTAAATATATCAAAAAATTGAATCAGATAACATTATCAGTGTTGGGTTGTTTTCTATGGCCCTGGGGGTTAAACCTAGGACTACACACATGCTAGGCAAGTGCTTTACCATTGAGCTACACCCCACTTCTTCAGTGTTAGTTTTAACTAAACATAGGTTATGTAATAATTCCAATAATTACATATATGAGCCTTCCAAAACCTTGCATTTCTTTAATCTCTTTAAAAAAATCTTGTCATTAAAAATAACACCAACCCAGTCTTAAAAAAAAATTATATGGGGCCACTGTTTTGGAATAAACTCTTATGCTAGACCCCAAAAGAACAGATGAAAAATCAAAATGGAGCCATTCATACTAAAGTGCCAAGAAACCAAACCAAATCTGACCTTTGAAAAGAATCAGCATAAAGCCATTCACAGTGACTCTGGATGTTAAGAGAGGAGGATTGCAAATTTGAGGCCAGTCTCAGCAATTTAATGAGGCCTTGAACAACTTAGCAAAACGCTGTCTCAAAATAAAAAATAAAAGGTCTGGGGATATAGCTCAGTGGTGAAGCACTCCTGGGTTCAATCCCCAGTATCACTCCCCCCAAAAAAAACCAGGATAGAAAAATAATCAAACGTCCACAACAGCTTCAACTGAATTACAATTAAGTTCCCTCAGCTTTATTCCTCACAAAAAGATAACCTGAAGTACACTGATGTTAACCAATTAGATAGTTTTCTATCGTTCCTTTGCCCTATTCTCACCTTACAAAGGAAGTAATTTTGACCAATCTGCCTTTTCCAGCCCCTTTTCTGTCTATAAAACCCATCAGAACACTTGTTCTATTTTATTTATAATAATAAAGGGTTGTCCAATTCTAGAAATGCAATTAAAGCTAATTAAGTCTTAACAGGCTTTTTTCTTTTCTTCGTGTGTGTCTGAGTGTGTGTGTGTGTGTGTGTGTGTGTGTGTGTGTGTGTGAGAGAGAGAGAGAGAGAGAGAGAGAGAGAGAGAGAGAGAGATGGATGTTGGATAACCAACACAGCAATCATTCTACCACTGAATATACCCATGACCCTCCACCTTATGATCTTTTATTACAACAAGAGTTCTCCCTCCTACAATTGCACTTTTACTTGAATCAAAGTGTGGAATATGATATGTCAAGAAATTTGTAATGTTTTGAACAACCAACAATAAAAAATTAAAAAAATAAATAAATAAAACATTTCATGCTCTCCAACATAATTTCCTCTTATGAGCACATTTCTTCTTCTATCTTGACTCCAGTGATTTTTTTCAATTGCATAGGACCTAACACCAATTACCTACCTGCATTTTGACAAATCTAATAACAACTTCTCAACAGTCAAAAGTCAACTCATTTGACATTTCAATATGTTTAACACAGTTAAGTTCTCTCTCTCTTTTTTTTTTAAGTACTGGTGATTGAACCCAGGGGCACTTTATCATTAAGCTATATCCCCAGCCCTTTTTATTTTTTATTTTGAGACTGGATCTCACTACATTGCCCACGCTAGCCTTAAATTTGCAATCCTTCTGCCTCAGCCTCCCTAGTAGCTAGAGTAACTTGGCTTTCAGGATACTACAGGCCATTTTCTTAGGGTCCTGTTTTGATTCCTCTTTATCTTATGAATTTCTAAGCACTGGAGTTTAGGAGTCATTCTTCTGATCTGTTTTGGGTAATCTAGATATCCTAGATGAGCTCATCCTCACCTGTAAGCCAATAAATTTGTAAACAACAAATTTTTACTTGTAAAAGCACAGTTGACAACTCCATACCAGTGTCTTATGGGATTCTCGAGTTTACTTAAATCCCTCTTGATATCCAAGCCTCCTTTTCCAATAGTCTTAGTCATCTCAGTTAACAGCATCTCCAATTTTTCGCTATATTAGGCTTCCTCTACTTTCTGTCTGAACCCATAATCAAAACAAGAGAAGATGTGTCAAATCTACCTTCAAAATGCAGAATCTAAAAACTTCTAATCATCCTGCTGCTATTCCACTACTCTAAATGATTAGGTGATATCTCCTCTATTACTGAACTATATGGATAAGCTGAAATTGAACTGTTCAGACTACCTTCCACATAAGATACAAAGTGATGGTGTTGTTTTTTTGTTTTTTTTTTATCCTTATACTACATTATACCTCTGCTCGTAACACAGGGTTTCTATCTCACTAAATTTTTTTTCTATCTGACTCAGGGTAAAATTCAAAGAACTCACATTATAATCTACCCTCCACTCCTCAATGATCTTTTTTCCTACTATTCCCTTTCTAAATCTATCCCAAATAAATTGGTCTTGTTGCCAGGTACAGTGGTACATGCCTATAATCCTAGCAGCACAGGAGACTGAGGCAGTAGTTCAAAGCTAGCCTCAGCAACTCAGGGAGGCCCTAAAGCAACTCATCAAGACCCTGTCTCTAAATAAAATATTAAAAAGGGCTGGGGATGTGGTTCAGTGATTAAGTGCCTCTGGGTTCAATCCCCAGCATCTATCTATCTATCTATCAATTAATAAATCAATCAATTGATCTTGTTATTGTTTCTTGAATGTGCAAAAGCATACTTGAACCTCAGGGCCTTTGTGAATTCTCTTCATGGAAGGTATTCCCCCATGTATCATCATGATTTTATTTTTAATTTCCTATAAATTATTTGCTTGGATTTTATTTTTTCTGACAGACTTTCCTAACCATCCTATATAAAATGGCAACACTCAGTTGCTGTTTCCAAATCACCATCTATTCCATTCATTCTACTTTATTTTTCCCTATAGGACTAATCATCACTTAAAACATGGGCCTGCTATAAGGCCTAATTTTAGGGAACTGGGTGACCAAACACATTGAGTTTTCATTTACAAAATGGGAGTATATGCATAAACTGTATTTAAATGAAAAACTATATATTCTTCCTGAAAAAACAGCAGAAGAATAATGTATTTGGCAATTTATGTAAAATCAAATTAGATTTGAAAAGACTAAATTACTTTTTTTCTGGCTAGGGTAGCAAATTTTTATTATGGGAAACAGATAAGACAAAGAAACCATAGCCCAGTTTATCCTGAAGTACTGAAATACTATGACAGCAACTTCCAGTCAATCTGGTAGAACCAAAAATGTAAGAGGCCTATGTGTTATACACCTAACACAGAGAAATGCTGGATAAAATGTAACACCATAATAACCACCAAAAACTCATAGCTGAGTTCAAAAGTAAACAAGGGAAATCACCAGGTGCTATCAACATAGAAGAAACTCAAACCAGATGCTAAGTAGTTTAAAATAGATAGTCCAAACAGATACTAGAACTAGGTATATGCATATGGCTGCTGTATGCCATAAAGCTGAATTCCCTGAAAAAGAGCAAGACCAATTAAGTACTGTCATATTAGAGAAATGAAAGTAAGTCAAACAGTCACCCATTAGAAAGAAGGTAGTCATTAGTAATCCATGAAAGGATTAGAAATTTCTAAAAGGGTTTCTACATTATCACCTCTAGGGACTTTTCACATAATAGCAGACCTCAGAAAAGAAAAATAAAATAATTTTTTTTTGTGGGGGTGGTAAGGTTGCACATTCTCTACTGTTTGTTTTCACTCTTCAGTTTTCCTTTTATTGAGGGATAGGGACATTGAACCCAGGGCCTTGGACATGTTATGTTAGGCAAATGCTCTACCACTGAGTTATATATGTATTCCACTCCTTTCATTAATTTTTTATTCTGAGACAGGGTCTTGCTAAATTGCCAAGGCTGACCTAGAAGTAGTGATCCTGCCTCAGTCTCCTGAGCCCTGGGATTACAGGCATGCACCATTATGCCTGGCTTCTCTATTCTTCGGTTCTCTACTATTAGAGATACAATGAAAATTATTTTTGAAAACAAAGATGACAAATTTCAATCCAAATATTTCATTATGCAAATCCATTAAGTAAAACAGAATGGTTTGATATCACAGAATGGCTCAAGGCCAATGAATGATATATCTGTATATCCATGATGAAAAGCAGTAGCCCACAACATAAGCACTATTGCAGGGTTCTGCAGAATTCTGTGTGTATGTGGGTGTCAGTTAAATAATATGGGAGTGCTTTTCATTATAATGTAAATATAAACAGTAGAATTGAGAATTTTCAGATTCACAAATGTAGCATGTGTGTAAATATATATTATATATCAATCCCATATATGCATATCTCAAATATAATGAGATTCGAGGACCTTTGAGCACAGCAGTTGAGGCATAAAAGGCATGAACAGTTGAGGCAATTATTTTTAAAATACTAAGTGGTTGTTTTGGGGGGGGAATGGGAGGATTAAATAAACTTTAGATAGGACAAAGGGGAAAAGGGAGGGAGGGAAAGGGAGGGGAACAGGGGTAGGAAAGAAGGTAGAATCCGATGGTCATCATTACCTTAAGTACATGTATGAAAACACAAAGGATGTGACTCTACTCTGTGTACAACCAGAGATATGAAAAATTGTGCTCTATATGTGTAATATGAGTTGTAACGCATCCTGATGTCATATATAACAAATTAATATTAAAAACAAAAGCCAAGAATTTGCAGGTAAATGGATGGAACTGGAGACTCATGCTAAGTGAAATAAGCCAATCCCAATAAACCAAAGGCCTAATGTCCTATTATGCAGATGCGGACTCACAATAGATTACGGGGAAGAAGTGGAGGTTTACTAGATTGGACAAGAGGGAGTGTGTGGGGGGAGGAGGAGGGAATGGGAAAGACAGCAGAATGAATCAGACATAACTTTCTTATGTTCATATATGAATACATAACCAGTGTAACTCCACATCATGTACAACCATAAAAATGGGAAGTTATACTCCATATATGTATAATATGCCAAATACATTCTACTGTCATGTACAACTAAAAAGAACAAATAAAAAATGTTTTAAAAACACCAAGAATATTCTAAACATAAACATGTATTCATCATGAATAGAGATATTACACAACTAAGAGTTAACAATTCGACACCAAGAAGGGATGAAATGTACATCTTTAAATATACCTCTGAGAAACACTTCCTGAGTGTTTCTGGAACTTTACCATCAACCGCATGGAGCATTCTTTCCATTTCTTCCCGTACAACATAGCTCCCAGATTCACTTGAAAAGAGACTAAAAATATCTAGGAGAAAAAAAGATAAAATAAGTTATCTTAAATAGAACAAATATACCCAAGTAGAAGTAGGGAGACAAGAGAAATAACTGAGTGATTATTAGAGCTGAGACTTTCTAAATACAAATTAACTTATTCCCCCAAAATAAGAGCAATACAAAATGGCAATGTGGTATCTTTCAAAGATATGAAATTTGGGCTGAGAATGTAGCTCAGTGGAAGAACACTTGCCTAGTATGTGTGAAACACTGGGATCAATCCTCAGTACTGCAAAAACAAGAAAACACCAAACCAAATCTGCAAAAATGTCTTTGTTTGACAATACCACGTTAGCAAAGGCTGAAAGAAAAAGGGTCTCATACAACGTAAATGGGAGTAATACAACAACCATAGAGAGTAATTTGCCCAAATCTAGTAAAGATGAAGATGTATGCTAAAGACTCCACTTGCATGTAATTTCACTTCAATCCTTCAGAAACTCTGATTCCTGTGCATAAAATACAAGATGTTCACTAAAAGTTGGAAAAAAGATAAATGTTTGTTAACAAGATAAAAAGGAAGTTGAGAGAGCTGGGATTGTGGCTCAATGGTTGAGCTCTTGCCTAGCACGCATGAGGCACTGGATTTGATTCTCAGCACCACATATCAATAAATGAATAAAATAAAGGTCCATCAACATCTAAAAAAAAAAAAGTTTTTTAAAAAAGGAAGCTGAGATTACATAAGGACACAAAAAGAAATATCATTTAGCATTTAAGAGAAACTAAGTTCTTCAAGATGGATATTTTAAAATATTCAGAGAAAAAGCAAACTATAAAATAATCTATTGATTTATTAAAATATTTAGGACCTACAGACCAGTTGAAAATACATTTAAGGATAAAAAACATAAAATATAAGGCCATGCATAAAGAATGAATGATCACCAAATTCATGAGAGTGATAATCTCTCTGAAGGGTAAGAATGTAATCATTCAGGAATACTTAGAAAGATTCATCTCAGTCTAATATTCTATCCAAAATCTGGGGGCTGGGGTTGTGGCTCAGTGGTAGAGCTCTCGCCTAGTGTGTGTGAGTCCCTGGGTTCAATCCTCAGCACCACATAAAAATAAATAAATAAAACAAAGGTATTGTGTCTAACTACAACTAAAAAATAAATATTAAAAAAAATCCAAAACTGGGATAACAATGTTAAGACTGTATAAATCTAGGTAAAAGTATATGATATATATATATATATATATATATATATATGTATATATATATATATATATATATGATTGAAACATTGTTGTTATAGGTTGAACTGTATCTTGTAAAAGATCCTGAAGTCCTAATCTTCAAGTACAGTTACCCCTTTGTATCCACGTGGGACTGGTTCCAGGAACCCAAAGGATATCAAAATCCATTCAAGTCCCTTTAAAATGATATAGTACGTATATACAACCTCTGCATATCATGTCCCTATACTTTAAATTATCTCTAGATTACTTATAATAACTAATACAACATGTACATATAAATAAAGAAATGACAAGAAAGAAGTTTATACACGTTTAATACAAATGCAATTTTTTTCCCACAGTTGGTTGAAGGCACAAAACACACAGGATAGATTTTAATTATGAATGTAACCTTATTTGTAACTAGATCTTTGCAGATATAATTAAATTAAGATGAGGTAGTTAGGGTGGGACTCAATCTTATATGACTGGTGTCTTTATAATAGGAAGAAAAGACATACACATATGATGAGAGAGACAAGAGACTGGAAAGCTGCAGGTATTAGTCAAGGGCTATACCAAAGATTGATATAGGCAGGAAGAAAAGATTTTCCCATATATGTTTCAGAGGAAGCATGGATGGTCCAGCTGAAACTTCAATTTTAGATTTAGAGCCATCAGAACTATAAGAGAATTAACACCCGTTGTCTTAAGCCACAGATCTGTGCTGCTTTGTTATAAGGCAGCTATAGAGGGGGGAGGGAAGAACAGAAGTTCACTGGATTAAACAAAGGGAAATGAAGTGGAGCGATGGGAATAGGAAGAAAGAATGAAGCAGACATAACTTTCCTATGTTCATATGTGAATACATGACCAGTGTAACTCTACATCATGTACAACCACAAGAATGCAAAGTTATACTCCATTATATATCAAAATACACTCTACTGAGATTGGGGTTATGGCTCAGAGGTAGAGCACTCACCTAGCATTCATGACACACTGGGTTTGATCCTCGGCACCATATAAAATAAAATAAAAATATTGTGTCCACCTATAACTAAAAAATAAATGTTCAAAAAATACACTCTACTGTCATGTATATATCTAAAAAGAACAAATAAAAAATGCTGTAGACAAAAAAAATTATGGCAGCCCTAAAAAACTATTAACACTCATAATAAAAATGAAGAAACTTTAAAAATGTATGCCTATGTGAGCTGGGGAGTACTTCAATGGTACATCATTTGTTTATTAGCATGAATGAGGTCCTGGGTTCAATCCCCAGCACCAAAAAATAAAAATAAATATATTCATGCTTATGACCATCAAATTTTTATTTTAAAAACTGATAATTGTTGATTGACTGCAGTACTGGGGTTTGAAGCCAGGGGCTCTCATCACTGAGATAGAGCCTTAGAGCCTTAGCCTTTTTTTTTTTTTGCCAACACTTTTATCTCCCCTAAATTGCCTGGACTTAAACTTCCAATCCTCCTGCCCCCAGCTTCCCAAGTAACTGGAATTATAGGTATGCGACCACATCTGACTCAAAATTTTTTCTTTCAATTACTGCAGCCTAGAGACAGTTTGTGTTCTGTATTGGGTTTTTGTTATTATTTATCTGTTTTGGGAGTACTAAGGATTGAACCCACAAATACGCTATCACTGAGCTACATCCTATCCTCTTTTATTTTGAGACAAGTTCTCACTAAGTTGCTGAGACTGGCCTTGAACTTGTGATCCACCTGCCTAAACCTCCTAAATTGCTGGGACTTCAGTTGTGCTCCATTATGCCTGGTAAAAGGAAAAACAGGATCATAGTTATATCCCAACACATAAATCAACTTAATGTTCATTACCTTGATTATGGTAAAATAATCAGTGGGCATATATATGTGCCAAACAGATTAAAATGTACATTTTATTTAAGTGTATTTTGTCATATGTCAATTATACTTCAATAAAAATGTTTTAAAAAATTGAAAAGAACAGCCTAGATTCAGAAGCAAGAAAAAGGATAATAAAAGATTTAGAAGAATCCGGCTAAGGGCAGTGTTTGAGCTGCTATAACAAACTACCATAAACTGGATGGTTTATAAAGAACAAATATTTAATTCTCTCAGTTCTGGAATCTAAACAGTTCTAGATCAAAGAGTGAACAAATTTGGTGTTTATTGAAGAACTATTTCCTGGTTCACAGATGTCATCTTCTCACTGTATTCTTACTTGGGGGAGGGAGCAAGAGGTCTAGCCTTCTTTTATAATGGCACTTAATCTCATTCAATGAATGAGGCACTTGTGATTAGCTTCATGACCTAATTACCTCCCAAAGGCTCTACCTCCTAATAACATTACCTTGGGGGTTAGGATCTCAACATTTGAAATTTGGGAGACAGAATGTAGGCAGGTAGAGTAAAAAGGGAGGAAAAAGAGAGAAAACTGTAGTATCCAGTGACCAAGGATTAAAACCTAATCAAAACGAGGAGCAAAATGTTACATTCTATTTATATAAACAGCCTTCTATACTTCCCCAGGGAAATCGTCAATGAAATTTACATTGCTCTAAATGCTTTTAATAACCAGATTTGTCTCTGGGGTAGTCAAAGAAAAGAAGCAGTGCACAGAAGACTTTATAAATAATTAAATGAATGAAATTTTAAAATAAGTAAATAAATCCAAACCCCAGGAAATACAAATAAACAATAATCAACTATCACCCCTTTCATATTTGGGGGTGGGTATAAATGATGCCCTCTCGTAATAGAATTTCCCTTCTTAGTAGAATTTAAAGGTGCTAACATCTTCTAAGCTTAGATAATTCATCTAATAAAATTAATTCCTGAAGTTATAAATAAAACCATTAAAATAATTAAAACTTGTAGCAAAAATTATTAAGTGAACTTTTAATTATTAAGCATAAGACATTATTAAGTGCATTTTTGGTTGATGAAGTAAGCAAAGATTAGACTATTACTTCTGTGTCATTACAATGCTTTTAAAATCATAGCTTTTGGGGCTGGGGTTGTGGCTCAGCAGTAGAGCGCTCGCCTCACATCTGCGGGACCCTGGGTTCGATCCTCAGCACCACATAAAAATAAATAAACGAAATAGAGGTATTAAAAAAAATCACAGCTTTACAAATACATAATTCATACCCTATGAAATACACCTTTATAAAGTATACAATGGTTTTTACTATATTCACAACATTGTACAAAAATCACCACATGGGGCTGGGGTTATGGCTTAGCAGTAGAGCGCTTGCCTCACACATGTGGGGCCCTGGGTTCAATCCTCAGCACCACATAAAAATAAAAATATTTTTTAAAAAAATCACCATTAATTCCAGAATATTTTCCATAACCTGAAAATAAACCTATTACCCAGTAGCAGCCCACTCTCATTCCCCTACCCTCCAAGCCCCGAAATCTCTAATATATTCTGCCACTAGAGATTTGTCTAAGCTAGAAATTTAATATAAATGGGATCATAATGTGGCATATTATAACTAGCATTTATTACTCAATAAATGTTTTTAAGGTTCATCCATGTCATAGCATGAATCAGAAGTTTATTTCCCTTTATTGAAGATTAATATTAAATTGTATAGAAATAACAAATCTTATTTATCTATTCATCAACAGATGATAGAGGACTGTTTCTATATTATAATCATAATCAACAATGCTACTATGAACATGTGTGTATGTTTTTGTATTTTTTTGAGACCACATATGTTATATTTTCTTGGGTATATATTTATAAGTAAGATTTCTGGGTCATTTGGTAACACAATACTTATTAGAACTGCCAAGCTAATTTCGAAGGTGGCTACAATATTTTACACTGCCACCAGCAATATATGAGTTACAATTTGTCCATAACCTTGTCAATACTTATTGTTATCTTTTATTTTAGCCACCCTAGTGTAGTATCTCTTTGTGATTCCAGTTTACATTTCTCTAATGACTAATTATGTTCAGAGTTTTCTAAGTGGTTAGTGGCTACTTGTATATCTCTGAAGAAATATTTCAAACCTTTTGCCTGTCAGAATTCTGAGGTAAATTATTGTGCACATGTGTATTATTATTATCATTTTGAGATAATAAAAGTACTTACATTTTGCTTTCTCTTCATCTCTGCCTCTTGTAAGGAGGACAAGTCCAACTATTAAGTTATTGAAGTGCAGCCCTTTGGATGTTCCACCAAAAGAACAGTAAATCACCTAGAAGAAAATGATAACACCAACTTGAGGGCATGTTTTAGTTATGGAAGAATGAGGTGGTTTATCACCTTTAATAAATCTTTTCTCCATCTCAAACAAGGTTCTTGTGAAATAATGTTATTTAGTGAAATAATGTTAAGTTTCACCCTCTTTTGCACCTTGTTATTGCGCTCAGTCAAGAATATAATCATCACTTTAAAGTAAATATATTATAGGTTCACACAACTGAATATTTATTCTTTCCTTCTGGAGTACTTATCTAAGAAGGTTCAATAGCTTCGATAATGTGAAAAGGATTTTGTACAATTAAAGAACTTCCTTTAATCTTGGTAAAACTTACATTATTTACATTGGAAGAAAGTCATTCTCTAATTCAACCCAGATACCAAAGCTAGGAGATCCTGGAACAACATACACCAAGCTCTAAAAGATAATGGATGTCAACCAGGAATTTAATATCCAGCAAAATTAAGCTTCAAATTTGACAATGAAATAAAAACCTTCCATGATATACAAAAGCTAAAAGGATTTACAGCAAAAAATCTTCTGCACTACAGAACATTCTTGGCAAAATATTCCATGAGGAGGAAATGAAAAACAATAATGAAAATCTGCAAAGGGAAGAACTACAATAAAGGAAAAGCCAACCAAAGGAGAAATCAAGAAATCAAGCTTAATATCAAAAATTAACAAAAATGATCTGTCATACAATTCATGTCTCTTTCAACTCTTTTTGATAAACTTTTACACATAAAAATTTTAACTACAATATCATCTAATTTTTCAGGGTTTTGTTTATTTTGTATTTTTTTTCTATTTCTATTCACAAAGTTACACAAATATGTTCTTTAAAAGTTTTATCTCTATTTTCTGTGTATTACATTGCCTGTGATATGAGATGAGGTATATTTTACCCTTATAATTTAAAATCCATTATTCAAGATTCAAGGATGAAAAAAGATATATCAGAGTAAAAAGAGTTTAATAAGGTATTTATAAAGGTAAGAGCAAGGTTGAGGGAAACTAACAAATTTTGTGAAGCACCTTTCCTTCCGTAAACTTGGAGAGGTAGGAGGTGAAGTAAGAGAGAGCCATTATGAAAAACTTGTAGGAGAAGGTGACCTAACTGAAGTTATTCCCACCAAAGGCATGTAGAAACCAACTCACAGTTTAACAGAATCTTATAGGGAGGAATAAAACACCTTGCTCTATTCTTGTATATTCCAAGTACATCTCTTTGGTGTTCCTTTCTGATGGAACTCAACAAGCAAGAAACTACATAACAAGGGGGCTTATTATGTAGCCTACAGTATATGTCTCATCAAAAGGTAAAAGATAGAGAAAGGAGCCAATATGGCAGCCACTGGTTACAAGAGGCCACTGAGTATTTGAAATGTGGTCTAGTCTGAATTGAGGTGTGTTATGTGTTAAATAGACATTTGATTCCAAAGAATTACTAGAACAAAGAATATGAATATGAACTATTTTACTAATAATTATTTTTTTTATTTTTTTATTTATTTAAGTTTTCGGCAGACACAACATCTCTGTTTGTATGTGGTGCTGAGGATCGAACCTGGGCCGCACGCATGTCAGGCGACCGCTTGAGCCACATCCCCAGCCCCTAATAATTATTTTCTTCACAAATTATGTTGGTAATCCATTGGGTTAAATAAAAATATGTTAAAATTAAATTTTCTATTAGTTAAAAAAAAAGAAGTAGAGGAGAATAAGGTAACATTCTGTATCTTGTTGGTAGTACTATATATATCCATATATATGTTGTCATTTTTATATTTGTTTTATCAAAATTCATATAACTATAAAACTAAATGGGGTAATTGTACCATATATAAATTACATCTCAACAAACATGACTTTAGAAAGAAAACCAGTTCATGAAGTGTTTTAACAGTATTGGGCACATACTAGCCACCTGATAAATAATGGCTATTACTATGATACATTAAAACAACCATCATTAAGCTGTTTCATAGTGGGGTAGGGAGGGGGAGCATGGGAGGAACAGAGAAACTCTAGATAGGGCAAAGGGGTGGGAGGGGAAGGAGGGGGCATGGGGTTAGAAATGATGGTGGAATGTGATGGGCATGATTATCCAAAGTACATGTATGAAGACACGAATGGTGTGAATATACTTTGTATACAACCAGAGATATGAAAACTTGTGCTCTACATATGTAATGTGAATTGTAATACATTCCATTGTCGTATATAACAAATCAGAATTTAAAAATAAAATAAATAAAAATAAATGCTACACACATACATTTATTGTTTTTATTTTTGCTGGGGTGATACTGAGGATTGAACCCAGAACCAAGGAGCAATCTACCATACATATATATATTAAAGAACAAAATGGGGGCTGGAGTTGTAGCTCAGTGGTAGAGCATTTGCCTTGCAAGTGTGAGGCACTAGGTTCTATTCTAGCACCACATAAAAACAACAAAGGCACTGAATCCATATACAACTTTAAAAAAAAAAAAAAGAACAACAAAATGGTTCTTTTTCGCAGGACCTTGTAGGCAACCTGCTGCACCAAGATAACGCTAAAATCCCCTTCCTAGCCACCGGCTGCTAGAAACTCACTGTAGTAGAAGATGAACACAAACTTCATACTTTTTACATGAAAGTTACTGCTGATGCTGAGTGAAGAATGGAAGAGTTATGTGGTCTGAATCAGTGGCGGGAATGATAAGCAAAGTTCGCCTGCTACAGAGTTAAGGGGCATTTCTGTTATAGACCAAGGGATATTGTAGAAAGAAAGTACAAATCTGTTTGGCGTTGTGTTGTGGATACCAATCTGAGTGTTCACAATTTGGTTATTGTAAAAAAAAAAAAAAAAAAAAAAGAACAGACTTAATGGATAGGATACTACTGATCCTCACTGCCTAAATCCCAAAAGAACTAGCAGATTCTGCGAAGTTTTCAATCTCTCTAAAGATAATGATGTCTGTCAACATGTTGTCAGAAAACCCTATGTAAGAAAGGTAAAAAACTCAAACAAAACATGGAAGATTCAGTGTCTCATTACTCCACATGTCCTGCAACACAAGCACCAGCATATTGCTCTCAAGAAACAGCAAACTAAGAAAAATAAGAATATGTCAAACTTTTGGCCAAGAAAATGAAAGAAGCCAAAGAAAAATGTCAGGAACACATCACCAAGAGATGCAGGCTGTCTTCTCTGAGAGCTTCTACTTGAATCCAATCAGAAACAAGAATTTTAAAAGTAACAAATAAATAAGATTGGACCTTCAAAAAATAAAAATAAAAGAGCAAAATAAAATTTTGTTGATAAACTATTTTATTCCATACCCACAGGTGGAAATAGGTTGGAAGTAGGTAACACGAAAATTTTTTATCCTTGGGACTAGAAGAGGAAAACATGTCAAGGACATGAAGCCTGCCTAAATCTGAGACAGAAATACAGCAACAGAGAATGTCCCCCTACCCAGTACTCCCTACTTCTACCATTGTGTTGGCAAACACTAAGGAACAAATAACAAAATATACATAGAGGAGAAGGCAGAGTGCAGACAGAACATCTTTCTAGAGTACAGTAACAATGAGAAGATCAGAAGTCAAGAGTTGAGAAGATATTAGAAAAATTATTTGGCAAGGAGCCCCCAAACCTTAAAAAAAAAAAAATTTATACCTAGACTGGAATTTTAAAGTCTGTAATGGAAGTTAACAATAAGACCATCACAGTTCAAATTGCAGACTAGATTGATTCAACTTCACACATTAAAGACATAAATACTACTTTAAGCTCCCTTCTTTCAAAAATAAATTGTAGGGCTGAGGATATAGCTCAGTTGGTAGACTGCTTGCCTCACATATACAAGGCCCTGGGATCAAGCCCTAGCACGGCCCCCCCCCCCCCCCCCCCAAAATTGTATGTGTGTGTGTGTCTCACACCAAAAAGCAAGGGGAGAAGAAAAACACAGTAAAAAAATTGAAAAATGGCTCAAAAGCAAACTCAATAAGAGATTATCCATCCAAAATGTAACACAAAGGGAAAAGAAAGTGTGCATGAGGCAGAAAATTCAAAAGCTATGGGACAATATCAATAACATATATGTAACTGAAATTCTAGAAGAGAAAGAGAATAGGGTAGAATATATGAAGAAATAAAGGTTGACAATTTTATAAATCTAAGAAAGACATAAAATCACATAGAAGCAGCTCAGAAACAGGCAAATACATTACACCTTTAACCTCTGAAGTCAGCTAGACAAATCATATTCAAATTACTCAAAACCAAAGACAAAATCTTCAAAGCAGTGAAGAGGGAAAAAAAAAAAAAACTTCACTGAGAAAAAGATTCACAGCAGATTTCTCATCAAAAGCTACATGAGGGGCTGGGGTTGCGGCTCAATGGTAGAGCGCTTGCCTAGCATGTGTGAGGCACTGGGTTCGATCCTCCGCAGCACATATAAGTAAATAAAATAAAGGCCCATCAGCTACTTAAAAAAAAAAAAAAAAAAGCTACATGAGCCAGAAGTCATCAAAGTGACATATTTAGAGCATGAAAAATGATAAAAATTCAACATAGATGCTACACCTGGTAAAATATTGGTAGAAAAGAAAGGAAAGGGTTGAGATGTAGCTCAGTGGTAGAGTATTTCATCAATTCCCAGCACAAAAGAAAGAAAAGGAAAAAAGAAGGAAGAAATCATATTAGGGAAACAAGACAGAAGTCAATACCAGTAAAACTGTACTACATAAAAAGATAAAACAAAGTACTCAGGCTGAAGGATATATGATGCTACAGATACATGTACTTACATTAAAAAAAAATAAGGTTATTGGAAATGTCATGAATGAACGTAAGTATAAGATTAATATCTTAACTTTTAATTGCTCTGAAAGATAACTAACTGGTTATCTAAAATGTGTGTTTAGAGTATATTTTTTAAAAAAACTTTTAGTTGTAGATGGACAAAATACTTTTATCTATTTGTTTACTTATTTGT